ACCTACCCGAAAGATGAAATTTTGGATATTGATATTGACTTATACGATGTAATTTAATTATTTTAACATAGGTAAAGAAATAACAATAATTTATAAAAGCAGCAATTGCCTATCCCTTCCTTTACTAGCCTTAGTTCCTAATAGAAACCACCTTAGCAAACTTAGAGTAAATTTTAGTTTTTGTGTTTTTGTAAACAGTGGTACGAGATGAGGCTTCATCGTGAAAGGCCAATCGAAGTCTATCATAACTATCTTGTTGACTTAAATAATGTCGAAATTCATAATAAATCATTGCACGAAAATTTTCTCACGTAAATTTGTTCATTCAATTTCCCGCTAAAATGTAAAGAAAACAACGAATGAATTAGGAGAGTACTTATGTACCTACTTAGCAAGGAGTTCAAAATAAATTTAAACTTTTTTTCATTATATTGTTTACAAGTGGACAATTCTAAAACTTTCTGAGTGGCCTTTGTAATTAATCCCTCGTTTTACCATTACTTTTATTATACCAATATTTTCCTCACAATCTCACAGAAAAGTTTAACTTTATAAGCGCACATGAATCTAAAAGTTTGTTTCAAATATCCGGTGTCTTAAACAATATACGTGAGCTTTATGTTAATTATAGCTACGACTATTAGCTTAGAAATAAATCTTATTATTATTAATAAATCTTATTATTAGGGTTGCGACTTCGTTCGCGTGGTATAGTTACTCTGAGTAGTTTTTCTAAAACGCTAAAACAAATATTATTCATATCTGAATACAGTTTCATGATTTTATCTTCGACAGGTACGAATTTCCATACAAACTTTAAATCTCTATTTCAACCTTTTTTTCACAATAAAAACATCCTTGGTCTTGCCTCAACTATTTTTATGGGCTAAGTGTGAAAGCTTATCAAATACATACGATTACTTTTTTACACACACTACTGACTTGAGCTTGCTAATTAAAATTCGAGTCGATATACAATCCCAGATCTTTTACATTCTGGTTAAAAAGGTTAGAAATTGCTGTCTATTTTAGACATTATTCGCGATCCACCCAACAGTGTTGCTTGATATTTCGGGGGATTTAAAGCAATACCAAAATTATCTGATCAAGTTTTGATAGCAAGTAAATCTCTATTTATCATAATCTATGGAATAATTTAACTTATCAATACTTGCTTCGGTATACAATTGCAAGCCATCAGCATACAAATGATACGAACACTGTAACTTATGAGTTATAAATTCAATCAAAATTGAAAAAAGAATAGTTGAAAAAATGCCGCCTTGGGGAACACCAGTTACCAGGTTGCACCAGGATGACGAAAGTTCACAAGACTGCAACACCTTTTGGTGCTCCTAAAGACAAGATGAAACCTCTTGACACTTCGTCAAAGACCATAAAATAGTATAATATGGAAAGACGGATGTCGCGACTGACAGTATTAAAAGCGTTGGAATTTTTTTTATCTTTCTCCATATCTGCCCTAATATCGCTAGTTATCTCTAGGAGTGCCTTAACAATGCTATGCCCCTGTCTGAATCCAAATTGTAGCTGATGCAATAATGCGTTCTTGTAAACAAATTGCGAAAATTGCTTATGAATATAGGCCTCAAGCACTTTTGACATGAAGGGAAGGATAGAAATCGAACAAAATTGATTGTGTTGGATTGGAGATTTCGGGAAGAAGACGAACATAGGCTTTGCACCATAGGGTAGGAAAACCACCGGAATCAAGAGAGGAATTAACAATATGGGTTATTGCGTGAAGAAAATGGTCGAGGATAATGATGATTATGCGACGGCTAATATTATCACATCCCACCGCATTGAATTTTGAGGGCAATACAATATTTTTGTTAAAAGAAAAGGTCAACATTAGGACGCGTTACACCATTTATATAATCTATGGCACGACAAGCTAGACAGTCTAACTTCGATATCGAGGTGAAATCATTTAAATTTATTGAAATGGTCTAAATGTCGCGATTTGCCGATGCCTAGTGTTCCGAGGAACTTCAAGATGTCGGCGGAAGATGAAGATCTATATTTTTGAGAATGTGATGGCGTTTGGTGTTACGTATCATTTGATTACATCGATTCCTATCAATTTTGAACAGATTCCTATTTTCTTGAGAACGATATTTTTTGTGACAGCGAAAAGCCCGATCTCTACGCCTTATCGCCATCCTAATGCCCACTGACATCTGAGGCTCTGGAGGGCGCTTCATCTTACATACATATTGGATATTAGTTAGTACATTAGTATCAGAACTTTCTCTGAAAACTCTAAATCAATTTATCCAATTTGAAATATATATGGAAAAAAAAACAAAACTTAATGAAAAACTGAAATCTTCGCAAAATTCTTTGAACAAAACGACAAAGTAAAGCAGAGCTAGTTTTATTTTGCTAGATTTCATTTTAAAATCATCATCATCCTTGACCAAAACAGTACGATGTAGAAATATTCTCGTACGAACGTCATCTAGAATAGCTGAAAATCTCAAAATATATAAAATTTTCTTTCGTATATATTTTTATGTGTACTTGAATATTATCAAAAAATTTAATTTAAAATTTTATATTTGCTTCGATGAACAAGTATATTTGATATAAATTATGTACTTAAATAACAATTTTCAACACTGAATACTTCAGGAAATCTTTATAAATAATATTAGAAAGATTTATTGCAAATAGTAAACAATAGTAGTGGAGCTAAAGTTATCTAATAAATTTTAGATAATTTTAGCTCTACTATATTATTTTAAGCGAATCCACTCTCAGGCGTGGAATTTTCAAATTTTTATTTCTTAGTGCTCACTTACGTTATATAGGAAACCTACATGCAAAATTTTTAGGCTTCAAGGTTTAACGGTTTGAGCTGTGAGTTGTACTCTGGATATGTCAGTCACATTCCTCTTATACATATAGGTGCTTTTGTATGAATATATAGATATATAAAATATTTCCTCTGTACTCAAATTAAAATTTTACCTTTAAGTGAATAATGTTCATTTTCGTGGTAAATTCCGTGTTCATGTGTATATTCAACAGCACGTCGGGCTAACAACAGCATGTTGATTTTAAGAATCTATATAGATTTATATAAAACTACCAAAGAACAATGGCCAAAATGGACTACGAAAAAAAAGTTCTTGTACCAAGATGGAACTATTACCAAAATGTAGTATAAGTTGAATGTAATTATTATATACCAACAATTTATTTTTAAAAGCTGGGAAAAGAAAGATATTCCTCTCTAAAATATGTCTTTATTTTTTAGAACGCAGTTTAAATTATGTTATTTTTGAACGCATCTTAATAATAATGTCATTCCTAGAGAAGTCCCTCTCTTTTCAAATAACAAGATCGATTTTATTTCCGACTAATCTGATTTGATACAAATCTTATATTATTTACTAACCATATAAATCCATGAAAATTATAAAACTTAGATGAGATAACTAATATAATTAGATGTTAACTAGAGGAAAATTGTTTATTTATAATGAAATTAAAAACTAATGATTATTCATAAGAATCGATATTACATTATTCAATAATCGATTGCGACCTCCCATTTTTAGACAAGTATGTGTAGACGTGTTTCTACGCAGACCGTTTTGTAATTTTGGCGGTGATTTTGAATTATCTTCTGTATTATGGGGAGCATACTAGGTTCTATGGGCAGTATAGAATTGAGATCTGTAGAGAAATACCTAATTCTCTGAATTTATTAGAATTAGACATAAATATAAATAAAGTCCTAATTATAAAGGGTAGAATTAAGTCGTAACATTGGGAGGAAACAATATTTTGTGTACATTTTAATAAATAATTACACATCCGGGTTAGATGGCATAAGAGAACACTGCTGTAATTGTTTTATTGGTCGATGTACACTGGGATGCTATGCTCATATAATGACCATAGTTTGGTATCTTGGATGGGCCAGACATGAACAGAATGTAGCTGCTCCTGCAGCATTCCGTGATGAGGTATTCAATAGAGTTGTAATAAAGAAAAGAAAAATCAACATGTTGTTTTGCTTTATCCTTTTGACATTAGTATTTTCACTACTACTTTATTAAGTTATAGTGTAAGATGGAAAAGTAGAGTTATTGAGAACACTCTTAAAAATTCTATTATTTTTTTGATGTTCATTGGTTCACAAAAAATGATTTTATTTCTTACAGTCAATAAAAATAATATATCAGATATGGAGCAAGTTTGAAGTATTATGTGAAAGTATGCACTTCTAGGACCACGATTAGGGATTATCTGACGTGTGCTTTACATATTTCAACTGTAATACCTCTAACTTAAAATGCTACAGTTTAAATAATACAACATAACCTCAAAAACATATTACACAATTACTCGATACTCCAGCTTTTAAAAATATATTAAATGTCTTTCTTTGTTCTAGTTGTATAGACAAACAAAATAATATATGTTTCATCAAGTTACGTTTTATTCGATTTTACTAGTCCAAGCATGTTAGGCAGATGGCCATTATTTTTTCTAGGCATGATTTTAAAGCTTAATGAATTTTAGGTAGAGTTTAAATTCAATTGGGAAATTTGACATATTGTTGTAGCCTGACGTGCAGTACTTTATCTTTCCTATTCTAATTATTTTCAGAAAATGATCTTTGGTTTCTCTATAGTTGCAAATAAAACGTATCCCAAATCGGGATCGTTAAGTAATGACGATAGTAATGACATGATTGATGTAAATTTCGTTACATCTGATAAAGAGCTGGTAAGTTTGTTTTGCTTGTTCTTCTTGTTAGCAAAAAAAATGTCTGGAACAATGGTAGGGAAAAAAATTGGATGATACAGAAGTGCTTGTAAGAAGTTTATATTCTTAATTTTTATTAATGGCATATTCAGTGTGTTCTTTTGGAACAACGGAACAGACAATATGCTTATTTTACCTATGAATTTATTACAAGGAATCAATGGTTATTGCATCTTTAACTAATTATAAAGCAGTATGATCTGTAACCTTTGCTTGGTATAAGATGTAGTCAAAAACATCCACTGTCATTATCATTTTGACTAGGGATGTACAATTAATTTAAAAATTCAATGTTAAAAAAATAATAATAATTAATATTTCCTATACGAAATTAATACTGTCAAAGTAAAGACTAATATTTGAAGTACTAGAGGGGTACCTACTAGAGGAGTATGAGGGGTGTTTGACTGATGCCTACGGTTAAAGCCCCAATGATAAATATTACCTACACATGATAAATTGTCCCAAATAAATAAATCATAAATAAATAAATAAATCACTTTCTCTTAAATAAAGCTATTTATAAATAATCAGTTATACCTATACAAAATTCCGATTTAATAAGATAAAAGTTGATTGATTAATAATTTTTTCACATCCCTAATCCCTATATTTGACGCATTGACGTTTAATGAATTGTTGTGATTGTGATAGTCTTTCTCTTGTTTACGATTGCATTTTTACTTATTTCTAAAGTAATTTCGTTATATTTAGAAATGAAGGACACCAAAATGAGTTCACATTTATCTGGCGGTCGCTTGAATGTCGCTTTGGTGCAGGAAACTATGAGAAAAGAATTATTAAACTTACTTCAACTATGTGAAGGGCCAAAAGTAAGTTTATTTTTAAGAAAATATTTTTCTCTCAGATAGACACCTTTATTGTTAGTTACAAAGATTACTTATGTATAATTCTTTCGTGGTTTAATGTTTTTCTTTGAATATTTTATAGGTAACGATCTGGGACGAATGGTTGGCTGGACCAGTAGGATTAGTGGCACAATATTCGTTGCTGAAGGAGCATGAAGTAGCTGATATGTTTCCATTACGGCCTGGGAATCTTCCTGCCATATCAGTAAAACATATTGTATTTATAGCTAGACCCAAACTATCACTGATGGATTTAGTTGCTGACTATATAGTTTCTTTGAGGTAAGTTTCTTATTAAGTCCTAAATATTGAAATAGTTTAACCCAATGCATGTAACAATAAGGATGATGACTACTTTTTGTTTGTTTGTCCTTCAGGTAGATTGTTGAGAAATATTAAATACATGGGCGATACACAGAGTTAAAATGTCACATGACATTGTGCTTTTGTATGTTTTCCACAAAACTATAACAAAGTGAGCCTTTAATGCCTGTTATTTAAGATATTTCTTGTTAAATTGAATTAATAAAAATAAATATCTAATAGTTTTCTATTATTTTACTGATGGACTAAATATATATATATATATATTTTTTTTACCCATTCGTCATCCCTATACTGTTTGGCAAATATGCTGTACTCATTATTATTATATTGTAGAAATCCAAATTAAATGTGCACAACTACTACTAAATTATAATCATATGAATTCATAAATTTTAATCATATGTTTGTTCACCACCGGCATTGATAGACCTGCTCTGTGCAAACAAATTTCACCATATTAGATAGAACTTACTTATAAAAAAACTAATATGATTTGTATACTCTAAATGGAATAAAATAAAAAAAATTGTTACACAAGTTATGTATATGTAGATGTTTAATTGTCTTAAATAACAAATATTAATGTCTTTTTTAATAGGTCGAAGCAAAACTCTGCAGTTGAATTCCACCTATTTTTTGTCCCTCGGAAGAGTGAGCTCTGTGAAAAGCACCTGGCTAACCGAGGAGTGGCTGGCAACCTGTCTATACAAGAATTCAAGTGTGACATATACCCATTTGAAAGCGATGTTATGTCCTTGGAACTACAAAATGATTTCAGGTGATTTATTTTATAAAAGGTATATTATCTCTTTTTCATATCAGTGGGTTTCTTAATTTGTTTTTATATTAACTTTTGTAGTCTACTACTATCATAAACCAAAACAATGCCAATTTTATATTGTTATAACTAGTTACTATAATAGATATTGCACCCAATTATTTGTATTTATGAGTGTCTTTGTTGTACTTTTTTGACTAGACATGTGATTCAAATGACGTAAATACTGTTTTACTTTTATATTTTCTAAGATTGTAATGTAAAGTGACTTCATATTTTAATGAAGTTATTTTTAAATCTAATGAGTAGCTCGGTGGAGTAGTGGATAAGCACTGTGGCCCGCAATCGTTGTAGTTAAGCAACTTTCGCAAGGGTCGGTCACAGGATGAGTGACAAAAAAAAATATTATCTTAAGCTACTCCATGCTACGGAAGGCATGTTACGTTAAGCCGTTGGTCCCGGCTGCATTTGCAGTTGTTTATACCCTTCAATCCACATTGGGCCAGCGTGGAGGGTTATGGCCCATGCTCCTTAACCATCCATAAGGAAGGCCTGTGCCCCTGCAGTGGGGACGTAAAAGGGCTGATGATGATGATGATTTTTAAATCTTGGCGCTCTATGACATAAAACAAGGAGAAAAAAGCAGCTCTTGCTGGTTCATCTCAGTACAAAGTCTCCCGCCGTAGATTTACGAACCGATGGCGTAACTCTCGACTTTCACAAGTGCTTGCAACAGCCTAGACTGAATAAATCATTTTGATTTGGTTTGTGTTCCATTATAAATGTTAGCCAAATTTAAGTGGAATTAAGCGGATTCTCATGATTCTCCTTATTATACCTTTTAACTCATTTGTTAGAGTGGCAGATGCATTGTTTTAATCATACATGTTGATTTCGGACCATATACTAATACTTTTCCTATGATTTGCTTTCTGACGACATTGTCAGTAAAATATGAGGTTTTGATGCTATTAATTTAGCAACCCTTATTAATTTCCGATTCATTAATTAAGGTATGGAGGACATTCCATATCTTGAAGATTGAATGTTATCTGAAGATTGTATATAAATAACTTACTATCTATAAACAAATGAATAGCATTCATGTTTCTTGATTTCTAATTATTTCTATAACAGTATTTCGTTACTCTTTTTTTATAGAGAGAATTATTTGGAAGGTGATCCGACTTGCATTTACAATGCAGCTCAAGCACTGCGCACAATCCAACAGCTTTATGGAATCATACCACGAGTATTTGGCAAAGGAGTTGCAGCCAAACAGGTAATTCAGTCATTTTCTGTTAATATTAAGTAAAAACCAAAAGGCACTGATTCAAGACATATCCGGAGTCCCATTCTCATCGTTACCCATTTTGACGCATCTCTAACGGGGCAAGTGCCCCAATTCGATCCTGCCCTGACAATGGTGAATTGAAAACCTTTTCTTTCTCTTTATGGTGACAAAAAAAATAGCACTTTGCCCAATATTTTTTATAATTTTTTTTTTACTTTTTGTAATCAAACTGATGTCTGAATGATTGTTAAACTTGCAGTACATATTTTTTTTATAATATAGGTTTGGGATCTGCTATGCCGTCTAAATAAAGAAGAGCAAGGTACTGGACCAAAAGGCTCATCGACTTCCTGCATTGACAACCTGCTGCTTTTAGACAGAGCCATTGATTTCACAAGTGTTATGACTACCCAACTCACATATGAAGGCCTTATCGGTATGTGTTTCGTATATCGGCCCTAAGTCAGGTTTGTTATTTGTATCATTTTAGAGCTACTATCCAAATTTCAAGTTGAATGACCGTTGAATGACTCGACTATAAATAAAAAAAATATTAATATATTTGATCAATTTCGCATTCACAATGCTATACTGAAAAATATTCTTAATACAAAATGCTTAAAAAATACACTTGATCCTCGGCACCCTGAGATGGGATTCGAACCCACGACCTTTCGCATCCCATCTCAGGGTACCAGAGACCAAGGGGTATTTGAAGCATTTTGTATTAAGAATAAAAAAATATTAAATTGCAAACTAGCGTCATTAAACGACACTCGAACCTAACAAATCTTAACTTCGAAGTGTTTGTAATCTTTACATTATTATTTAAATTAATTTCCTATTTAAATGTGACACAATTGTCTGTCCGATTCCTTTAATATCCTATTCCCGAATATTGTTTCTTCTCCAGACGAGTTATTCGGCATCAAGAATTCCACCGCAAAATTCCCGGGTCACAAGTTCGTCAGTCCCGATGACGCAAGTCCCGAGGTCACCGCTAGGGAGAAGAAGCGGATCATACTGAACTCCAGCGAGGAATTGTTCGCTGAGCTAAGGGATTGCAATTTCAACGCGGTATGTCCTATTTAGTGACCTTAACCTTAAGTAATTTTATAACTAAAATGTTATGTGAACTTAGAAATATATCATCATGGGTTCTATTAACGTCCCCACTTCTGAGACACAGGCCTACCCCCTATGGATGGAATCGAACAAGCGTGTATGCATTTTCCTGAATGAGTAGTAGGAAAAAAAAATTGGATGATACAAAAGTGCTCGTAAGGATGATATTTTTATTTGAATAAAGTATTTTTCATTTTGCAAGATAATGTCAAAAGTTAATAGAGAAAGAATTTTTTTCCCACTATCGTTATCAGCCCTTTACACCTCCACTGCAGATTCTCACGCCTTCCTATGCATGGTTAAGGAAGATAGGCCATGCCCCTCCACCCTGGATGAATGTGGATTGGAAAATATTAACGACTGCAAATGCAACCGGGACTAAGGGCTTAACTTACCTTCCGAAGCGCGGAGTAGCTCGAGCTAACAATTTTTTGGTCACCCATCCCGTGACCGACTCTTGCAAAAATGCTTAACAACAATAATCACGGACCACGATGCTTATTCACCTCCACCGAGTTACTCGTTTTTTATCCATAACTTCCTAATTATATTTTTTTCAGTGAAGTAGACACACGATGAATTATTCACAAAGTAGATAGTTGATGGATTAGGTCGAATTTTCTGTATATCGATGCATAGAAAATTTGTTTATGATTAATTACAAATCTATAATATCTTTAAAAATAAATGTTATATATTTACCAGGTAGGTGCAGCCCTATCTAAAAAGGCGCGCGTGATAAAGACTCAGTTAGACGAACGTCACAACGAAAAGTCCGTTCAGGAAATCAAACAGTTCGTGTCTCGTCTGCCTCAAATGCTCGCCAACAAACAATCGCTCGCCACTCACACCGCCATAGCGGAATATATCAAAGAGGTAAGGCGTACAAACGAAACCTTGGAATCGGGTTATTTTTTTAAACCTAATTACAGTAAGTTCCAACTAATATGGCGCACGGTAAATCTTCGTTTCCGTAGAGCAAATACACCAAATGGCTACTTGACATTTATATCAATAAATAATGAAATATGTTAAAAATGGTAACTGGAGTAGCAGTTTTTTGTTCTGAAATAAATGATAAGTATATTTTTGCAAAATGAAATTTGACTTACAATGTGTAGATTACAAAAAAGGGAAAATCGGGCGGCCATGATGAAGTATCGTATGACGACACATTTTATTAAACTAAACATCAACGTCTTCAACCGTTTATTTGAGTATGACGTCACGACTCGAAATGTCACGTGACTGATTGTTTGTGCGGGATAATTTAAATAAATTAAGAAAAATATATTTTTACTTTATTTATCAGATATTTTTCTGATATAGAGAAAAATATCTGATGATGGTTTGGTTTAATCTGTCAAGTAGCCGATGTCGACGATGACCATATACACGATTAATATTTATAATGAGTCTTGTTTCAATAATTATAAGGTGTAATTTCTTTTTTTTGCGAACAACGAGTAAACATTCGTTCGTGCTTCAACCGACACGTGAATCTCTGTAAGTCTCAGTGATGCGTGCTAGTGTTGTAGAACGGATCGCAAGAGCTTATATTATAATAATCTCATCACGAATATTATTCCAGACTACAGATGAATTTGAATTCCAAGACGCTATACAGTGCGAGGAAGACTTCGTGAACTGCGTAGACAATGAGAAAGTGTGCCCCTTCATAGAAGATCTTATAGCCAAAAAAGAACCAATTACCAAGGTAAGGTAACAAATAAAAGTTACGACTTCCATGCTCTGTCCCAAATTTTATACTCTTTGCATAATTTGCATAAAAAGGGGTTTTTTGTTCTCTGCATAATTTGAGTCACCCATTCCGTGACCGACCCTTGCGAAAGTTCCTTATCAACAACGATCCAACATATCCACTACGCCACCGAGTTATTAATCACACATTAACGCCGTCTTGAACTTAACACGTTGTTCCTTGGGATAACTTTCTTTCATTCTAAATACTGCGAGTACCGCGTTACACTAATAAAACCCGGATATTATAATTATTTAACCAGACACAATCTAAAAAGCCATCCATATCTGCTTAAAGCCGGACAGATGACAACCCTAATCACTTATTGAGATAAATACTTTAATAGTTTATGCCCCAATAGTGGGGACATTAATGCCCGTTTTCATTAAACTAGACTAGAACAAAGCAAAGCTTAACTAGAAATCACTTAATATTAAGAATACCATAAGCAGATTTCACGTTTCTTATTATGCTTCAGTTCCTTTTCTTTTTTTAATGTATGGCATATTTGCGTTTACACAATTCCACCAACGTCATGTTAATGGCATTTATACTTACACGAGCACCGGAGTTGTAATTGTCCATTTATAAAAAAAACCCTTATTGAGATTTTGAAAAAATATGTCTTAACATATATATTTTCCGTCAGGTAATTCGGCTGATTTGTCTGCAATGTGCAACCGGTTCGGGGCTCAAGCCCAAAGTGTTGGAGCACTACAAGCGAGAGTTGGTCCAAGTGTACGGGCTCAGTACTTGGTTGACGCTCTGTAACTTGGAGAAGTGCGGATTACTCAAACCGCAGACGGGTACGAGGCAATATACTGTACTTAGGAAGGTATGTTTATGAAACCTTTTTTATTTTGTGTTAAAGAAAGAAATTCTATGCAGTCAGATAATGGAAAAATATTAGACACGTGTATTTTTTGTAGAATATGTACAAAAGTATGTCGTCATGTGATCGCCACAATTTCATGATTACGCAAAAAATATAAAGATACGTGTTTAATATTTTTCAATAATCTACCTGACAGACAAAGAAAAAAATTTTGTGGTCACCATAAATACTTATAATATCTCTTTGCTCGTTGGCTTAAAAAGATTTTTTTTTTACAATTTTTTCTGTCAACAACGAATCAACAGAAACTTTACTGGCCATAATTAAGTAATTAACTTGTCGTTATCGAAGTGAAAAGTAGATTATCACACTCGGCGCTTATAACCCAATATAATAACCCTCTTAATAATGGATCAATCAATCAAGTTTGTAACATTGGTTGGTTATGGGATTATTATCGTTTGTTTTTATCATATAATTTTACATGTTTTAACTGCAAGTCAGATATACATTGTGGACTTTGTACCGACCGCGCTTGGTATAGAACTTCCCTACTAATAGAGGTCTGCTTATGGTGGTCATGTAGCGTGACGTGTGGCCTTGTGTACCTACGTTGTTTTTTTTAACCACATTAAATATACTTAATTTATGATTATATGTTTTCCCTTAGGCTTTACGTCTAACAATGGATGAATCAGAACTCGACCCGAAGGATAAAAGCTGCTTGTCAAACAAATACATTCCACTTACCGTGCGGCTTAGCGAACACATCGCCAAGAACAAGGGTTGGAGCGGTGAGTAAATTAATAGAAAATCACTTTTTACTATTTGAGAAGCTCCATAGTGCAGTGGTTAGCGCTTTCGCTCTGCGATTATGAAAGTTAAGTTTCGCAAAGGCTACTCATAGGATGGGTGACCAAAACCTTATATTATCTCAAGTTCCCTTGTGTTTTAAAGGGTTTAGCACCATAACATGCTTCATCGATAGTCGTAGATATCCACCAAACTATATACCTACTGGTGTTAATGAGTATTATCCAAATGAGAGGTTATTTACTTTTATCTTAAATATAATATATTACTCGTAAACAAAATTTTACTTGTAAGTGAACGTGTATTCACAAAATCATAATCACTTCAACTAGATTTGTGTAAAATAATAATGACCAAATAAGCTGTTAATTTAAATGAGAATTAAATTATCTCCATAGAAAAAAAATGGCAAAGTAGCTATTGACAGTTCTTACATCATTCAGATAATATTTGCTTAAGTTATGACATATACTTCTATTATACGATACATGCGATTGTAAAAGTTACTTTTAATATATTTTTTTTTTTTTGAACTCTTATTGTAAAGAATTATCAACAACCAAGAAGAGAAGTATTGAAAGGAAGTAAATTAATAAAATATATTAACCAATAATTACAAAATTATAACTAATAAATGGTTGCTGAGTCCGACACTAGAGTAAGAGTAGCTCGGTGGCGTAGTGGATAAGCGCCGCGGCCCGCGATCGTAGTCGTTAAGCAACTTTCGCAAACGTCGGTCACGGGATGGGTGACCAAAAAATTATTATCTCGATCTACTCCGTGCTTCGGAAGGCACGTTAAGCCGTTGGTCCCGGCTGCATTTGCAGTCGTCAATACCCTCCAATAGGCATTGGGCCAGCGCGGAGGGTCATGGCCCATCCTCCTTAACCATCCATAAGGAAGGCCTGAGCCCCTGCAGGGGTAAAAGGCCGGGACGTAAAAGGGCTGGTGGTGGAGACCGACAGGTTCCATAGTTTTAATCTTATAATATGTTGTAAAGTCTGTAGGTTGACGGTTTGTAATAAACAATTGAGTATTGAGTTTAAAAGAGAAAGATGTCACATTTTAGTGTTAACTTATTGGTCGATCATTTTGTTACAAATTATAATAATAACGACGCTGGAAAGAAAACACGTAGTAACCTGCAAAACCAAAATGGTTATTTAGAGTAGAAAATGTTTATTATTTTTCCAAAAAAAAATATCTTATTTCAATATTAATGGACTAAGGAACATCTTATTTATTACCATGGATGTTTATAGGAATTATTTATCGAAAAAAAAAAAAAAAAGATTGTGCTCTGAAGAACAAATTTGGTTTTGTGGGTTACTACTTGTTTGCTTTCCAGCGTCGATGCATTCATTACACCTTTTGTTGTTTCTCTTTAACTATAAATGAAAAAGAGCAGCATAACAGCTTATACCCCATTAGTGTCTTTCTGTAATCGCCTTGAAGTCTACATTTAATTTAGATTAAAGAAAGCTATTTATTAACTTAACATTTGCATACAAATCAAAAAGATATAAAAATACGAACTGAACCGAAAATAACATCTGCGACCAACATCATATCGTGCGATTTATCACCAGTCACAAAACAAATCGTAAAAACTATACCTACTGTTATACAATTTCGACGCTCTGTTTTACACATGGATATAATTAATCTCGTTTACGCAATATGCCCTTGATAAAAGTTGGAACAAAATGGTCAACTGGCTAAAAGTAAACTATCAGTCATATCCTCATTTCGATTGTAACGAAACTAGTATGCGTTTGCCTTTCATTATTCCACAAACAGTACCGTCGTAACATCAATCGCAGATGCTGATACTTCTACATTATTTTTCAGATATTTATTGACTATTCACAGATAAGCATTTGAGAGTCTTTCTACGAATTGCAACTATAAATATGAATATCATTGGCTAACATACAAGAAATAACCTCCCAAATGCAACCTGAAATTTGTATTAATTAAATATTTATCGCTTTGCAGTCTCTATTCATATTATTGGTGGCTATTTTTCTAGTTATAACAACTAACGCCCAAATATAATGTAATTATGTGTACGAAATAAGTTCCGTATATTTTAAAAATTTTAATAGCATTTTCATTTTTCTCTGAGATATGACCAATTATAAATATTGGGCTTTTAGAGTTAATATCACAAGTGCGGCCGCCTTTAGTTTATTTTACCACTTTGTTCCCTTTCCTACAAAAATGTTGCCGACCGCTACTTTAGGATTTATTTGAAACCTTTAATAAATCACAGGTATTTGGGCTTATCACACTACCAGAAAGTGTGCCATCTATAAATACAAGGGAAACGATATCCCGTTTTGATCCAAAGAAAAAATGACCATATTAAGCATATCGTATTCGATTATTGCTTTCTTTTTCTTCGCATACGGATTGTTTCATTTGTATGCTCTCGTAATAATACACCATTAGTCAAATTACTCGTATATGATGCGTCTAATTATAAGACATCATTGTTTGTATATTTAAGGGTGGGCGCATAGTGCACACATATGTTGCAAGCACTCAGTGTAAAAGCTGCTTATCATTGTAATTTTTATAGTTAATTTAATGGACTTGACTGACTGTTAATACTGACCTTTTTACTTATTACAGGAATCCAGGATGTGTTGGGGACGCTTCCGGGGCCGACAGTTGACGAACTACAGACTCTGCAGCCTCGTATGGTCCGCCGCAATTCCATCTCCAGTGATAATTCGTCGTTGGAGAATCCCCGAGTTATATTAGTATTCTTTGTCGGTGGTTGCACTTACCAAGAAATATCTGCACTGAGAACCATCAGTCAACAAGAAGACTCCAGCGTGGAATTTGTCATATTGACAACAAAACTAATAAATGGAACAACATTCATTGAATCGCTAATGGAAACTGAATGTGTATGAATACTTTAATTTGCCAAAGAATAAAATTGTTTATAACGTTGATATATTTCTGCAATATTTATCTTTATATATGATTTAAATATTAAGTAAACCTATTTACTAGATTTAAGTATATGAATAATATTCCTCGCTTTAAAAAGTAGTTTCATTTAAGGGTCGGTCTTCATCTGGTTCGGCACTGCAATTTACAGTCACCATATCCTTTTCTGTCGCTCAGAACCGCCATTTGCTATAGCGACGAAGAAAGCGAGCGTGCCGCAAAATACTCGAGGAGATAGGAGATTGACAGGCTACCTTTATAGCTCTAACACACCTAAATAGGCTATAAATACTGCCAGATGTAGTTCAATCCTAAGTAGGGTTGCCAAGTTTTATTACTTTAAGCTGTAACAAACATTTTAAATGTGAAAATTTTGTATTGCCACTTTAACCAAATTACAATTTTAATTGATACTCAACTGGGAATATATCTTCAAAGGAAATAAGGAAATAAAGATATAACATATAATAGTATCATTTATTTAAAATGTTTCTTTGGTTAAGATAAGTTGGTATGCATATATAATTGTGAAGCATTGGAACATTGAGAGTTGAGTTTTAGCATCCTCTTTTGAGAATATGATACTCTATTTATGGTTGGCAACCCTTACCTTAAGTCTCGGTAAATAAAAATACATAGTGAACCATAAATTTTGGTTTATTAAAATTTCATATTGATATAACTTGCATATAATATAAATTTTTAATTTGATCAGTATTTTTTTTAAATAAACTTACAAAAATCCTGCATGCTTACTATCTATATAATACAATTTTAAAGCTTCAGCATAATAAAAATAATTTCATACACCAACATACAATGTGTAATGTCTATTCTCATAAATATTCATTACTTGTGTATTTTGTGATGTTTGATTTCTTTGGTGGTACAAAATTCACACCAAACTTCTTTCCAAGAGCAACAAGTTTCTCATTATCATAACCAACCTCCTCTCTGTACCTCCTCAACATTAGAGGCATAACTGTATCTAAAATAAATTTGAAATTTTTTTGGGCATAGTTTGAATCATTACCTGAAGAGAGCATAAGGCGTGAATTGAATATAGCATAAATACATTCGTCTAAGACATCCATCAAGTCTTTTGTAACAAGCCTTAATCCAACTTTCTGTATTGTTATGACAGACTGAGCAAACCATATAGTGCTGCTCGATAAATCTACCCAAGTTTCGTTTATAACATACTTAGCTAAGATAAGGCCCAAATTTTCCATCTGTAATAAGAATTTATTGACACCAGCTTTCGTGTGCATATTTACAGGAGTCCATTTATCATCAGATACTTTACTTTTCATAGAATCAACAATTTTCTCTTTATATTCTCTGAGTGCTTTTGTTATAGGTGATCTTAAGCAGCTATTCATTTGAAATCTTAAATCTAAGCCAAACTCACAGAACAGTGCACATTGTTCTCTTAAACTATCAACACACTCTAGCACTGAATCTAAAGCACACTGGGGAGTAAATATCTGCTTTATTATTTGACTCATCAGAATTCTAAGTTGCATGCTAGCCCAAACTACAAAAGCGCTAACTTTATTCTTAGGGAAAAGTGTAGTGAACTCTGTTAAGGCATCACTTAGTGAGCAAAAGAATACTTCACCAACTTGTCGAACATAACTGTTAATAGAGCCTTCTAGTTGGACCCCTTTGACATGAACTTTAACAGTGTGACTACATATGGCTAGAAACAGTTCACAAGCCTGACTGGTCATATTAAATTTATTGAGTATAATGACAGGTTGTCTCGCTGAACGCAGGCCTCCGCGAGGGCTCCAGTTGTGAGTGACATCCAGCTCTTTCAATAATATCTCTATAAGAGCCTTTTGTTTCTTTTCAATTTTTTTCAAAATATCAGATCTTTGGGGATGTTCCTTGAATTCAACTGTATTTAGTGACTTTTGTGCTTGCACCATCAGTTCATAGGTTTTCTGGAAATGTCTTTCAACAATTAGAACATCCAATTCTTCAGTCACATCCACCAACCATTCAGGTAAAGGAGCTATCTGAGGAGATGGTAGCTCCTCAACTGATAGACTAGGTGACTCCAAAGATTCAAGTTTAGGTTTACCTTCATTTTCTTTCTTTTTCTGTTTAGAATTTTCTTTTTCTACATACATCTTCTTTGCCACATCGAACTTGTCCAGCCAGTCTTTCTTTACTGCAATACTATTACATTGAAATACCCTTGTATCAGGAAATGCTAGCACCTTAAAAGCTTGTTTCACAGTTCCCAAATCCCTAACATTTACAACTGCCAAAGTACTAATTGGGTAACTACATTGAAATTTGTATCTCATTGGACCACGACGATTTGATATCCAAGATGTCAGCATGAGGCAGTCATTAAACAAGTACACATGCATTCTCTGTAAGGCAGTATTTTCTTCAGCATCTATCTCTAACAAATCACCTTCATGCAATAAAGTTCTTTCTGGAACATCTAACAAGTTCATACAACCCTCTACTTTTTCTGTTATTGTATTAAGCTTATTTTTACGCTGCTCTTCGGCTTTTTCGGCTTCGACGTCATGATTATCAAGGGACTCGCGTGATACAGTATTTTCATTACCTAAAATTGACGCATGAGATAAAGTTGTGAGCACCGTTCGTTGTTCGCTTAGCAAATGAGACAACTTGTACATTTCAGCTTCTAGGTGGGATATCTCGGTGGCGGTCTCGATAAACTGCATATAGTTCTCGTAGACATTTTTTTTGAGGGCACTGGCTGTTTCATCGGCTAAACTTTGAATATTCTCCTTTTGCTGATGGAGCTCCTCCCCCCCGACACAGGACCGCGCTAGTTCCTTCACATACCGCTCAGGAACAAAGTCAGGCACGGCAAACTTTTCCATATTTATTTCGGACATCGTATCACTTAAATATTTATAGTTTTCGGATAAATATTAGTAAAAAACCTAGGCTCACTCATCATTCGATAAACGAACGACAGAACATATCAACCCATCAAACTGACTGAAATGTCAATGTCAATAATCATAGAGAAAATTCAAAAACAAAGAATGTAACAATAATGATACCATGATAGAGTAAAATAATAATAATGACCTCATAAATAAAACCTCAATACGATGTATTGATTATACTTATAGGAGACGATATCGTGATTGCAACAGAAACCAATAAATCAAGAATATTGCAACGATATTCTATCGAGGGTTTGTAGCTCTTTACAATCAAAAATTACAACTTAACTTTATTATAATCTTGAACAAATTCAGTTTATGAATGTTTTTATTGTTCAGCTAAAACGAACCAAAATCTAACCCAATTTGCATAGATAAAGGTTTTAACTATTGAGCACAGCACAGAAATCGTATTATACTTATGTATATTATAATAAAGAATAAAGTAATTTTTCCACAGAATTTTTCCTGAGACTGGTGGCTTCTAAATGTTATATTTATGGTATAATTTAAAATTATTTGCATTCAATCTTCTTCTTATTCTTCTTTCTAATTAATGGCGTTGTCCTTGTGGATTTCGCCGAAATAAAAAAAGTAATTTCATGGCAACCCTGCTCCTGTCCATCTGTCATCCAAATTGTCATCAATTTGTCTTTCCCATTTAATACTTTCAAAATGTAATAATGTAATTTGAAAGTGTTTTAAACGACGTAGGCCTAACAAAATTATATACATCAACATCAACTATAAATTGTGCTTAATACTGGCTTATAAAAATGTCCACTAGTAGGTTAGATGCAGTGTATCGAAGTATTTTACTTACAAAATTTTTCACAAAAGGTTGGGGTAAACCTGAGAATTTACGCAGGTAAATTCATTATAATGAACCATTTCAGAATATTGGTTTCGATTTGTTGCTTCTCACATAATTAAAACAAAAATAATATTGGTGATTGAATGCTGAAATCAGACATTTCATATTTTTAGGTTATTTGAGTTCAGAAAAGTAGTATCCAATCGTGATGAATGCTTCAAACTAATAGAACGAGATTACCCAGTCACTATCACAAAGGTTAGTGTTATATTTTATAATGTCACTTATTTGTTTAATGTTTAAATTTATTTTTTCTTGCTCAACTAGTATTTCACACCCAAACAATTATTCTTCATCAACAAATTCACATGGTTAACGTGTAAAAGATGGTGTGCATGGTTGCATAATAAATGTAGATAATTAATTGATGTAGAAATTGACTTTTCTGTATTGTTTTGGATCTGGTTGATATGGTATGTTTTTTATCTCATAATGATACTCTATATACATATATGAGGGGACTTTTAACTACTTATTTCGGTATAACAGCAATGTACATGATATCTAATAGAAATAAGTAAAATCAACTCCTACTTGGTTTTGTATTAGAATTATTGTACAATTTGAAATGTTTGTCAAATGATTCTTACTTATGTTAGAGATAGTATATCCATGTTCTGTTTCAAGAAGCTTTTAAACCTATTAATTATTTGTTAAACAGGAACAAAATTTCACAGACTGCCATCTCCTTGAAGGATACTTCATCACACCATTAGAGCGTTACCTTCCTGGCATTGTGCCAGAGATTGCACAAAAAGCCCATTTTCAAGTTATACTACCGGTTCATTGGCCAGAGCCCACATGCAAACCTGTTTGTCTCCATCTTGCTGGTACTGGTGATCATGTATGTAATTCATACTTAATATTATTTTAATAATTTTACATGGACTTTACATAGTTCTACCACATGCCATGTTATTGTGGATGCAATTCTAATGACTAAATTAGGCAGGTCACTGGCTCTCATTGAGATTGGATGTCCACATTGTAGTATTATCATGAATAGCCAGTTGCACAAACATCAATAAAAATTTTCATTAGTTTAAATGAACATAAACACTTAAAAGAGTCTTTAAACTTTAATGTATGTTTGTGCAACTAACTGTATGATGCCCAATGGTTACACTATGTATGTGAATGTTCACTTTAATATTTTTCATACAAATTTTTTCTTGGATGTAAACTTTTGTATTCAAAAAAAGTCACTACTGTGCTTGAAAATAGTTAGTTATAAAAATAAATTATGTAATTATTTTGACAGAAATGGAGGGCTGATGACCTATACAGGTAATCTCCTGATTTTCTAGCTTAGGCATCAGTTTAACACCAGTTAGTTACAAACACAATTGGAACAACTGTGTTTATAACTAACTAACATATATGATATTGTTCAGTGTGATGAGAAAATATTTTTTTTATTATTATAATAAAAATAGTGGATGTTAAGAATTATAAAAATACGAAATAGATGTATAATTTCACATAATACTACATATGGCAATGTACCTGTATGTACACTTGGCTAATATCCAGGATGCATGTGAGTAATTCCCCATGTCCTTGTTTTGGCGGCAATTTGTCTAATACTCTTAGACTATTCTTTTCAAATGAATTTATTAATTTTAGTAGGTATCTGATCTATTAATGAATATGTCACATCAGTCACTGATGCATTGACAATAAAGGAGTCCTTAGAATATTACTTACAGACTGAAGGTATTATTATCCTTTTATTAGTTATAAGTATTATAATAATTTTGGTGGTTTTTTACTCCTTCCTCTCTATAGAATAGTAACAATCATACAATCTATTAACAAAGAGGAGGGCCCTTTAAACAAACAAAAAAATGTTCATATTTCCTTTAAGAAAAAAATATAAACATTTCTTTATTTAATAGCCTCAATTTAAGGAAATAGAATCAATTAAAAGTATAATTATTAAATATGGTGTAAAATGTTGTGTCAGCTACTTGTGGCATTTACCTTCTAGTGCTTGCACATAAAAGGATGTTTTTATGAATTACTAAAAAGTGATTAGGTGACTAGAAACATATCATCCGCATATGCACATCACCCGCATTACCTATGCTGAATTTAATGATGTCATCGAAAGTCGTCTAGAGTTTTATGTAAAATAGAATGAATTTTGAAAGTACCAAATTCAACTAACTCCTAAAATTTGACGTGACAAATATTAACTTTATCCTCCTACATTACAATCGTTTTTATTTTATTTTCCCATCAGTTTTTCTGGCGGCGACGGAATTTGATGGTAAAACCTCTACTCAAGGAAGCAGGGATTGGCGGGATAATACTAGAGAACCCCTTTTATGGCTTACGGAAACCTATAGATCAAGTGTAAGTATATAATATAACAGAATTAGCTACTTGACTGTTATTAGAAAAGTATTTTAGAAAACTTTCATGTGTTCATATTAAATCAATATCAGATTTATTTTTCTCAAAAAAGAGTTTTTAAATAAAAGAAAAATATGTTTTATTCAATTAATTTAAATTTTCCCGCGAAAACAATCAGTCACGTGACATTTCAAGCCGTGACGTCACATTTCAATAAACATGAGTACTGGTTGCACATGCAACAAAGACGTCGTGTATTTTAATAAAATTTTCGATTTAACGCGGCTCCGTTGCGACCGCTCGCGTTTCAGTACTGTAATCCACAAATTTATAACTTGCAAGTTAATTTTGCAAAAATAAATTATACTTTAATTTTTTTTAAACAAAATATACTTCATCGTATACATATAAGTTACTACGAGTATTTCCAATATATTTCTTAATAATAACAGTCAAAAGCCAGTTACTCCACTGACAAGAATCTCGCTCTGGATGGAACAAAATTAATTGGGTGCTCAATCCTTATTCGAGATGCTTTTACCTGATTTCATTTTCATTGTGATGGTAATTTTCATCTTAAAAACATTACTCATCTTTCTAGTCGGTCTTCACTGCACAATGTGTCAGACATATTCGTGATGGGTGGGTGTTTGATACTCGAGTCACTTGTTTTATTCCATTGGTGTGAGCGGAATGGACTGGGCCCCCTTGGTGTTACTGGCCTATCCATGGGCGGACACGTAAGTACAAGTGGCTATTTAAAATTTAATCTCTTTTTAACTCTTCCTTTATGGCCAATTGACTCGCATGGATTAAAAATCATGGCATATGTTACACAAAAAAAAATGATAAAATAAAAAAGATATTACACGCCTTTAGAGGCGACGCAATCCGGTGGTTGACAAATCTTTTTTAAATTAATTATTGGGTTAAAATTTTATTTTATTTAACTTTAAATCGAAGTAAAACGTTATTTATAAGTATCATTTAAATATGACGAAAAGATGCAACAACGTGGCCTGTGACGTGTTTGTTCCATTATTTGTTCCAGCTATATGGCAGCTAACAAGGAATATCAATTCACTTTGAAAAAAAATATCTTTCATTTGATTCCAATTGATCCATATTTGGTATATTTGAAATAACACTTTATGTTACTATTTATGTTTGCGCTAAGTTATCTCTAATAATATTCGCTTAGACAAGTTTGATAATGTCGCAGTTAATAGAAAATCGATATTTTAATTCTAATTTTGTCGAGATTTAATCCTGGCACAATCAATTTTCATTTAAATAGAAAAGCCTTTGTTTCAGATGGCATCTCTAGCAGCTACAAATTGGCCTAAGCCGTTAGTGCTTGTACCTTGCTTATCGTGGTCTACTGCCTCAGCAGTCTTTTTGCAGGTATTTATAATTTCTATTTTACTTTATGATGTGTTCCAGATGAAATCAAATATGCCTAGTAGAGGCATGAGTGGGCCAAATAATTTTATACAATTTATTTTACTCATAGAAAATTATTGAAAACACGCCAGGCCCCCTCAGAGTCATCTTAGAGAGATGGGAAGATAAATATCAAAGTATTTTCTATAAATTTGATTTACTAATCTATACGTAAATTCTATTGCACAATTATAATCAAATACAAACTATACATTCGAAATATTGAAAGTAAAGTTCCAAATGCTGACCAATAATATAACTATTTTAGGGTGTAATGTCGCAATCAATCAACTGGGATCTTTTGGAAGACCAATATCTTTCAGACGGAATTTACAGAGAAAAACTTTCTAAAATGGTAACTATAATAGATGAAGCGTTTTTAGCTGGCAAGAAATTTGCACGCTCATATTCGCATAACATGGAGAAAACACAGGACCAATCTAAAACAAATTTCAATGCAAACAATGATAAAAACGTTGATGTCACTTACAGAGAACCGAATAGTGCCAAAGATGTCACCGAAGTGACTAAAAATATACACCCGAGTGATAATATCAGTAAAATTTGTCCCAATACAGAATACGACAACCACTTAGCGGTAGTACACGAAGAATTGAAGAAATTACTTAATGAGGATAAAATTAATAAAGAGCTTTACGACAAATTGATGTCCAACGAGAAATTTCAGCTAGAATCCAAAGATATTGAAGATATAAACAAATTAACTGAAGTTCGTATAAAGGAATTATTATTGAAATATAAAGTTGGTGAGTTTGATAGATTTCAAAACACTCTAGGATTCAATTAGACAATGTAATAGAATAACAATAGGTATTAATTGTTTCAGCACTCATACAAAATGAAATCAATGATACAAAAGATGAAATATCTAAACAAGAAGCTCTAAAAAAAGATGCTCCTCCTCTCCAGAAATCTTGGGAAAGTAATTTAAATATGGAACTGCCAAAAACAAGTGATGTATCCAAAGAAGAAACGGTTACAAAAGTAAAAAAGAATGAATGGAAGTGGAACATTTCAGAGCTAACTTCGGACTTTTGGGTGAACTTGCCATTTTTGAAATCGAATGAAAAGAAGATCGATATAAATAAAATACATTGGAGGGATCGAGAGGCATTACAGTTTATGCGAGGCATTATGGACGAGTGCACGCATCTCAGCAACTTCTCTGTTCCATATGACACTTCTTTGATTATTGGTTAGTAACCAAATAATTATATCTTTAACTCTTTGAAGTATGGCATTTGACAATAATTGTAGCTAGAAAAGAATACGCTGTCTGAGTGAAAACTAAGTAAATCATTTATTATAATTATGATTACTAGGTTTATTGAATGACGACATGCTAATAAAAAACTGAATACTTGTTACTATCAAAGTAGCTTATCCCAGACGCAGTTCTTTTGGCTATTTCTGTAAGACAATACTGATGACAATGACTCAGAAGTTGTCCAAAAGGGGCAAATTCATCGCGAAACTTGTTCCTTGAATATACGCGTATGTTGCAACCAAAAGTAGAGATTGACACGCGAGCGGACAGTTTGGATAGAAATTTTCTTCGAAGTCCTTGTCATAGATTACTTTGGTAAGGAATAATATATAAAATTAATAGAAAGTTGCCAGCATTAAAGTTGCTTCTGAATTTGCACCATTTGGACAAAGTTTGCCATATGAGTATTCATCAAGAAAAGATCTTGCTAAGTCTGTTATGCCAAATAAATTTCGGAGCATCGAAATTATTTTTGTTGGAGATAATTTCTTTCACGTTCTGATATATTTTTATTTGTTGAAGTTAAAAACCCTACGCAGTTTTTGTTTATGTACAATTTTAATTTTTATTGTAGCGGTGTGCGCTAAACATGATGCGTACGTACCGCGCGATGATGTAGGCACTCTAGAAGAAATATGGCCGGGAGCGGAAGTGAGATACGTGGACGCCGGACACGTATCCGCTTATATACTCCACCAATCATTATTCAGGTAAGTTCATTGGATAGCGATCGGCTCTCCGACACTAGCGACTCTTACAAATCGAGATTGTTTCGAGGGATACGAACGTTTTTTGTCGAATAACTTATACTGCCTAATAGGGTATTATTTTACTTTGATTATTACTTGTAAATATTTATTTTTCATTTAAGTCACAAAAAATATTTCGGGAAATTAAACAAGTTTTCTTACTTTAAAATTAAATGAACATTTTAAAGTTTTAATACCCGCGAAAACACTGTCTGCCATGTTAATGACGTCATTTCCTATCTTAATATAAACTAAAAATAATAAATAAGGTAATAATACCGCCATCAACGAGTTTGCTGTATAATAAATTGGCTGCTGTTTACAACTAAGACCAGTTCTGTCAGATGACAGATACAGAAAATTTTTATCGACGCTGGAAAGCAAACACGCAGTAGTTAATCAAAATATTAAAATATAAACACGTAGTAACCTGTAACAAAATTAATCAAAATATAAACACGTAGTAACCTCATCATCATCATCATCATCATCAGCCCATATTCGTCCACTGCTGGACATAGGCCTCCCCAATTGCACGCCATCTACTTCTATTTTCGGCTGTTCGCATCCAGCTCCTGCCAGCCATCTTGCGCAAATCATCACTCCACCGCGCCTGAGGACGTCCTACACTACGTTTGCCGAGACGCGGTCTCCACTCAAGAACTCGTTTACTCCAACGGTTATCGGTTCTGCGGCTAATATGGCCAGCCCACTGCCACTTCAGCTTGCTAATCCGGTGGGCTATGTCGATAACCTTGGTTCTCTGCCGGATTACCTCATTTTTTATTCGATCCCGCAGAGAAACGCCGACCATAGCCCTTTCCATAGCCCGCTGAGCGACCTTCAACTTGTGGACCAGCCGTGCCGTCAGTGTCCACGTTTCGGCTCCGTATGTCATAACGGGTAGGACGCACTGATTAAAGACTTTCGTCTTTAGGCACTGCGGGATCGACGATGTGAAGACCTGACGTAGTTTTCCAAACGCTGCCCAACCTAGCCGAACTCTTCCATTTACCTCGCTCTCGAAGTTGTTTCTACCTAACTGCAATGTTTGCCCGAGGTATACATATTTTGGAACAATTTCGAGAACGGCACCGCATACTGCAATCGGTTCCGGTAGTACGTGTTCGTTGAACATGACCTTGGTTTTATCCAAGTTCATCCGTAGGCCGATGCGCATAGAAGAGTCAGCCAGGTCATTCAGCATCTGTTGTAGGTCCTGCAGATTTTCTGCCATGATGACGATGTCGTCAGCAAATCTCAAGTGAGAGATGTACTCGCCATTGATGTTGATGCCACGTCCTTTCCAGTCCAGCGTCTTAAACATATCCTCCATTGCATTAGTAAACAATTTCGGAGACATAACGTCTCCTTGTCTCACTCCTCGATGCAATGGTATAGGACTTGTCTGCTGATTCTGTACTTGGACGGTCATGGTGGCGGCCTCATAAATACATCTTATCACTTGGATGTATCGCCAATCGACTTGGCATCGCTGCAGGGACTCCAGAACGGACCAGATCTCAATCGAGTCAAAGGCCTTCTCATAGTCCACAAATGCTAGACACAGGGGCTGATTATACTCTTCAGTCTTCTGTATAATCTGCCGCACTGTGTGGATGTGGTCTATGGTGCCGTATCCACTCCGAAACCCAGCCTGCTCCGGTGGTTGGAATTCGTCAAGTCTTTGCGCAAGACGGTTCGTGACTACTCTAGAAAACAGCTTATAGACGTGGCTTAGAAGGGAAATGGGTCGATAGTTCTTCAGCAGGGTTTTGTCTCCCTTTTTGAAGAACAGGACGACTACACTCCTACTCCACGCCTGCGGAGTTCTCCCTTCGAAGAGGACTGCATTAAAAAGCTTTTGGAGCTCCTTCAGTACTGGTTTACCTCCTGCTTTTAATAATTCGGTTGTAATGCCATCCTCTCCAGGGGCTTTTCCATTTTTAAGCTGTCTCAGAGCGATCTCGATTTCGCCAATGCTGACTTCTGGCAGATCTTCGGTGTAGTGGCGTGTTAATGTGGCTCTAGAATCCTCTTTTCCGGGATCAGGTCGAGGTGCATGCGAAGCGTATAACCGGGCATAGAAATTTTCTACCTCTGAGAGGACCGCTGGCTTCGAAGCAACGACTTCCCCGCTTGCTGTGGTCAACTTCGTCAAGTGGCTTCTTCCAAGAGATTGTACGAATACTTTTGACCCCCTGTTTTGCTCGATCGCTCTTTCTATAGCGTGAGTGTTGGAGCACCGGAGGTCATATCGTACGCGTTTGCTGATCTCCTGGTTTTGAGCACGTTTTCCTGACGAAGTGACAGGTGGGTTTTCACGTCGTTCCTTCATAAGCCCCAAAGTTCTATCCGAGAGCTTAGACTTCCCGCCCTTACGCTGCATGTTACAAAATTTCGTACCTTCTTCCCTGAGTATTCGAACCACATTTTCAAGGTTCTCGTCAACGTCAATTGTGGGTTCCATGGCAGCGAATCGGTTCTCAAGATTTGACTTGAACGTTTCAGATTCCATCATGGTTTGGAGTGGAGTAGGTCGGAGCCTGGCCTTCATCAAGCGGACACGTTCAGCTTTGAAGTCGATATTCAGAGAGCCTCGGACAAGTCGGTGATCGCTGCCGGTATTAAACCTATTGATCACGGAGACATCTCTGAATACGTGTTTTTTGTCCGCTATAATGAAGTCGATCTCATTTTTTGTCACATTGTCGGGGCTTTGCCACGTCCACTTCCTTTGGGGCTGTTTCCTAAAGAACGAGTTCATAAGGAAGAGCCCCTCCCGTTCGAGGAAGTTAACGAGCATTTGCCCCCTATCATTCCTGCTTCCAAATCCATGGGATCCTACTACCGATTCGCCGCAATTTTGAACTCCCACTTTAGCGTTAAAGTCCCCCATAACAACGCTGTAGTGGGTCTTAGTAGTGAAGTGGAGTGCCCTCGATATATCATCGTACATATTCTCCACTTCATCGTCCGAGTGTGTCGAGGTCGGTGCGTACACTTGAACAACCTTGAGGCTATACCTCTCAGTGAGCTTTACAATCAGGTACGCTACCCTGTTCGACACACTGGAAATTTCTACAACGTTGTCAGAAAGGGACTTATTGACAAGAAACCCAACGCCACCTTGGGATTGTTGGTCTCCCTCGCGGAAGTACATTAGGTGGCCTGATTCGAGGGTTATGGTATCCTCCCCCTCTCTTCGGACTTCACACAATCCCAATATGTGCCACCTAATCTTTCCAAGCTCCACCTCAAGTTGAGCCAGATGCGAGTTAAGCCGTAGCGTGCGTCCGTTGTACGTCGCCAGGGTCAGTCGGTTGTGGTGGCCTCCCGTAGCCCGGAGATTCTTAGCACCCCCTGCCTTGCCGTTACCATGGTCGCCACCATGACCAGGAATAGCGAGGCCGCCGGGAACTAGGGGCCGTGGCCTTTTGTGCTTTCGCATTTGGGGGATATGCCCATAATCGCCACGCTGGGCAAGCGGGTTGGCGATCGCAGTATGGTCCGGTTCTGTGGCCCGCACAAGAAGACGCTGCTGCCCATCTCCTTGGGTTAAATTTCCCTTAGTCGCCTCTTACGACACCCACGGGATGAAAAGGGGTAGTACAATTCTATACCGGTACTACACGGCGTAGTAACCTGTAGTAACGTAGTAACCTGCAAAACCAAAATGGATATTTAAGAGTGGAAAATCTTTATATTTATCCAAAAAATATATCTTCTTTCCGTATAAATAGATTAAGGAACGCATTATTTGTTACCATGAATGTTTATAGGAATTATTTATCAAATAAAATAACAGTTTTTCTGCTCTAAAGAACAATTTTGGTTTTGCGAGTTACTACTTGTTTGCTTTCCAGCGTCGATATCAAAGTGACGTCACATTATGGCAGATCGTGATTCAAGTAATTCAATCATCATTCTCAAATTCGGAATATCTATGTTTATTTAAATTGTAGTTGTTTTGCAATGTGACTTATTTTGCTCTGCCGAAACTACCCCATTGTCTTGTCTTGTATTTTTAGTAAACTGAATGCGATAATTTTTTTTTAATAGAGCATGCATCAAAGAAGCTTTCGAACGATCGAAAAGAAAATGGAAAGACGGCAAACATATCGACTGACGATTGGTCCACTTCATTGTGGAGACTCAGTTCCTGTGACATTCACGCTATACCCTGCTCAATATTTTGTAACAATAAATAAGTAATTCAGTTGCGGTGCTATATGAATATAAAACATAATTAAAAAAAAACAACTGCCGAAACGTTACCTATAATTAAATTTCGATAAATGGTTCATCAGTATCGAGATATAAACACTAAGTTGTTCGTCTCAAAATCTTAATCTGTATTTTTGATAAACTTTTTAATCAAAGTAACTTGTAAATTTGCAACTAAATTATTTAAGGATTTACTAATGGGACAATATTTATTAAAAATTTTATTGAGATTGTAAAGATTCAATCATTGATTAGAAAACATGGAAGATACTTGTAAAAATAATCCATATGTGATGTCCAATAAATAGAAAAGTATAGTGTAGGACCCAGTGATATTTATAATAATAGGGGTTAAGGTATGAAATTGCCGATTTGTACACAAAATCTAAATTGTTTATATTTAAATTTTTACAAATCTATTTATTCAAAATAATTATCATTATTATCTATACATTGCTGCCATCTAATAGGAAGGTCATTTACGCTTTTGCGATAGAACTCTGAGGATCTAGACTGCACAAACTGTGCGAAAGCATTTTGTACTGCCTCCTGGTAAGAAAACTTCTTGTCACGTAGATAATTGTCCAAATCACGAAAAAAAATGGTAGCCCGTTGGAAGCAAGGTCTGGCGAATAAGGAGGATGACAAATGGTTTCTAACTAGTTCCTGAAGGGTCAAAACGGTTTCTCGTGCTGTATGAGGTCTCGCGTTATCATGGAGCAATAATGGTGAAGATCGATTCATGAGTCGGGACTGTTTTATTGCTAGTTTTGCCAAAATTGTTCGGAGTTCGGCACAATAGATATCTGCCATTATTGCTTGACCAGATCGGAGAAAACTATAGTGAATAACACCATGCTGAGACCACCGAACAGTTACCATTACCTTTTTATTTGTAAGTTTTGCTTAAGGACACTGTTGTGGCGTTTGACCTGGGGTCAGCCATTGCATTTTTCTTTCACGGTTATCATAAAGAATCCACTTTTTATCACATGTCACAATTCAATCCAATATTCCTTCATCTGTGCCGATAACACAAGATTCAACACGCGTTTCATTCTGCAGATCAGTCAAATCATGAGGCACCCATTTTTCTAATTTTTTATTTTATTGATTTGACGCAAACGAGTCAATATTGTGGGTAAGGTAACGTTTAACCATGCTGCTAATTCCTGGGTAGTTTGACTAGGATCGGCTTCCACCATCTATCTTAATTCATCATTATTCACCTGTGTGGGCGGCCTTCCCCGTGGCTCGTTCTTCAAGTCGAAGTTTCCATCACGAAAGCTTTCGGTGAAAAAAAATCGCACGGTGCGTTCATTAGCAGGCCCCTCTCCAAAAGCAACATTGATATTGCGGGCTGTTTCTGCCGCGTTACTTCCGTGTCGGAACTCGTAGTCAAAAATCACTCGAATTTTCGCAGTATCCATCTTTCTTGTCTAAGTTGAATAACAAAAGCAATTGAAAGCCGATATTCAAATGTTTAATTTTTTTAAAAAAGAACATCATAGAAACCATGTGAAAAAAGTTTCTTTCGAAAACGTCAAACCACGATGATTCTATGTCAATTCGAGGAACCTATTACTATAAAACGGCAATTTCCTACTTTAATCCCTAATATTTTATATTTAGATAAGTCATAGCTCAATTATTTTCTATAAAATAATGTCTTATTTTTATTTTTTACACGTTGAGTGCCATATCAAATGCATACTTGAAATCTATAGCACAAACAATAAATAAAACTGGAATATTTAGGCTTAAAAAAATATTGTAATTCAAATGTAAGACTGAGCAATTTTAACTGCAATGAAAGTGGTGATAGTTTAACTCTTCTAATATTTTATTTAATACAACCGCAAATCTTGTTCTATAAAGTGAATGTTATTTATTTACGTGGTGAAGACATTGATGCCAATAGGTTACTTGACGATTATAACAGTAAATTACGAAATTCTAGCTTTGCGCCAGCAGCTGCGCCCGTGGTCATGTAATTTATATGTTATAAAATTTCCTCTAGAATCACTCTGTATATTGATGAGCCTCCGTTAAAATCCGTTGTGCAATTCAAAAAATGTAAGCAATTACTATGTAGTATATTTTTATTTATTTTTTATTTATAGTAGCGATTTATCCATTACAAGAACCGAAACGCGGGCGGCCATGACGGAGCAGCGTGTGTCAATAAACCAATCGAAAACGCATTGAAATGTCACGTTACGGCTCGAAATGTCACGTGACTGTCCGTTTCAGCGGGACAATTTAAATCGATGAATAAAAATATGTTTTTCCTTTATTTAATAACGCTATTGTATTTTTGAAGAACAATAAATCTGATAGTGATTTATGATCATATGACAATTTTAAGTTACTTTTCTGTTGTTGACCAATCTAATTTATTTTTAATTTGGGTTTGCTTTAACGTTATTAATTTCGCATTAAAAAGCAGTCAAAAGTTTATTAAGTTATGCGGCCGACCCGCAGCTCATCTAACATGACGACTGCGCCTTAAGTCTGTTGTAGATAGAGAAAGGTAAGTTTCTTCTACGAGTTACGTCGATATGCCGTGCACAGAATAGTAGAGCATGATGAGGCTGATCTTGACTGTAGATCGTGATGGTAGACTTCAGAATATTTTTCGAGTTGGTCATGGTCACATCGCACAATTTCAGCTAGAGAAATGTGTAGATCTTTCTCGTGCTTGTCACGCTACGCGTGCAGTACGTGCAGGCCTGGTCCTACAATGTTTTCCAACCGGGGCAGAAACTTATTTTAAATTCACGCACATATTATATTGAATTTATATTTTTTGTTAATGATGATATTCTGTTGTTCATAGACGATTATACTAGTCTAAGAAATAGTTCTCCTTTGTTATTATTTTTCCGATTCATAGTTGAATATACATAATTGTTATTTTAAAATAATTATTGTTACTATATCAAATCTATTTATATTTCAAATATTTAACATTATTTTTAATAAAAAAAAAACAAAAACATTGTATAATTTCAGCGTTATTTTGTTAGTTATAAATTATCCTTTTGAATATGGAATTCTAATGTATTATCGAGCTTACGTTTACACGCATATCTTAATAATTACGGTGATTATGTATGTGTGGAGAATATGAATTTAATATGATAACTCTAAATATATTTTAACAAACTAAGAAAGTACAAAACTGTTTTTTGAGAGTAATATTTGTGGAGATTTGTCGTGCAACGCTTTTAGCCGTTATTTATTGTAGTGCTGGCATGTATATAAGGATTACTCTCTATTGAGAATGTATAGATATTTTCTTTTTATAAATAAATGTTGTTTGTTGAGTAATTTGTTTAATTTCTTACGTTTGATGACGAAGTATTTATCAAAAACATGATGAATAATGGCTACTAAGTTCAATATACATTTTTCAGACAGTAAATGCTGGTATGTTAACATGATTGCAAAAAAAATAAAATCACAGCAATAGAAAGGTTTGTCATTAAGAATATTTCAAGTTGATTTAACATTTTTCGCGACAAAATTATATGTCATTTCTAGTATGTACACCTTAAATAGGGGGAAGACGATTTTTATTTTATTTTATAGATTATACATGAAATATATATGTAAAAAAATCATTCGTGTATTAAGTTTATAACCTAAAAATAAATTTATCTTTTTAAAATTTCCCGCGTAAACGCAATCTTCTGTCATGCCGTCGCTGTGACATCACGGCCCTCTGAGAGTAATATATTTCTATTTTGCATAAGGTCCAACTCTCCAAGTTCTGATATGAGTAAGAGGGGAATCACGCGCTGTTTGTGGCCACATTAAAATGAATATAAAATATTTGCCTTTTTCGTACTTAATTTAAGCAATGTATTAAAATATAATAAGCATAAAATTGTCATTATGGGTAATAGTATACTAGCAGAAAAAAGGTCTATTTATTTTCGTTTACTGTCTACACTAGTATTATTAGATCTGTAGGTATTTTTTTGGTATTTTTAGCAATTTTGCTAGATGCTTTGTTTTTCGAAATCTATATATGCAGTTCAGAAAATGTTCAAAGTTAAGGAGCCTCTCCTTTTATTTTTTGTATACCGAGGGGAACTGACCTTAACATATCATCGACCTGGGCGATAGGCCGACTGAACCCGGGCTCTCCCACTGCAAGGGACGGCGGTTCAGTGCAGTGGGCCTACCGTGCAAAACCCCTAGTCCTAGTTGAGGTTCGTATTGGTGTGAACAGATGTTCAATTATAACTAGTAAACCAAAATTGCAGTTGATCTATGCGCATAAAGTGCTCAAAATATCTTAGCATTTTATTCATTTACGAACCGATTCGACACCATATAACATTGTATAACTATTCTCGAATCGAGTCATAGATTTAAAACAAGTTGTTAGTACCTACAAAATTAATGGTACCACGATACTTTCACCACTTTGCGTACTTATATCAATATGCAACTATGGTTGCCTAGATAAAATTGAACTTCTATCGATTATCTCGGGCGCTTCGGTAATTATGACGCTGAATGTACCTGCCCTACCGTTCCTCCCAAAAATCCATCTTTATATCGATTTAGTTCAGAATATTTCAAAATGTCCAATGTATCATGACGAGTTTGATGAATACACTGATAATAATAATATTTGTACTAAGGTAGTTAAATAACACTCGGTTTCTGAAATGAGTATTAAAAGTTAAGCACGTCTCAAACTGTACTAAACATCAATTTTGCATTCACAACTATACTGGGAAATATTAATGAAAAATACTTAAAAATGCACTTTGTCCCTGGTACCCCATCTCAGAGTATCAGGCACAAAATTGATTCTTTAAGCATTTTTTTCATTAAGAATAAGTATGTTATATAAATATAAATTAAAATCTAAATATATATTTAATTTTTAAAATTTCCCGCAAACATGAACTTCCGTCATGGCGTCACAATGACGTCACGGCCCTCTGAAACTAATATCGTTCTATGTTCTGACGTGAGTAAGAAGAGCGTGAACTCACGCGATGTTTTATAAATTATTTATATTTCATAATTCAAGTCCTCGTAGCCTGTCTTCAAAATATTAAATGAACCTTGTTACATTAAGCATCAGTATATTCAACAAACCCAATAATTCATTTATTGCATCATGAATGATACTAGATTGGTCATTTCGGAAATTCTGTACTGAAAGGCTCTATAATATAGAGCCAATATACGGTCAGTTACACAAACGTCCACTAAGGTTTAATGACGCCTTTAAACTCTAATGAATATCAAATTTTTAAGGATAATGTCGCTTTAAATTAATGATATTTTTAATGGATGTTTGTGCAACTGGTTGATAGTCACGAGTGTATAGGTATATAGCAGAGAATAAAAAAATACAATATTTTTAAAACAAAGTCCTTTTATTATGTATATCACCAATCGACCATAAACACACTGAAAGTTCTTATAAGAAACATAAATAAATACTCTGCCTGTTACACAGTAAAATCGACTGTCTATTGAAATTTACTTACTCTACTGTTATGTATACTATGAGAGTAGAATACAAAAGACCCGTTACACAAAACTAATTAACAAATCATAATGTTTCCAATAAGTCTTCAATAAAACAGATAATGAAATTACCGAGAAAAAGATAAGATATAAATAATACCTGATTATTTAATGCTAATAAAAATGTTTGTCAATGTAAGTTTATTACAATAAACAAATGCTTAAAGTATTTTATGAATTTATAGACAAAACTAGCATGCCTCGTTTCATTTTCTGAAATATTATTTCCAGGTTTTATACATCATTCACATCATTTTGTAATACTATACGTAACTTTAGTAATAAACGAATAAAAGTATATAAAAAAAAAAAGTTATTAACGTGAAGGAAATAAAAATAATTGTTTTTCAGAATCCTCTCTCTTGATTGACAACAAAAATAAAAGCAATCGAGACGTAAACTAAAAATAAATCAAACATAAGGATGCGTCCAGATCTCGCCAATGCGACTGCTCGAGTTGTTATTAAGTGCACCTAACACTGTAATATAATAGATCTGCAAATGAAGATTCATAATACGTCATATTAGTTGCAACCAGCAATCATATGTTGTTTTAAGCTTTCGTGGTAATTTAGATTAGAATGATGGTTTATATTAGATGACTATAGTTTTAAAGTAAGTTGATTGTAGTAACGTTACAGAAAATTATGATGGACTTATTTTCTAATTTCAGAATCTATCGAAATCCCTTCAAAGGTAATGATAAAAGTTGTGATACCGATTCATGAAATATTATATAACTCTTAAAGACGCAATCGCTTTTAGAACTAATGATGATTCGCATGATCAAGAAATATATATAATAAGAACTTAGCTAAACCCATCGAAAGATTGGAATTAGTATAAAAATCTTTCGTTTAACATTTCTCAATAGCTTACAAGGATCCCTCTTAGTCTAAATCGTTCTTCGGAGCAGAATAACTTAATTTTTTTGCAAAATATCTTATGTTCATAAGATTTAATTTTGATTAAATATCCATAGTATTCTATGACTATGGTAAACGATTAGCGATCGTTTTTTTTTTTAAATTCGACAAATAGTTAATTTGTTGCCTTTTTGTTTTAATTTGCTGCGCTGCCCGCGCTCATTCTAAAGATTCTTATGCACTGAACGAAATTTGCAGTAATTTACACGCCAGATCTAAACGCACCCTTACGAAACAATACTTACAACTAGAACTATGATCTTACAGAAATCAACTGTATTAAATATTTACAAAATAAAAAAAAAGTGCAACTTAAACGTATAAAACTCTATAAAACATTTTTCCACAACATTGGACGCCACGTGATCAATATCTAAGTTTATTAAACACGCACAGAGTCCAAATCTATTCACAACACCATGGATTTTTTCATATTCTCGATGCCAAGTTCTTAAAGCCAAACAATAGAGTTCAATTTTGTTACATTGACGAGCATTCATTAGATATCAAACTATGCACCACCTTTTGTTGGAACTGCACGAGTTCCTTCTGCTTTTGTCTTCGTTCACCGAAGTTATATCCAATTAACTTATAACTGTACTGTGTTAAAGTCCAAAATACCGATTTTTGAATAAGCGCACTGGTCGGTAAGTGGTCTACTTCTTGAGCAGTAAGTTTCTAAAGTCTGTGTTGGATAGAGGCCGTTTCTCGGCATCATTGTGCCCGTTAGCTGTCGACGTGCTAGCGACAGGCTTTTGTAACACGCTTGGGATGAAACTGCTGAGCTGCGTCCGTCGCCTAATCATATAATTTATTATGAGTAAATATAACAGTAACATCATATGCACTAGTGATGCAACGAAAAACGAAAATTCGTATTTACCGAACAGTATAATCCCCGCAGATTGTTAATGTCCCTGGCCACCATTTTGGTGACGTAATCTATGAATGACGACAATTTTTTTTGTATGTACCCCACTCCTCAACTTTACGCCTGTTATATAAGCTTTTTCTTATTAAGTTGAAGCAAAAAATATGTATGTCATATTCTTCTATTGTCTCATTAACGGACTAACGGTCAGTTGCACAAACCTTCATTAAGGTTTAATGACGCCTTTAAGCTCTAATGAATGTCAAATTTGCATGTGTAACGTCGCATTCAACTAATGAATAATGGACGTTTGTGCTAGTGACTGTAGAATTTCTTTTCAGGCATGTATTTTCCCTGTAATGTATGTATTTATTATATTATTCGTTTTCATATTGGGAAATAGAATAATTGATTTGATACGGTAAAGTAGTATTCGTTGCATCACTAATTTGAACCATCAGACATAATGAGGAAGTATTTTAAAAAAACGAAAGCACTAAAAAAGCACCTCCACTAGATGGCGACTCTAGCAAAAGTTGATTTTTGCAGGAATGGGACCTGGGACCACTGGGACCCAAGGGACCAAAGATAGTAATTTCCGTTCCTTTTAACTAACATATTAAAAACATCTAGTTTGATTTCGGGAACTACTGTTTTTTTTAAATACTTCCTCGTTAATATAAGAAAAGAACTTAGATATAGATATAAAATTTATGAAATCGAAAAAACAAACAGATTTTTTTACCGAACCAGTTATTAAAGTAACATTAATATAATTATAACTCACATGCCCTGTCCCTGTTCACGTTTGGGCAGTCCGAGGGTAGGTGTGGCACCAGATTTGGGCGGTGGTTGACTGACCGCTACTTCTATATGCCGGTCACCGATCAACAAACCGTTGGTGGCTGCGATCGCTTTCGATGCTGCATCGTCGTCTTCGTACTCGACGTAAGCTAAACCTTTCGGGTTACCGTCCCTGTAAGGGGTAAGGAATTTTTGAAAATACACAAAACTAGTTTAGTCTACATCCAAATATTACATATCTCTGGTCAAGTTAAGATCTCGAGTATAGTTTAGTGTACACCTACAATCACAAGAATATCTTAGTCTACATCAAAATATAATATATCTCGGTCAAGTGACACTCGAGAATAGTTTTGTCTACATCCAAATGTTAGATATCTCGGGTCGAGTTACGATCTAGAGAATAGTTTAGTCTACATCCAAAACAGCGAGTCGAGTTACGATATCGAGAATAGTTTAGTCTACATCCAAATGTTACATATCTCGGACAGAGAGTAAATCTCAAGCAACACAATCTTTATCGCCACGCAGTCCATGATTTTCGCGAGCCTATGGGCTCACTTTTTTCAATAGATTATAGTTATATATCTATAATCTGTTCCTAGGGCAAGCGAAAAACCGAAAAATGGTATAGATGTTATATGGTCAGAAACCCAGACTTCCGTACAATAAAACGCAGTACCATGCGAAAACGATACAGAGGTATACGGATAGCGATAAGTATAGTTATCCTTCTAGATTCACACAATACTTTGTCTGTTCGTTCATCTGCCCTAGAAACAGATTATATAATATCATTCAATCATAAAAAAAAAATAATTGAAATAAGTTTGCGACTTAAAAACCTATAAAAAATAAACTAACTTGAATGTGACAATCCTGACATCCTTCAGTTTGCCATATTTATCAAATATATCGGTGAGGGGCTCCTTAGCACAGTGCGAGTATGGCAGATTCTTTATAAACAATTTGTTCTTCTCCGCTTCCGTCGAATATTTGAAGGTAGCCTTCACTTTCTTCGCCGAATATCGTGAGAAGAACATCGGCCGCCCTTCTAAAGGTGTACGGTCGTGCTTCAGAGCTTCCTCTACGCAAGCCTAATAAATTAAAGAATACACTTATTTCATATATTAATGTTTTTTTTAACAGCAAATTAATATCTATACTAATATTTAAAAAAAGGCAATTTCTAACTTTGTTTGTGGGGGGGGGGGGGGGGTGTAACTTCGGAAAAGATCTGATCATTAAAATCCTTTCACCTTCGAGAAGATACATCATATTTCGCCTTTACTATGTTATCTTAAAAATAATTGGAATCAGGTACTAGGCTGAACCATAAACAATGGTTATTTTATGTTTTATTTTTTTGCGATCTATAACTAATTCGTACTCGATAGTTAAGACTTACAGGTGTCTTGTATTGACAGTAACAAATAGATCCGCCGAACGCCTTGTTGCCGCTCTTCACTCTCAACGACACAATGTCACCGAATTTAGATAAAATATCACGCAATTTTTGCTCGTCCACTCTGGAACAAGACAATATAATAATAAAAATTAATTTATTTAGAATTTCTTACACATATTAAGATGTCAGCGTATTACAAACACGCCATCCACATTTATTGAAAAATCCACACTAATCCAAAAATCACATGACCTTTTCTTTGGTCCACTTTATTTTAACTTTTCACAAAAAAAAATGTGTGTTAGTCTGTGTCATTGTAGGTCCTGAACGAAAGAACCAATTTCAATACCATTTTTTAATCGAAAGCCTTGCTGATGAGTTTTGTTGAGTGAAACACAAGCTCTTATGATTGAAAATAATTTTAAAGTTTATTTTTATACTTATTAGTGATTGTTTTGGATCGACGAAACAACCAGGGAGGGAGTTAGGGAGCGAACTTTAGTGATCGAAGTGTGGGCAGTCGACACATAATTCGGCTTATTCGTGTCCTTCGAATTGCCTATCCGTTGTTAGTTTTTCTCTGACATAACAAATATTTGGACCAGCTTAGCCACACAACAAATAACACAGCGAAGCGTAGTGGTCTGTCTTACTAACGGTAAGTTTCACAAACGACATTTACGGTTTAATGACGCCTTTAAGCTCTAATGAACATCATATTTATATGGGTAATGTCATTTTAAACTAATGAAATTTGAATGGATGTTTGTGCAACTGGCTGTTAATCTAGTAAATGTTATGACAATGGCGCTACTGTTGTGATGAACGAATGAAAATGAATGAAACCAAACAAACTGACACTTACTTGAAGTCCAAATTGCTGACAAAAAGTGTGCAAGCGTCTCTTGTGCCCACTGATCGCCCGCTTGATGACTCAGTCTTTTGGCGTTTCGTTTCTGCGTCTACAATTGAAGGTATGTAAGGAAGGTACATTATAGTATTTAAATTAATATCCTGTAAAATACATATTACATTTTACTTAGGTCAAGTTGTAGTACTGTGCTTATTTGCTTGCTAATTCTTGTCAATTATAGGATAGTGAAAATATTTAATAACTAGCTTTTCGCGAGCTGCTTCACCCGTGTAGTCTTTAGCGAACCGTGTAGTGGTATAAAAAGATGAATATAAGATGAATATACTCAAGCTTAGGATTATCCATATACCAATTTTAACCAAGATTCGTTCAGTAGTTCCTGAATGAAATATTTACAAACATACATACTCACAGACACTCGCATTCATAATAGTAGCGGGATAGAACCCACCTTCGTTATTGTCTTCATCGTGGGTCCTTTTCCGTCCGCTACCCGATTGCTCCTCCACAAATTCCTTCTCCCCACTCTCCTCAACTTCCATATCGTTGTCCCTTTTCCTCTTTGTTTCAGTGCCTTCAACGTTTTCGTCAGACTTTCGCTTATTCTTGTTCTTCGGCTGCTCATCATCTTTCTTCTTTTTCTTCTTATCGAATTTCCCCTTCTTGTCTGTCTGTTTGCCTTTCTGTTTCTTTCCGATCATTTTGTCCTTCATCGCTTGGTAAGTTTCCTTCCACTCCTTCAACTTAACCTGCAAGTTTTACTGACACATGATGATGACGTCATCGAAAACAAAAGTTGTTAATAAACAAATGCTATTTACGACCTCCATGACCGATACGCCGCTTCAAGGGTGCCATATCTGAGGGTTTGATCGGTTCAATATAATATTTTTCTCTCAGTTTTAAGTTGGATGGATATGGCATCATGGTTTTTTTAGGCGCTTTTAGCATTTGAGCAATGTATGTGATGTTGTTCAATATTTATTAAAATTAGTTATTTTATTTATGTACTCAATAAATTTTGTACCACGAGGAGCCTTTCAAGGAATTGCTCCTGAAGTCCCGTACATTATATTATACTTTAATGTCTTTCGTCTACAAGGTACTCTAACCCAAAGTTAAAGATAGAGCTACAGAATCATTTTACCTCGCAAGCGTCGTAGCACTCCCTCGCTGTGTCCAGTGACCCGTAGTCGCGCTCGTAGTCGGTCCACAGCCGCGTTACGGCGGGCGGGTAGTCCGCTACGAACCGTAGTGCGCGACGATATAAATCCCTACGTTTGTTCTCGGACATTGGCGGCTTACGATCACATTCCATGTGTATGAAAGCCTCCCAGTACTTACATAGAGTTTTGTTCTCACCGTATTCTGCAAGTTTTTATATTCTTTTGAAATGTCTAAGTCCAGAACATTTCCAATTCCCGAAAAAATCCGATGAATATTATATAGCAAACTAGTTTAATAAATCCTCATAGTCGGTCTTAAATATATTAAACATTAAAAATCTTTCTAGATATTATTATGTTTGTCTTCATAAAACCCAACATGATTGATTTTGAGAATTGGACATTTCAGTAATCAAACATTTTGGGAACTGGACATTTCGGGAATGGGATATTTTGGGAATTGGATATTCTGAAATAGTCTGAAAGGTGTGTAAACTAGGCCTAAAAAAGTTAGTCTATTAGTTAGTGAAAGAAGAACGTTTAAAAGAACGAACATTCGACGTATATATAAAATGTACTCACTGAATATTTCCTCGAAGATCTCTTTACCCTGCTTGGGGTCATTCATACGTCGATACTCGAGACGTGCCCAATACAACGGAACCTCACAATCGTTCGCTTCTTCACCCCAAGCCTAAACAATAACATATTTACTCTTTCAACATTTACCAACAAGGCATTTAGTATTAAAATTGCAAATAGTTGTTGTAGTCATCTTATAGTATCTTCTAATAGACCATTAATATTTGAGAAATAATACAGAAACAACAGCATGTCCGCAATTAATAGTTACGGAGATAGGGTGCTGTGTTTGTGGCTACTAGTCACAGACAAACTTTTCGAACATTTTGTCATTTGAAAATTGTTTATTCCCTTCCTACTTTATATCCAAATATGCAGCAACGATGTATATTGGATAAAATTAAATTCTTTCTATTCGTAAATTCTAAAAAAGATATCCTGCTATGGTCACTGTTACTCTACACTATGCTAACTATGATAAGAATGATATTACATGTTTATAAGAAAAATTATCACTACATGTGCTAGCGCTGCAATCTGCCGCAAGAAAGTTACTCTAACACTTCCTATTCTCTCTACCTACCCAAGGAGATATAAGGCTGTCCATTAATCACGTGAGGCTCGAAAGGGGGGGCAGGGGGTTCGCCAATAATCGCGAAATATCACAAAGGGGGAGCGGGCAATTACGAAACCGAAAAGCGGCGTCAAAAATTAAGTTTTTTTTTTAAGTTACCAAAAATTATACGTGATTTGGGTGAAGAGGGGGGTAGTCTTAAACCTAACTATGTATTACCTAGGGGGGGGGGTTAACAAATGCTGAAAAAAACATCACGTGATTAATGGACGGCCCTTATTTTACGCGTGATGATATAAAGCATATCTGCGTGTTCTCACCTCGGCAAGCGAGTCCCAAGCCAACCTAAACGTCTGTCTCAGTTTCTGTACGTCGTCATCATTGTCGAAGCTAGTCTGTCGTCTCACGTACTCCAAGTAACTGAGCCACAGCATCTCTGCGTCTTTGTAAGTCTCCATGCCTTTAGATATTGCCTTCTCGAATATAGCCTTTACCTAACCACAAAAAGTGCACAACAGTAAAATAAAGCACAGTATTATATAATCTATACATAGTAGGTATAAAACAAAGTTGTTTCCCGTTGCCTGTACGCCGAAACATTTTAAACTGCACTTCTTGCAGTTGGCATTTCATCTAAGATGATCTATATGTATAATACAGGACCACGCGAGCGAAGCCGCTAGCGGAAAGCTATTACTAATCAATTAACAGTAGTGTTAAAATTGCATAATGAGAATTAAAGCTTCATCAAGAATAATTAAAAGAATTTATTTGTAGTCTATCCTTAGGTCAGGCTAAAAACAGACAGAGAGTATAAGATAAGATAAGGCTATAAACTCAAAGATCGTTCTTTTTGACGTGAAATAGACTTTTTTTCTACAAAATTAAAATATTTAAGATTTTAAAACGCCAAAACGACCAAATTGACAATAACAAAAGAGAAAACGTCAAGGTGTTGACTCGTTTTGGTCAGATGATGGTTACAACCCGATACCAAAGATAAAGTAAAATAATAATAATATTATTAATTTTCTTTTCACCGAAAGTTGTATAGTAGGTTTTTTATATACTATGATTATACATTAACTCAAGTGTGAAAAGCTGATGCCTGCTTTAGGTTTCCGAAAGAAACCGGTTACACGGGTCACCAAGGCCTACCCCACATAAGTAAACAATGCCTAGTAAAAAGATTATTAAAAAAAGGAATTTAAACAGAGTTCACATTTTGTGTGCGTATGTATTCGTGCATGCGTGTGCATGTCAGTGTGTATGCAATAAGATGGAAAATATTTAAACTTGCATACAACTTACCTCATCGAAGGACTTCTTCTCGTGTTCGGCTTGTTGCATTTTCATTGTCCAGAAAGTATATCGTCGAGGGCATCGTCTCGTGCAGGCGTCCAGCACGCGACAATACGTAGTACGCGATGAACAACGGTGCACGTGTTGAGCGAACGAATGCAACAAACTGTACACGCCCGAACATGACGAGCATTCTGTAGTAGCACGATCGTATAGCACCTGAATAGATCGACTATATTCATATTCACATAGCATGAGTACGGTGACGTTTGGGATTTGAAGCTTTTAGTGATGTGCTAATGAAAATATGTACATTGAAAAGCTCGAATGAATTGAGTTTATTTCTAAAAGAGATAATCGATTTTGAGGTCAATGTAGATATAATAGAATTTAAGAAAAATATTTATTCGCCAACCTGATGAAGCCGAGTCGGAAAAATGCAAAATTTAGTTATAGTTATATACATTTAATTCTTACTACAAAAAAAAAATAATTGTCAATTGATTACAGAATACATATTTTGATTACAGCAATTTTATTAATTCAATAAGTATTTTAAAAAAAAGGGACCGTTATTCGTAACAAGTATTGATTGAAATTATGACTGACTTTGAGATGCTATATACATATTTCCTATATGCTATATTTCCTTTTTCAATTCACCAATCAGTTTTCACCAAAAATTACGAAACCTTTTATAAATCGATTATAAAAAATAGATGATTATAAAAGATAGAAGGAAAAAGATGATTACAATTATTATTTTTTTTAATTGTTGTCTTTATTAAATTTTCTAATTTACTTAATATGTAGCGTTTTGAAAGCACGATGCAAAAGCAATAAAATAGTCATGTATATACGAACGAAATGTCTCATAATTTCGTTTTTGACCACAAATATAAAAACAACTCGCCTTCAATATACCGTCGCTATCACATTCTCCATATTTTTCGTCTTGAGACAATTCTTTAACTGTATCTATATACTCTTGATACAACTTGTATTTATCTTCTTGATTTCTGCAATTTAGGACAATTAAACATAAACTATTATTGTTCAATTAGACATACAAAAAATCTATATATATAAACTAAAAAATATTTAAAAAAACATTTAAAATAACCATATAACAATAAAACTTACTCAATAGTCAACAACTTGTCCTCAAATGATGTTATTTTTTGCAAATAATCCAATGCAGCCTCATGTTGTTTTTTTACCTAAAAGTTTAGAAAAATGGCGTTAGTAATTTATTCAAAACAATATCACTTTAATGAGTGCACATTTATAAATAAAATTGATTAAAAAGGCAAATTGGTTTTAATTATATAAAAAAAACTGATATCAGCAAGTGCAACATTTGTGAACTTTGTTCTTTTTTTAATTTATAAATTAACCAATAAATCTTATTTATTGAATTGGAATGATGGTTAGCCAAATAATAATAATTTTAATGTACATCAGTCAGTTTCTATAACAGATTAAAAAAAACACTGCCACTTATATGATTTTAAATGGTCACACTAATGACAATTGAAACAATTTTATGAACTTACTTAGCGCTTTAAAAATTATGACAAATCTATATTAATATTATAAAGAGGTAAAATTTCTAACTTTGTTTGTTTGTGGGCGGTAATCTTCGGAAATACGGATCCGATCATGAAAATTCTTTCAGCTATGGGAAGCTAAATTTGCATTTTACAATTACATTTACGCGGACGAATTCATGGAAAAACATCTTGAGTGCTATTAATAAACAAGGTTTTGCGTCAGAGTAAATATACGTTAAAATTTGGTACTAGTCCAATTTCATATAATACAGAGAATAAGCAAAGCTACTACCTTCTAGGAGAAAATATTGCTCCCGAAAAACCTCGTACTAGGTTAACCTTTGCTAAGTCTCTGTTTAATAATGTGAATTTTGACTAATACTAAGTGCAATCTCGGCGTAAATTTACATAAACGCTAAACCTTGTTTATTAATAACACTGCTAGTGACTAATATTATTTATACTCTTACCTTGTCGACGTACTTCTGGTCGTGCAAAGATGCCGCTAGCTCTTCCAGCGGCTGCCACGCCTCGTCACTACGAAGCAGAGGCCTCGACACTGTCTCCTCGAGGCAAAATAGCACGCGCTCTTGTTGAGCTTTATATTCAGGATTTTCCTCACTAGTAAATTAAAACAAGAAAACTGCATTGCAGATATAAATATTTTTCAGTAATCTACGGATTTATAGAGTAATAAATTCTGTTAGTGATTTTTGTCCGAACCCAGGTCCAGGTATCCGAGATTGGATCATCGAATAGCACAAAATAAAATCGAAAATATTTTTAGATAGACATGAAATATGTCTAAAATAATATATAATAATAATAATATATAAAAGTATCAGTCATATAATAAGTTAAAAAGAATTTTATTTTCAAAATTTCCCGCGATAACGCCAACTTCTGTCATGGCGTCGCTATGACGTCACGCCTTTCTAAAAATAATATTATTCTATGTATGCATATGCTTCTCGGTGTTCTGATATTAGTAAGAGGAGCGTGACGTCACGCGCTGTTTGAGGTCACGTGACAACGAGTATAAAATATTTGTTTTTTCTGAATTAATTTAGGCCATAGTATAAATAAACATTTATTTTCATTTACTGTCTACACCCGTAATAGAATAGTTGTCCAAATTGGGAAATTTTATGTCTTCAGGTCACATACGTACGTATCATATACGTAGGCAACTTGGGACTAGTAATGTTATATTATTATAATTATTATTTATGATAGTAATAATAACTAATAATTGGTCACATTTTTTAATAGGTGATTTTGACCAATTTTCTTTAGTTACCCTTTAGGATATAGGCAATAAATACATGTTTTTTATTTTTTATTTTACTTACCTCATAGTCTCAAGCTGTGCTTTCTCTAACTCCAATTTAGCGTCCCAAAAAATTTTGCCTGAGAGGGGATCGGCGCCAGCTCGACGCAACACTTCATCAATATGGGTGCGAGCTGCATCAGTGTCTCCACTACTTATAGACCAAGTGCACCATTCACTCAGGATCGGAATGGCTGATACAATAAAAATGTCGAATTATAAACTCAATTTGAGTATTCTGCCTATTGAATTATGTATTTTAATGTAATAAAAAAGTTTTAATGTATAGAAATGAGTTTGAATATTTAAATTACAGTAACAATCCAGAGTAGCTTGTTGAAACAATTCTGCAATATGTGTTCGTGCCTCTTCAGAGTGTGCCAGGGTAACTTCTGTCTGCAGTCGCCGCAACCAATGCTCGGGCTGCAACACTGCCACTTGTTGCAGCCGATCAAATGCACTCCGCCAACGATCAAGCTCCGATAGTTCCCTTAATAAAAATATGTATACTAACATCAATTAACAGTGATTGTGAAACTTTATAATGATTGTGTATAGACTTTAATGTAGGTATGTATAATAGTAGCTCAAATAGGCTTACTTTAATTACTATAGATATTCCAAATTATACCTTAGGTAGTTAAAAAATTACCATAAAACCTGTATCAATTCTATATGGTCATCATAATTGTATGGATATTCAGCAATGCGCTGTTCTAGCTCAGCAATTTTTCTCTCAAGAACATCATCATACTCCTCATCCTGTAAAAATTATAACATTTAATCTCATTCTGAAAGAAAATTTTTATTTAGTTTTTGTTTTATACTTCTTTTACAATTAATAACACTTGGTTGGGTTTAATAAAAATATAAATGTTTTTATATATTTTGTTTTCTAGATGAGATGATTATATATACATTCTTTACTCTCAGCTCATTCTTCATAAAGCATGTTTAAAGAAAATGTAAATAAATAAAAACATGAAAATATCATTTAAGTTAGGTTAGATTAGCTTTATGACCAAAATAAAGCAACTTCCTTATTTAATAGGACCGCTGGATATGCACACCATTTTCTTTAATCTGTCAAACTTTTAATAACACTTGAAATAATCATGCTATTCAATAACATTATAATAATCATTGACTGTGGTTAACACATACTTGTGTCACTATAAGTGAAATTTGAAGGTAAAAACATTTTCTCTTACCAAGACCTTTGTTTTATTCATTTCGAAAATTGTAATAAACTTACTTTTATATATTTGGGCCATAAATGAAATTAATATAATAGAATCAATAGATCAGCAAATTAAACGGTGTAGAGAAAGAATGATTTCAAATTGGAATTGTCAAATACCTAATAAGAGTAACACGTAAACTAAATTTTACATGAAAAACTTAATTTCTTATTTAAATAGCTTTTAGAAACTTGTGTAAAATGAGTGTCTTAGTAATGTATAAATAAACAAATGCAAATAAACATATCGCCAAAATGGTACGAAACACACCTCCGAATCGTCTGAATCTCGGTCGCCGTCATCTTCTTCCACCACTTCTATCTCATTTTCTTCTTCCGATTCATTTCTAACCTCGTCTTCTACTATAGCCATGATAAAATAAATAGATAAAAATACTTATTTTCTCACTAAACCGTGTTTATTATCAAAATCCTTCACAGTTTGGTTATGATGGCGGATTAGTGATGCATCGAGCTTTGTTTTCAATCGAGTCAATCGAGTAACACTTTATTTTGACACTGTATTTGTCACTTTCCTGAAAACTATTTTAAATGGTTGTTTGATAGATTATAAACATACTGTCAATATATTTCATGGGATTCTGTTCTATGTTCATTGATAATAATTGTTAAAATTTGAATAGCCAAAATCGCAAAAACAAGCTGCTCTGTGTAATGACGCTGTTCACATGGTATTTGTATGACATGGTAACGTCACCGGTAAATATGTCAAGGTGACATAACCTGTTTATCAACTATTTATTTACGAAGTAAACAAATAATATTACGGAAGAGAAATTGAAGTTAAATTTTGTTTTGTATTTGTATCTACTCTGGTTTTGTATACCTATAAACATGAGCTAGAAATTGTGCGTTGTGAAAGGTTGCGGTGACAGCCGATCACAGAACATTTTCGTCGTTCATTAAATTCATAAAAATGTTGCATTACGTTATTTTACTAAAGTTCAACATTATTTTGTAAGCAGATTCTAAAAAGTACAATTTATTAGATTATTATCTAACAGGATGACCAACAACACGCGACTTATTTTCAAGTGTCAAGTACCCTATTTATCAAACGAGTGGTTGCCACCAGATGACACTTTATTTTAAGTGAATAAGCCAATTTATTTGTGCCTACTTTATTTCGTATTAATTCTTTCATGAGAATGATACTAATTTTATTAAGCATTTATTTAAAATTGCTTAAAGAAAGCACATTTGAAACTCTGGTGTAACTCGAGTCATCAAGACAAAATCTATTCGACTCGCATCACTATGATAGATTAGACGATTGTTGCCAGATTATTTAAAAAAAGGACCGTTTTTGACTCTAGGCAAGGAGATTTTATCTTAACCATGAATATGTGTTTTTTTGCCTACATTAATCTATATACCTATAAACTGGATTGCGTAGGATTAACATTCACTAATACAGCAGTAGCGCCGCCCCTTTTTTCTGTTTTTCGGAATTGCGATTGCCGCAATGACTATCTATACTTATAATTCTTGAACTATCTTATTCTATCTAGTCTCTTATTTATCAATCCGTTGCGAAATAGGTCAAGTTTAGTTTTGGAAATAGAGTCTGTGGCTGATCAATCTGGGACATAGTCATTTAACAAATAAAAGGCTCTCCTGTCCTGTCATTTTCGAAACTACGTAACTGGACTATTTGAACGAGAATTTATTTCTAAATCGAAGGCGGTAAGGTAGCAAGCAGATCTTGACAAAAACGTTTATTTATTAAATCTTTATAAGCACTTAATACAACAACAACTAACGAATTAATACCACTCCATCAGACTGATATACAATGACCTAAAAAAATAGATATGATTAATAGTTTTCTATGTATAGTAAATAAAAAAAAACACAAGACTTGTCTATCTCAGAAACTGCAAACGAAACAGAAAAATCGTCCCCAAATGCGCGGGACCCTTAGCATTTGCTACGTGGATAATCCGGCACTGTACTTATTACTTAGCATAACTTTACTATTTGTACTTATTTGTAACAGACTTAAAATCAGCAACTCGAGAGTGCAAAAACACCTTAAGTATCGTTAAGTATTCGTTTCATCGCAATCATTCACTGCCAGTGAACGATGAAGAGCGAGTGACTTTTTGTATGACGCAAAGCACCCAGTGATGAAAGACAGTTCATGTTTAAGCTTTTTCTGTTGACACACCAAAATAAATAAGCATGAACGTCTTATTTAGGATTACGTGGGTAAATCCCAAATAAGACATTTAATTTTCATATAACTTTATTAATTAACCAATAATAACTTTCTGCACTTAAAGAACCTTTAGTGGGACTGGACGAATTGAAATAACCCATATTTTCCATTCTTTAATATATAAAAAAATATAATGATAGATTACATTGTTTCTAATGTTAAACATAGAAATATCGTATTTTTCCAATCTCCGGACATCATATCGGTGTTATAATTTTAAATCAGTAATAATTACTATTTTGTAGCTTTGGCACCAATTTACTTCTAGAATTTTTGAAAAAGTTATATTTTCTAAACAGCCACATTTTTTCACAATCTATATGTTAACATCCAACACAGATGTGCTGTACGTCAGGTACCACAATTTGTCAGAGTTCTCCAGTCGATTTAAAACGCTACCCGCAAAACATTAAGGTTCTAAATCAAGTGGAGAAATTTAACAGATTTGTATTACCGAACGTGCTGTTGACTGTATATTATATTGCCTATTGAATTGCTTGGGCACTATTGTACCTTTATTATAGCTTTAATTATATTTGATAAGATTACATAATAGATTTCTCTACTGATTAAAATCCATGAACATTGCTGTGTCTTGTTACTTTACAATTTCTAATGTTATGCGAGCTTTTTGGCTAAAATCGCATTTATTTTTAGTATTTAATTTTATGCTTTACACTAATTAATAAATGCACCAATATTGGAATATTCTAATATCTATTCTCGATTGATTAAACATTTAAGTACCTACTTACCCTAAATAATTCAATCCAATTCAATCAGAAACATTTTTCAGACTTCAATTTCAACATCAATTCTTACGTATACAAGATATAATAATAAAAAAATTAAAATAATACAAGAAAATGTAGTACAAATTGAATACAACAAATCAGTCATTTCTGCAGTAAAATACTTATATAAATGATAGTACAGTAAAACTCACATGGTTCACAATATGCTTGCAAATATCATTGAAGCGCAGTAAATCCTGACCAATCAGAATTGTTTAAGTAACACATCATTATGCCTTCCGCACGCCGATTCCCGCCAAGTGCGAGTGAGACGCAAATCAAATGCGTAATATTATAGCTTATACTCCTTAAAATAAGACAGTTTACTTTTAACCACACGTTAAATCATCATGGAGATTAGTCTGGTCGATCTAAACCAATATTCTCGACGAGTTCTATTTTTCGGGTTTTACTGCACATCTTTTTAACATACATATGACGTATGAATAATTTGTTAATTATAATAATACTGTTCCTAGAACAAAATGAAAATAAAAATGTGCATTAAATGAAATAATCAATTGATATGGTCGGTGTATGATATGACGAGAACATTTTAAATACCAAATAAGAAAAAGTGTATTTTGATTATGAAAAAAGAAATAAGAAAATACTTAAGCCCCATACACGTCAATAGTTACATTCGACGTTTGCACATAAGAAACTGTTTGAATCAATATCATCCAGATCAAAGACACATGCCGAGTAAGTATTTAATTCTACTATTGAATTTAGAATCTTTTAAGTTTATAAAATTTGTCACTACTTGATACGATATATTCTACTGTATTACATTTATCAAAGAGTAGTCCGTTTAATCTTGATCTTCTTAAAATATAGAGAATATTTAACTTGAATGTAATATTGCATCTTCTTACAGCTAAATAGAGATTTTTTAATATGAATATTCGATATCTAATTCGAGATAATTATATCTATCACGTATCATTATTATAATAATATTAACGCAATTATGTACGTAAATTAGAATAAATGAGAATAATACTTGAATAAATGATTTGATGAATAAAATAGTCACTGAAACACACCTTCGACCCTGAAAATTACTATAATTAACAGTTTCAACTGAAATATTGGAAAATAGATAAAACACTTGGTTCATCCACATCAGAAAACACGTTCGTTGTCACGTATATCACGTTATTTAAAACTGTCAACTTTCTAATTGATTCGAACCTTAATAGGTCGCTGTTAAGTTCAAAATAGGTTGTTGAAATTTGACATATTAAAATAACCTGATATGCTGATATTACGATCAGAAAACTGTAATGGAACGTGGTGTCGATATGTACACGAACTTAGTTGTTTTTTTTTTTAATAAAGCTCCGATTTATATTCATAATAGGAACGATATACGACACTGTATTTCAACATAAGCTAATTTCATTAAGAAAATTAAATTGACGCATTTCATTTGTTCGCACTTATGTTGCATGCACTACACGTTTTCACAAAAATTTTTTGGTAATATTTTCGAAAAAAAAAATCTATAAAAATTAGTCGCGCTTGACCGTCTTTAGATTAGTTGGAGGTGACACAGTATGGTATGACGCGCAGTATAGAGTTGACGACGTCGCAGGCGACTGGCATCTGGACAGCCGTACTTGTTTTTAACTGCAGAATAAAGTTAAAAAAAAATTGCTCAATCGATTAAAACCTCTATTTAATTTCCTCAGCTTGGATAACATGATTTCCCCATACAGATTTTCAAAATTTATTTCATCCCCTTAGGGTTTGAATTTCCAAATATCCTTAGCAAGTGTCTACTCCACAAATCCAATCTACTGATCAAAGATCATCTCACTCTGAATCTGGACAAATACTTTTAAAAGTATAGATAATGAATTTACATACTGACAAGGATACGTAAGCGGTGAAAAGTGTGAAGACGCTTTTTAGAAGGCCGGCAAGATTGTGACAGCTGTCGAGAATAGTTTCGACTTCTGTCAGCTTATTGGAGATTATTGGAGTGTAATAGCACTTTGCATCATCAGTAATTTAATTTCGTACAATGACCCTGCACTATACATCTCTTTCACTCGTGCGCAAACAAATTGCTATTGCGCTTACACAGACGCATCTAGCCGATTTTGTCTTAGTAAAGTGAACCTAATATGTTTAGAATATTTATCAGCGGGCACAAAGTCAACGTATGAAATCATTTCTGTTTGGCGACCGTGCTATAGTGATTTTGTCGTGCCACAACAAAAAGTATACTTTATAGACCTGTGCGTCGTTGCAGCACTATGCCGTGGTGGGGGCGCCGGCCGCCTGCAGCTGCATCTGCCGCTGCATCTGCTCCAGCATCTCCTGCATGCGCCGGAGTTCCGCTTCCTAAACAACAGTGTTCGTAAGTATCAAGATCATTATTTTTTTGAATACTTATCGGACAATTATAAGATAAATATCTGATGACTATCCATAGTTGCTAACACAGAAAGGCTTTCAAAATACAAAAATATCATGATTGTATAATCTTGTTTTAAATTATAAATATAATATAAACAAAATATATAAAAAGGGGGCTTTTAATATATATATATAAGTATATATTATAGGTCCATCCTAGACAATCTTCTCTATCAAAAAATCATATTTGATAGTTGTTTAAAGATGATTTCCGTTAATAGCAAGTCCCAAAGTACAAAAAGAGTTTGCATAGTTTTATAATTATCAAAGTTTATTTATCTTATTGGGACAATTATAATTATCACTCTGAACCGTGCCAACAAACACCACCATTAAATATATATCGTTACGCTCCCTCGAGGGGTAGGCAGCGGACAGAATGCCACAAGGTACTGTCCTTACACACATCTTTCAAACCTCTATCAAACCAATTAAGCTTAATAAAGCAGTGATTAATATGTTTGGATTGCAAAACTTTCGCAAGAGCTGATTATAGGATGGGTAACCAGATAATTTATTAGGGGCTGTCCATTAATCACGTGAGGCTCGAAAGGGGGGGGAGGGTTCCACAAAAAAGTCACGAAATATCACAAGGGGGAGGGGGGGTGAAGTAACATATCACGTGTATTTATTTTTTCGACAAACGCGCGATACTCAACCGAAAAGCGGCGTAAATAAGTGTAATAAAATTATTTTTTCGTCAAACGTTCATTAAATAATAATATTCATAAAGTTTTTCGCATTCCTTTCATTATTTTTGTCAGTCAAAAACAACCTGCAAGTCCTGTAATCTTTCAGTCTACCTCTAGACATTATTGTACTCTTTAATTGTCTATAATACAATTAGAAAATTAAGATTCATTGTAAGTACTAAAAATACACGTGATATATGGGAGGGGGGGGGGTAGTCTTAAACCTCACCATGTATCACTATGGGGGAGGGGAGGTTAAAAAATGCCAAAAAAAACATCACGTGATTAATGGACGGCCCCTTATCTAAAGCACCTCCATAATTCTTAAGTCACGTTAAGCAGTTTGTCACACATTGAAATGACTGATGACGTTGATAGGTATAAATTTTGGCATTTACTAAACATGTCATTTTGACCAAGCCATATGTACTAACAAACTATATGTCGTACTCGTAAGAATTAACAAGACACTTGAGCGCCAATTCTATTTTTCCTCAAACAAAACTTCTGGAAATTTCCAATCGTTCTTTTACTTAAAAAAAGGGGTATTAGTGAATATTATAGAAGCAGTGTCAGCTCCTTCCTTCATTGCATGATAAATCATCGAAAACTGCATTTATTTAGAGTCGTTTCGAAAATAGACCTTCAGATGTCATGTTAATTCGTATGAGTTATTTTATTTTTAATAATAGTTTTCGATTCAGAAAAAATTAAAAGAACAATAAATACAGTAAAAAAATAATAGAGCTGCCTTACAAAAATCTGTACAAATTTATAGATACTATTTTGGCAATCTTAAAAGTGTTTCACAATAAGATACTGAAGTAGTTTTAAAAGAAATCAGTTTTGATATATCGTTATGACATACCTTTTCACGCAGAGCACGTTCACGTTCAGCTGGGTCTTCGGTAGACCCGTTGCTCAGTCCATTGGTCTCCGCTTCACTCAAGCCACTCTCAGTTGATCTTAACAGTTAAAAAAGCTATGTAAATATATTTCCAACCAATAAACAATAGGTGAAAAAAATTCAATACATTTTTCTATAGATATCTGTAATAAAAAATGCTAAATAATCCACTAAGCCAAGCTTCAGGTACGACGAGATGGAACTGTGGTTGTGGTTTCGCCACAACCTTTCCCAATCTGGATGACTGCTCTAACCGTTGACCTACCCGAGGCCCAACAGGACTGTCGAATTTCTCAAGTATACTCACGTATGCCGCTTGGGTACTTGTCCGCTACGTGCAAGACGCTCCGATCTATAGTTCTCGTAATGTACCTCCTGGGTCACTTCCTGCAAGTCCTGCATATGGGTGCTGCCAACAATAAGACATAAATATAGTGATTAGGCATTCTGTTTTTTTTATATGAATTATATTTAGAAATTTTAAATTATTCAGAAAGTTCTTAAAAGTAGTTTAAAACTTAAAGGTGGTTCACAAATTAAAAAATCTGTTCATTAGATTGCACTAGTACAAAATTACATTCATCTATTGTGCGTGTATGCTCTTTGAACTTGTCTATACTAATATTATGAAGAGTAAAGATTTGATTGTTTGCAGCGGATAGGCTCCGTAACTACTGGGCCGATTTTAAAAATTCTTTTATCTACTGGAAGCTACATCATATGCGGTGAACATCGCCTATTTTTTATCCCGAAAAACAGCAAAATGAAACAGTAGTGGAAGTGGAAGTCTGTCTCGGGAATTGAAACGACACTATACTAACCCTTGTTTACCCTTAAATTTGTCATTGTAATTATATAGTGTCATAACCACGCGGTCGAATCCGCTGGGTGAAAGTTTGTAATAAACCTATATATTTTATTATATGAATTTTATAAATTTACCGACTTATTAGCGTTTATAGTGCGAATTTTACGATTTTTGAAACTGCCATCTTATCTAAAGTTTCAGTAGGTGCATGTTAGATTATTCTTACATGAGCATAGTCCTCAGTTTGATGAAATCGCAATGGTCAGGGTTCTCAACTTCGACAACCCCCCACGGGTACAGTCGGCCGCGTACTCTGCGGCCGCGCACCTCCAGCTGCTGCCCGGCGCCGCACACAGCGAACGGTACCGCTGCTTTCAATTGACGGACCTACCAATAGCCATTATCATATAACGTTATAAAATAAGAATGTATTTTTTGAAACAAACAGTTTAACAAAAGTATAGTATACGATAATAGTCATTAGCGCCCACCTCCAGGTAGGAAATAATGTTATGTTCCTTATACTATATTATTATCTATCTAACTCAGTGTTTCCTAACCAGTGATCAGCGGAACGTATCATATAAAAACAATTAAAAACAGTAATTAAAATAATTTTATGCGTATTTTATTAATTGATAGATGAAACGTGAAATAATATTTTATTTGTATAGACTAGGTATAGCATATTATTAAACTAAGACAAAAACGTTAAAAATACTAATCTAGGTGTTAAGCGGGGTTTCCACTAGATGGGCATGACCGCGGGCAAGTCTGAAGACATGTCTGCACTACCTCCTTTAGTATAAGTGTAGGACTGTCGCAGTCATTACACAGACGTATAGTAACAAGGTCTGGTAGGAATGTCTGCAGACTTGCTAGCGGGTGTCCTCGTCTAGTGAATTCTCCGCTTTACACACTCCTCAGGCACCCCACACGCAATCAAAGTACTTAATATTGTGTAGTCTTTTTGTGCATAGTTATTAATTTTACTTACTATTAAAAAAAATACTGAAACCACTAGATTTCGATTTCGAAAATATTCATCCAGAACACTGTTATTTCACTGTGGGCGTGGCGCAGAATGGCGACAGAGAAGGGGACAAGAAGACTGAGGAGCTGACCCTTTATAAAAAATCTTAAACACAGTGTAAATATAAGTATACAGTGGTGAAACTGCCTATAAGCGTTCGAAATCGCACGCACACATAAACACGCTCACCGACGAGCCGCCTAAGTGGACCTAACAGGACGCTCAGAAACGCGTAGCGCGTCGAGATGAGGGTTCACGTTATACGTTCCGCGATCGTTTTTATTTAAAAAATTAAGGAAAGATTAAGGAAAGGAGTAGGCTTATATGAAATAAAAAATAAGATTTTTGTATGATCTGGAAATATATTTTAACCGCCCAGTTTTCGCATATGTTATTTCTATATCATGTGGTGATAATAGAATAATATAAGTAGATATCACCATCTGCACAAATGTGTATGTATATTGTTTGTTTGTTAATTAGTTATTACAATTCGATTGATTGATAATGTCAGAACTCCTTTTATATTTTGTAAAAGAAACATTCAAAACGACAACCCTACGGTTTCAATGGAGCGTAGGTATTTATTTTATCAAATAGGCTTAGTTTCTATACTGTGTCATTCTTATACTGTGTCTTAAGTGTTGCTATTATAAAAGTTTTAAGCAATTAAACTATTATAATTTTTCTAACCCCATCAATCTTACCTGTTCTTTATAATCCTCGTCTTCATCACTGTCACAATCAGGCAGTGGATAAATCTTAATGCCTTCCTTTTCAATCTCTTCCATAACTCTGGTCTTTAGGCGCTGTACCTCTTTTTTAGTGAGACAATCTGCCTTTGCGATAACAGGCACAATATTCACTTTATTGTGAAGTTGTTTCATGAACTCAATGTCCAGTGGTTTCAACCTATACACAAAAAGGATCAGATATATTATTGTTTATATATGTCACAGGATGATAAAAACAGTGTTTTATTTGTATTGTTTTTATAACAGTATTGTTATTATGTTCAGGATTATTATAAAATAAAATCCTGCAGATCTTAACAAAATGCTCAGATTATATTTGTTCACAATATTTTGAGACAGATATTGTGTGTAGTTTTGGCATTTATAATTTGTTACTGACTGTTTCTATGCTTCACCCGCATGGTCAATGGGAGACTGAGATTTTTTTTGATACAATTTACATATGTCACTCAGGATTCCCACCTATTTCCACACACAAAGTCATACTTCAACAATGCTTCATTGCGACGTAGAAGAAAGACAAACAAAACATTTTCCCATTTATAATATAACATATAGATTACCCATGCCCAAATGGTGAAATGAAGTAGAAGCAGCAATGAATCCTATTATCAACAATGTTGCGGCGGTTGAGACCACTCTCATCGCGTAAGAACCGCTCAAATTGTTCATCAATGTACTGGATAATAGACTGTAAACAGAGTTATAAATAATAGGTAATTAGTAGTTGTTTGCTAAAAAATATATAGTGGAGTGTGTTCCTTTCACATATTGACGCTGGAAAGCAAACAGGTAGTAACCTGCAAAACCAAAATGGACATTTGGAGGGGAAAATCTTTAAATTTTTCCAAAAGGAAAATCTTATTTCCATATAAATTGACTAAGGAGCACCTTATTTGTTACCATGGACGTTTATAGGAATTATTTATCGAAAAGAAATAAAAGTTTTTGTACTCCGAAGAACACTTGATTTTGTGGGTCACTACTTGTTTGCTTTCAAGCGTCTATATATATATAAATACTAGTGGACGCCCGCGACTTCGTCCGCGTGGAAGTCGGTATCCCGTGGGAGTGAGAAGTTTTCCCAGTAAAAAGTACCCTATGTGTTATTCTGATGTATAACCTATATTGCTGTAAAGTTTTATCCAAATCCGTCCAGTAGTTTTTTCGTGAAAGAGTAACAAACATCCATACATCCATACTTACAAACTTTCGCCTTTATAATATTAATAGGATTTACAACTATTTAAATAGTTTCTTATTAGTGTTTGAGTGAGTGGTTGTTAACCTAGGGGGTAAATCAGCTATTTTGTGGGAGTTACAAAGAACCCTAATATTTAAGACCAAATTTATTTAAACATTCTCAATGTGTTACATGATTAAAAATGTGCTTTAAGTGAAAATAAAACAATCATTTCATGTGCATATCAAGACTCTTGATATTTCAGGAGTAAGATGTTGGGTAAATTCAGTTTTCCTTTTCATTTCTTTCAATTGTTCAATATATGTATTATTTTTGTAATGACTTGATTTATGTAAATGTCATTATTACTTATGATAAAAAGCTGGTAAGTTTCTTTCGCTTGTTCTTCTTGTCAGCTAAAAGTTTCCTGAACAAGTGGTAGGGGAAAAAATATTTTTGGACGATTCAAAAGTGCTTGTAACAAGCTTACTTGAATAAAACATTTTCATTTCATTTCCTAATAGTTCACATGGGTAATAATCGTGCAAAGTTTAAGTACCTTTGGTCTAAGTGATTATGTGCCTCTTACTAAATAGTGATGTGATTGAGAAATTGTTGCATGTTAAATTGGTTTACCATATAAAAAAAAATCCACTGTCTCTTTACCATTAAATTCCTAAAAAGATATATCATAGGAAATTTGTATCAATAATTCTAAAGTCCTTAGTACCTGTTTGTTTGTGATTTTCGATAACAGTAATGATGTTTATGGTACAGAAAATATCAATAAAGCATTATAAATGCCTTCACCTTTTTTTATTTATTGAATTGTGAGCTCTGAAGTTATTTTTCCAGACTAAATTAATCAATGACATCAGATATGAGCACAATGCTTTATTTTATACACAAGTCTATTAACTAAATACTTAGTGCTGAATAAATAAGAGCAGTTTTACTAAATATGGTAATAAGAATTAGTGATGATTAATTAAAGGTCTTGTACTCCCAATATAGAGTAATTGACACTTTGACCTTTTTGATTAGCTTCATTAGGTAATAGAACTGGTATATTTATAACATAAAAATATTTGAATAAAGAATCACACATATAACTTAAAACCCAGATTAATACAATAAAAAATGTAGTATTTTGTAATTTAAATGCCTTTTTCAAGGACAACAATTAAATTAATCACAAAACTTTCCCAGAGATGACATACATCATGAGATGGTTTGGAAGTAATCATGCATCTTATTAATATAATATACATTTTTCTATCTTATCATGCTTCATATGTGTCAATCTAGCTAGGATCTTAAAAACATAACAAACTATTTCTACTTACGCGAAAGCAGTCTGTGTTGTCAATAGCGTCACCATAACCAGGTGTATCAACTACTGTAAGGCGAAGCTTGACTCCCCTTTCTTCAATCTCAACAGTAGATGCGTCTAGTTTAACAGTTTGATTTGTTTTCTCTGTAAAGAATTTAATAGTTGGTTGTTTGATATTGAAAAATTGAGAAGTAACAGATTATCTTGGTATGGCCATGGATGACAGATGATTGGCATGTTACAAAAAGGATTATGAGCATGAATGTGGATAGAAATGCAAGAAGAGGAAGACAAAAGAAAAGATGGATAGACTGTGTGAAAGAATATCTTTTTTGTAAGAAAAAAGTTAATATTGAGATGACAGCTGGTCGATAAGTCTGTAGAAGGATGCAAATTCTACTGACCCCAAATAAATAATCAATATAAAGGCAAACAAAGTATAAATCAATTAATATTATTTAACCTGATTATAATTATCAACATCAATACGGGTGGATTTTATCTAATAATAAATTAAGTAAAGAAATTCATAAAGTAGTTATTGTAATGCTTAAAAAATTATTTATTTGTAAAAATACTTACCTATAGCATCAGGAATCACTCTCTCTGGATAAAGATCAGTAAGGAATAGTGAATTCACAAGAGTTGACTTGCCCAAGCCACTCTCTCCCACTACCATAAGGGTAAACTCAAAGCCTTTTTTCACAGACTTGCGGTGAACTTGGTTTGGCAAATTTGCAAAGCCAACATAACCTGGGGTCTCCAGGTTGGAAAACTACAAAATAATAATAAATCATCTGTACTGAAGTTTATAAAAGATATCTCAATTTAATTAGAAAGACAATATTTTTGAAAATTTCTTCTTCTCACAAAGTTCTATTTATAATAAAAGAGGGATAAAGATACAGAATGAGTAATTGTTTTATCAGTACAAACAATGCCTACCGACGTTATCCTATTTTAAATGAGCGCATTGATAGCGTTCGAGACTAATGGACCAGCAAACATGAAGCTTATACACAAAGTTATGTAGAACAAAAGGGAAAAAGTAAGTGTTACACACTCACACAAGAAATATTCGATTGGTATTCGGCACGCACAAACATTGACATACATCCGTTGTTAACTGTTTCAGAATCCATTTCAACGACGTGCATAAATAACATCTGAATATTATTAGTAGTAAAAACATTTAAACAGTGATGACTAAGCCAATACGTGTATCGTTAATGAATCTACTGCTCAATCAAAATCTGCCATTTGTATAAATCACAATTACTGTTTGGGTTTTGCTGTAGCGAATTTTATAAAAAAAATCGAAAATATTATATGAGTACTTACGTTTTTATTTGCAGTCGTATCGTTAGACATTTTATTTATGGATTGAAACGTATCTTAAGGAAACGCAACTTGATCCTTTGGTGCAATTAATAATCAGAAATAAATTGTATAATTAGTGCTTGCTATTGTGGTAAAGAGACCAAACCGATTTATCCCGAGAAAACTAATCAACCACAGATTTTTTAGACAGAATTCCGGTGCTGGGATCAAGGGGGGGGGGGTCAGGAAATGACATTTCTGAATAGAAAGTGGCGCTAGCTACATCTCCGCCTCGGAACTAATCACAAAGAGTTGCCAGAAATGAAAACTAGAACAATGATGACAAAAAAAAGACAGAGTCTTTGTCTGTCTGTCCTTCACTGACTTGTTTCATTATTGTTATTATAGGCCCTTTACATTAATGCCCATGATGGGCGATCACTGAGTGCCAACACAATTGTAACCATCATTGCGCCGCTGTGGCCACGACCGACCATCCCACATTTGATAATTGCTATCTGTCGAAACAAGAATCCAAATTGTTCTTATGGAGCGCCTTTTTGGCAAAATTCTATAAACTTAAATGATTCATTATATGTCTTTTGCGGCTACAACTTTTTAGCATCGATTATAGGCAAAACACCACGTGTCTGCACCGTATTATAAACTTTCTTTGATGATTATTTCAAAAACCAACACAATGGCGATCATGCATGATTATTAAAAAGTTTTTATTACATTTACAAAACAAAATAAATGTAAGTACAGATTTACAAGCACGGCTCAAACCACAGATTATACAGCGTGTTTGGTAATACCTGTATAATCCCGAATATGGCACATACGGTATGATGAATAGAACCCAGAAAAATGATCACTAAGACTGAAACCCAGCACATGACCTAGATATTCAGCTTTTTTTCTTCGAAGTAAAACTGTACGCTGACAACCCTAAAAACAGCTGTTGTGTTGTATTTGGTCATCGACTCCATGTGCCGAACTAGTTTAAAAAATAACAGAAGTTAAATAAATCTAAAGATAAATGCCTAGAATAAATATGCATCTGAGAGGAATTTATTATTTCCAAACAAAGAAAAAGTAGGTAGTAAATGACTTTTAACTATAAAAAAACACTAATCTTGTGATTAACGGTGTTTCAAAAACTATTAATATGAAAACTTTTGTATTAATACAGTCAAAATAAAAAAGAAATTGCAAATACTTTGATTGAAGTTCAATATCTGCACCATTGCTCACATTAGTCTATGCAAGAAGGAGCGAGAGAGACATAAAATCGACGACGATGTGTATTGAGAAACTCGGGTTTCTGATGTGTCAGTAAGGTTCTGTATTATTGTATTATTTGCTTTGAAGTTTTGTTAATTTTTTCATAAAGCCGTGTTATTTTCACGAAACAATAAAATACGGACTTATACAATGATATTAATAATCTAAGTATCTCTCTTATTCTTAGTTTAAATGATAATTAAATAAAGGTTAGTTGTAATGGAAAGGTCTAATAATAAATAATATTTCTTGACGCGGAACCCCAAAATCGGTACACTTTTGATTTAGGTACATTGGTGTTCGAGTTGCAATAATAATAACCTATGTAGTTTTGGTCATCGCGTCAGTCGCGTCCGTGACTTTCATCGGCGTACTTGTGAGTTTTCAGAATTTAGAAGGTCAACTTACGTTTTCGTTCTTTCGGGACTTTTGGTTTGTTTTTCATTCTCGTTCTGTTTACCTGTGTATTATGTTTGTGTGCGGTCAGTGCAATGAATTCGTACTCAAATGCCTAATATTACGAGATGATAATGTGTGGCGGTGCTTGTGACGGTAATCTTGCTGCGGCTCGGCGGCGTTATGACGAGCGTCTTCCTTCTTACCGGTGATTCGCGGCATTTGTGAATTGGTTACATACAACTGGTTCATTCCATAGTGTGCCACAGGTAGGCCGGCCGATCACCTATTCCATCGAGATAGAAGATATGACTTTACGTCGAGAGTAACACGACACGGTCTGTGTCGAGTCGAATGGAGATGTGTGTTTTATGCGGTGGCCGGCATATCGAGACCCTGGACTGATAAAGTGGAGGTGAAGTGTAGGTAATGTTGCCAAGTGAAAGCTGAAAGAGTGATTAGAACGCTGTAGGTATGTACCTATTTAATCTTAAATTGTTTTAATTACAAGTAAACTCATACGTAGTCGAGTGCGCGCGTCGGCAACATCAAAATGTATTCAAGGAAACGAGAGAGTGAGAGGTAATGAGAGAGAGAGAGAGAGAGAGAAAGAGCGAGTGCGCCGGGACGGCACGTATAAACTTACAGGGTTGTAGCATAGTAATTGAAAACAAATTGTTCAAATATTTGTATGAAAATATCAATTTACATGAAATTGTTTTTTGACCTATCAATTGTGTTCTTTGTGCTAGGTTGTATGGCCATGTTTCGGGATTATACAGGTATTACCAAACACGCTGTATAGTTTTTATAACTGTACTTAAGTACAGTTCAAACGTCACTTAAACAGGTTTTCGTTTCTGATTTTAGTTTTTTAATTATCAGTTGATAGCAGTTTGACAAAACTAGGCCTTTTTAAGTTATGAAATGTAAAAGACTTAAAAATTATAAGTTGAGATTTTGTACTTTTCTCAATTTAGAAACCGTTTGTGAATGAATTAATCTAGAAACGATTTCTTTTCAGAGTATTTCGTTATAATTTTTGTGATATTTCAGTAGAGACCTAATTGCAAAATACTTATATTTTATAAGTTTATAATATCGTTAAGCTAAATAGTCTTAATTTCAATGCCTTAATAAAATAAACAACAACAACTGTCAATGTAAAGTGATATGAAGTAATGTCAAAGAGGATTTTCCCTGTGAATATTTTTCGTAGTGTATTTAAACATCAACTAATTTGTACATTAAGTGCTGTTTAAAAATTAAAAACTTCGTGTTGAAAATTCACTAATGCAATGGCGACGTCCAGCGATACTTCAGACCAAAATGTGAAATCCAGGCGTCCAGCTGGTATGTGCTTAGCCAAAAGTTATTCTACCGCGACCTTGTTGCTTATATTGATTACTTACTTTACATTTTGATATTGTTACAGAATCTGCTTTCAAGCAGCAGCGTTTACCTGCCTGGCAACCTATTCTGACTGCTGGAACTGTTTTGCCAACTTTCTTTGTAATAGGAATCGCCTTCATTCCTGTTGGAATAGGACTATTGTATTTCTCAGATGAGGTAACATTCAAAAATAGCATAAACATATACAAAATTGCAATACCAATGTGATGTTAAAATGAGAAAAGATGAAAATTATTTAGTGTTTTGATAAATAATGTATACTAGTGTTGATGTTAAAGATTCAATTAGTGTTAAAGATGTTGTTATCTACAAGGAGGCTTTCATTAATAAATAGTAGTGTAGAAATGTAGTTTCCATTTTACTTTTAAACTTTGAAAAATACTGATTTATTTTTTTGCAGGTCAAAGAAAAGGTGATAGACTATACAGATTGTGTAAAAGAAGATGAGAACATATCTTGCGCAGAATACATAAAACAAAACTTTTTGGCACCATGCACTTGTAGATTGGACTTCAATTTAACTGAGGATTTTAAGGGTGATGTGTACTTTTACTATGGGCTGAGCAATTACTATCAAAATCACCGTAGATATGTAAAATCAAGGTTTGTATGATGATAATTCTTAATGAAACTAAAATGTGATTTCTTGTTTTTGATATTATTAGAAAATTTATATATCTTTTTGTATTCCTGTGTTAAATCACATAATTGAAGTAGATTTATTTATTATGGTTTTTTAATTATATTGATCAAATATATCAATACAAAAATATAATACTTGTTATTTAACACTTATCTAATATAGACATTGTTATCCTCAAGTATGCAATGTTGGTTTTTGAAAACAAGGAAAATATTGTTTTAATAATTTATGAACAAGAAGTTTTTCCTATTACTAACAAATAGGAACTATAAAATAAATCAACTCATTCTTTTCCAGAGATGATAATCAGCTCCTTGGACGTCTGTCAATGACACCATCTACAGACTGTCAACCATTCCAATTTGTTGATGATAAGCCAGTAGCACCATGTGGAGCGATAGCTAACTCACTATTCAATGGTATGCATAAGTATATAGTGTTATTTGTAAAACACCGGCAACCTCACTCTGGCCATATTTAAGTTTGTCCCAGGTTTGATTTAGTGGTTGGATGAATGTAGAAAATGAACTTTTCTACTAAAAGAGCAGAATTAAAAAATATATTATTGAGTTCTTTTTGTAATGTATCAAATAATAATACTGCAATAAGATTACTGTAGCACTTCGTTGCTTAAGTTCTAACACCGCGTAAGTAAAAAATGGCAACTTTTCAGGTGAGTGAAAAAACTGTGCCTTTTTATAAATAGCGGATGTAATGTAGATGTTTTTTTACAAAATATTATAAAACTAAATAGATTTGAAGATTTGTATATTAGTTATTACGAAAAATGATTATTTAATTTATTTTTGTGACATACGCAGTGTTACACATTATAATAAAAAATAGATATACTTACGCGGTGTTACAAATATATATACTGTTATTACTTTGAATCATTTATTTGAAATAAAACAAAAGTAGTACAATAAAGGTAACTTCTTTGGTTTAATAAAATACAAATCATAAATAATTCTCCAAAAAATAAAATAACTTCCACAAGTTTGTATCATTTTTGAACTAGTTAACTTTCATTAAGTACAAACAATTCAGATTTTTTTTTTACTTTAACATTATTATTTGGTATAAAATTACATAAACAAAGGAACTTTTAGTATTTGTTATGCTGAATCAGTCTAACTTTACATACAAAAAATATAAACAAAAATACAAAATTAAGTAAAATAAATTAGTCATTTTATTTTTTAATGAAGTAAACTATCGTAAAAACTATGACAGTCAGGAGGTATAACTGATTTCAGTTCTTGAAGATGTTTCCATTTAGATTCATTAATTTTTTGATAACCATTATAAAGTTTAGGCCTTGGACCTGGTCTAGTTCTAACATTTTTGGATCTTCTGGGCAAATCTTTATAGTCATCCTGGAAATTTAACTTATATTTAATAATACCATTAGGATTATACTCCAAAGCCCTTATATCTACCACAGTAGGATCGTTGGCCCTGCCTGGCTGGATGGACTCGTATAGAAATTCACTTTTATTTGAGTAGTCATGAAAAAAGTCATAAGAAAGAAAGTGAACGATAAAGGGTTGTTTTGGTCGAACCTCCTTAGAAATCGAAGCATACTGGGAAGGTAAGTATATTTCCTTATTTCTGAGCTTGCATTCAATGGCACTATGGCTGGAGTCGCACTCCATTTGAGTATGACCTTTTTCAAGGAATTTTTGGGTTATTACTACCTCATACTCCATGGCTAAATTTAAGAGAGCATTAGCTAAAACGACGTTTCTGTTTTGTGCTGTACATCCATCAGAAAATAGAATAATCGGCATAGGATTTTCTGCAAGAGTTTTTTTTAAGCAATCAATGACGCAGGATGCAAAAACAGAAGACACTAAACCTGCGTTGTATTCATCAAACCAGTAACAATGCACATTTTTGTAGCCAGGTTATACAATGTGAAATTGTGAACACAGAGCTTCGTTTTATAATATAAAGTGCTTGCCTGCAACATTGGACACAATTTGACTGACTGGAGATCGTGTGTAAATACATGTACTTCTCTTGCTAATGTTCGGTCCTTGTCTTTCTTTTTCTCCTCTCTAGCTGCCTCTTTTCGAATGACGTGACTGCGATAGATGTCTTCACTAATATTACCTGCTTTGAAAGCGCAGCATGTATCGCACTGATCTTTTTTCGGCTGATATAAACTTAAATTATTTTCTTTAAATATTTTGTCAAAGGACCATCGGCTCAATGGTTTCTTATTTTCTGAATTACATTTGTCACAATAAATTTTGAAAAGATGATTCTTGTTTTCGATTATGGGCTCCAGATATTGTCTGGAAGATGTAGCTCTGCAGTAGTGAGAAGGTATTTTTGGCAAACCATTTAGGAAATCCTTTAAAAAACCAATCTCGTCTTTTTTGGAGTGTCCTTCTAAAACCTGATGAGTAAGTTCAGGTTTTTTTGCCATTCCAAGCTTAGAAGTGGATAACCAATAACGTATGGTCCATTCTTTAATACCAAATGCATTCAAAAAAGTATTCTTGCAGACTTGTACACGACCATTTGAAGTTTCTAAAAAATACTCTTTGCTCTCACTACGCCTAGATGATGATTCCTTAGATTTGACCTGTTTTTTTGGACATACCCGAACATTTGAAATGACATATTGTTTACGCTGTTCCCACGTCATATTATTCCAATAATTGGAGAATAAGGTAATTCGTTCGTCCTCTGGTATTGAATCACAGCCACGAAGCTTAGATTTTTTACAAAACTCAGAAGTACATTGAGGGCCAATTGTTCTTGCTGGCCTAACAGTATCGTGTAATACCTTAAACTTTGGTCCTTTACTATCTCGCCGATACCCTAAGTATTCTTTTCCTTCCATTCTTAGTTTCTTGCTATCATTTTTAGCCCACCCTTTTTTGTCATAACGTCCTTTAGAACTTCTTTTTCGTCCAGAATTGAGATCACCATGTTCAACCTCATCATTTACTAGCAAGGAATGCTCAACCGTTGATGGAATATCTGTGTCTGTGTTTTCTTTCTATTTGTTCCATTAATACAGGCTCCATCGCACTCGATTGACCAACATTTAGATTAATAGGCTCGACATTCGAATCAACTGTAGCTTCAACCTCCAACAAATGGCACTGCGAAAGTTCACGTACGCTCATTTCGTCAATAATGTTGTCATTCTCTGGTATTATAACAACAGGCAAGTTGTTAATGTCGATATTTTCTGATTTTCCTTATTGGTGACTCTCGCATTTTTCTCTTGCTGTTGTATTTTTATTCCAAGATGTTTACATAGGTCATAAACCTCTTCATTATCACTACTTTCACAGTCCATTGTGAATTGATATCTGCAATATCAATACATTTAAACAAAAACCGTTATTAAAAAAAACACCGCGTAAGTCATTTTTTGCATTATTCAGAACACCGCGTAAGTAAAGTTACATTTTTAATCTATTTTCTTTCACAAAATACACAATATAAAGATACAAACAATACTTAAAAACAAAAAGCGCGATTTAATACCTCAAATCAACACTTAATATTGTTAAGATGAAAAATATTTACCTTGATTTACGATAATATTCTTTGGAGCACAAGTCGTCACCTGTTACAGTACGCAACTACACTGAGTTACGCGCTGTTTGCATATCGATTCCAGGGCAGCGTAGGTACGCTGTGTTTTTGTTTTAAAGATAAAACGCACTTATTAGTTGAAATTCTTGGTTCTGATTGGTCAAAGATGTTCGTCTTACGATCGTTTATCGAATGACATGTAAAACTTAAAATGCAATATTTTGGACATCTGCGGTGTTAGAACTTAAGCGACGACTTACTTTTTTAAAATATGATTCGAGGAATGTTCCATGTTTCAGATACACTAACTGTGCATTCTCTTGAGCTGAACACAGATGTTCCTGTTTTTCGAACTGGAATTGCATGGAGTTCAGATAAGCAGTTTAAATTTCGTAATCCACCTGGTGATTTGAAAGTTGGTAAGTATTTATTTTAGGAAGATTTACAGGCAAATATTAACATTAGGTTACATTGTAAATAATTCTGATGCTAACTATGTATGTCTTTATTTAATTTTGTGTTTGCTGATAAAGTGGGTGAAACTTGGCTAGAGTTAAATATTAGAGAAGCCTTTTAATATCAAAGGATTTATAGTAGGTAGGGTTTATAATTACTTTGCATTTGAACATCCAAACATATATAATGAGTTTTAACCTTATATGAAGGTACAAATCCCTATTTGCAAGTTTACTGTATAATAAATTAGTGAACTTACGAAGAATGTATGTTATATGTTGAAAAATTAATTAATTCTAAGAAAAATCTGCTCATAGAATTTCATCATCATTATTATTATTAATTTGATTGCAGATAAAAAAATATGTGTACCTTTCTCCCTTGCAGAATTTGCAAATTTCTCCAAACCTGTCAATTGGCGTGTCAATGTTTGGGAGCTGGATCCAGAAAACCCAGATAACAACGGCTTCCGGGTAAGAAAAAAAAAATTATTGACACAATACTTATTGGTTACTTTTATAAATTGTATTATCAGGCACATAGATATTGGTGGATTGCTCGTTGACATAATACTTTAATCATTCTAATTGGTCGACATTTGCTGCCCTTCGAAATTTGATATTCTATGCTAATCTTTGGAATAAGACTGTGATATAATAATGTTAATGTATGTAGAATGAAGACTTGATAGTATGGATGCGTACGGCGGCATTGCCTACGTTCCGCAAGCTGTACCGGCGCGTGGACCACAGCAAGGATGGCTTCTCCAAAGGACTCACTAAGGGCCCATACGTTCTCACCGTTGCATACAGTTAGTACTATTCAATAGGCTATATGCATAATTTTTTAATAGTGCCTTATCTATATTGCCTGCCACATGAAAGCCAAGACTGTGCATAACTACCAATTAATATAAGCTATATTTTACCAATCATTAATGAATTATCATATTTTATGCTATTATTTAATTATTAATTACGGGACGCACTGAAGTAGGTAATGAGTACATGATAAACAAAATGACTATCGAATTGTTTGTAAGAAGACATGGCAAATCATCAGATTTTTTGTCACCTGTCATTCGCATACAACGATTACAGTATAGAAAATTTGTTTCGTTCGCCCCTTCCGTTTCCGATGTTAACAGCTTTACAAGAACTTTAAAGTGGATGCATTTGTCAATTGTTTTCGCATATTAAGTAAAAAAAGCGTATTTTACCATAGATTACCCGGTGACAGACTTTGACGGAAGGAAGACCTTCATTATATCCACTACGTCTCTACTTGGAGGCAAGAATCCGTTCCTGGGCGTAGCATACGTTGTTGTCGGTACCCTATGCTTACTGCTTGGCATCGTCCTATTGGTTATACATGTTCGTTGCTCTAAGAGGTAAGTTTTACAATCAGTGTTCTTTATTTAAAATACCTAAGCTAATTGAAAGCACTTTTAAATTGTCCAGAATTTTTTACCTACCACACCTACTAATTAAATTACATACCAATTCATTACTTTTGGCTGATAAGACTAATGGGCCCAAGAAACTTGCTGTTGTAGTAATGAAATTTACTTAAAACTGTCTGTCTATCTGCCCGTTGCACAAACAACCATTAAAATTTACATTAGTTGTAAGCGACATTCACGATACAAATTTTAAAATTTAGAACATTCATTGTCATTAAACCTTAATGCATGTTTGTGCAACTGTGCGTATGTCAGTAGTTGTTGAACTTTTTTTGGCGATGGTACCCTTTTACACAGAGCACTAAAATAAAACGAGATACAATTTATTATAATGAATTTCATTAATATTTTACATTTTAAATGTCCCCCAAGATGTTCTTTACCCAACCTAGGTCTCCATGGAGCATACTTTGAGCAAGACTCATGTAAATCAATACGAATAGGTTGAATTTACTAATTAATTGTATTAATTTGTAATTAATATTTTGTTAATATCTGAAAAAGATGGAACCACTTTATGTATCAGTACTTTCTATTGCTGCTGATCTAACATTAAATTCACATAGACAATTCTTACAGTAACATTTCATCATCATGGGCCATGACCCTCCACGCTAGCCCAATGCGGATAGGAGGCTATTAACGACTGCAAATGCAGCCGGGACCAACGGATTAACGTGCCTTCCGAAGCACGGAGTAGCTCGAGATTATAAATTTTTTGTCACCCATCCCGTGACCGATCCTTGCGAAAGTTGCTTAACGACAACGATCGCGGGCCGCGGCGCTTATCCACCACGCCACCGAGCTACTCTAACAGTAACATTAACATTTAAATATAAAGAAAATGCGGTCATTCTTAAAAAAAAGGTTTAGTACTAAGTATGTTTATACAAAGAAAATACTTTTGGATGACTGTTTATTCGGTTCCTAGGAAAATTACAAATCAATCTATTTTCCACTTAATAAGTTTAGTACAATAAAATAATACCAAATAGCAAAAGTCAATGTAAACCCAACTACTTGATGACTAAGTTGATATTCGCTTAACAGATACCCACCTCCTATATCCCGGTCCTTCCTGCTAGTCGAACATCCCACAACACATAATGACAATGCGTGAGTTTGTAGGAGATATTACGTAAAATATGTAATTATTTTTTAGAAAATATTAATATGTAGAATGGCATTTATATAAATAATAATATTTAAAAAGTATATTTAAAGTTGTTTGTGATTTTTATTAAAAGTATAAATAATATTTTATCATACTGTTTGTATGGATTATATGTTTTCGGTATTTTCAATAGTAGTGTAATAGAAATAAACACCAGTCTGTTAACCAAAATATATTTATTAATTAGAAGAAATGTGTAAAAAATATCACCATCACTACCTATTATAAAACAAAGTCCCCGTCACGTCTGTCTTTCGGTCTGTTCGCGAAAATATCAAAAAGTACTCGACGAATTTTCATACAGTTTTCAATAACAGGGACACTGATCCCTGAGGAAGGTTTTAGTATATAATAAGTGTATAATAGAGTACTATGATATTAGTTCACCATGTCGGAAAAAATTAAGCCGATCGGCAGCTTTCCTCGATAACGCTGGCAAAACCTTTTGAGTTATTATAACAAAACAATGTATTGTGGGGTTATACCTCTTTTATCGATCTACAAAAAAGTCCACGATGGTATATGTCTTTATGTTCCAAGGATAACCCACAATTAAATTTTTTTGATTTTAGATATTACAGTAAAATGATGGGTTATTTTTAACAATTCAGTATTAATCTTTATTCAAAAATACTTTAGATACGTTCTGCCATCCCGAACCTAAACCACAGTAGTAGCAAAAATAAGAATCACTGTTTATTATTAAATTTTGCTTGTGAAGTGTAAGAAAAGTTAGAATACTAAATTAATTTACAAATTTCAGGTTGAAAACAGTACATATTAATGAGTTATAGCCATTATAATTTTTTAATCCCTATAATTGCTTCTAGTTTCTTTGCTAAATCGTTTGTTAAACTATTTTAAATGCAATAAACTGAGCTCTTACTGCATTTTCAACAGTTTTGTTAATGATAGTAGTAAATATTAGCGTATCTTAATGCCAATTACGGATTTTTATTATTTAATATAAATGCTCTATGTTACCGTCATTGCTTTGTCCTCATTCTATCCCATAAAATGGAATAAATACACTGCCAGGTATATTCCTGCCAATATATCAAGAATATTCATGTATATTTTTATACATTTATTTATACAAGAATACATTTTTTTGCAGCACAACCGAAATGATCAACGTGAATCCTCGTACGCCATACTCTTAAACATCGGATCTATAAACGAACAAAAATCATTGAGATATTATTAATTTATAGATATTTAATAATGTTATTTGTGTTAAATCTAATTGCAAATAATCAGTCAAAAACACAAATGTCAGAATTCTTCTATTGATATTAAATCTTACTATCTTAAAATTAGAGTTGAATATAATTCAGGAATTTTGATATTTGTGTGAACTAGATGCGCCGTTATGGTCTTTATATTTGTTTATGTACTTATAAGCTTTGTGTATATTACTGGGTTATGTTTAACGCGTAACCTTGTCTGTAAAATCGCCAATTTATCAAAAAATAAGGTTTAAATATGGCGGACATAAAAACATGGCGGATTAAAAGATTTATCTAAATTATTCTTGTTGATTTCTTTAACTTACTTGTTATTTAAAAAAGTACATTTAAAAAAAGAACTGTATAATTTTAATTTGTGTTGTGTACGTTGATCAAAAGTTAAATTAAAAATTTGTCTCTATTTTAACATTCCAAGAAGCGCACTTCGGTAAATTGATAGGGCAAATTATAACAACTAAAGATACTCCCACAGTAGATAAAAAATGTTTGAGTATGTTCCATAACGTTTTTTACACATTGAAGCAAAAGTTATTTATTGTGTCACACACACCTTACTTTATATAACTTCTGTGTGGGAGCGCGAATTCACAATAATATATTGCGATTTGTGCGGATGAGGCTAACAAAAAAATAATGTTGAAACAATATTATATAATTTCTTATAGTACATATTTAGTATTATTGTTTATGTATTTATATTGTTCAAATAGTATTTTAGTGTTATGTAGTTTTAAATTAAGTTTGCTTGCAAATGTTATTGTTTATTAGTAGGAACAAACTGAAGAAGTAAAGATCTTTTTACATCTAATCGATTTTGAAATATTATAACTAATTGGGTCATAAATAAAGATTTTTAAATGTGTATAAAATAGTCTACCTATATTACCTCTTATGGTGACGCCCGATTAGTTCGGAGAAGAGCAAGCGCGAAGCAGAGAGATATGAAACATTTTCAATAGTATACTTAATTCCCAGTCGTATTTTCTAAATAAAAAAAAAAACGAATAAATATTTCATTTTAAATTGTAATCTTTATCAATTAATCTGATTACATTCTAGGCTTTTTTGGTCCACAGATCAAACATGATTTCAAGGGAGCTTCATAAAATACAATAAATTCCGAATATGTGTTTTGCAAAAAAAAAATTTCCAAAAATTTTCGCTATGTCAAAATGAAATGGAAATTAAATATACACTCGACATGCGTAGCGAGGTGTAGATTTTTGGTAGCATTTATTGTTGTCAAATACGCGAACGCGGACCACAGTTTGGGAAACATACGATTTATACGAAATTTAAATTTGAAAATCAAAATAAGATTATTTGTACTGTAGCTTTTTAAATGTACACACGGTCGCACGTGAACAGCGTAAGCAGATATTTGTTAGTAGGGAAGTTCATATGAAACGCGGTGGGTAGAAAATCCATAATAGATAGTCTCACGCGCAGCCGTTTGTAATCTAACCTTTTTTTAAATACGAATAGGTGCATTTCAAAGATCACAATATCTATTTTTTTAGCTTTTTCTTGTAGCACCTTAGTTTTTTTTTTTTAACGTTAGTGATGTTGATGTGATGTATATATTAACTGCTGTATATGTTACGATCTATTTTTAACTTATAAACTATGCAGTTAATATTAATATAACATATATAGTGTTATTATTTAAGGTTGATTTTACTTGGTATATTTTTAAGTTCCCTAACCTGAAATGACTTCTTTACTGATTTTTTTATATGTCTATAGCTTGCACTAATAAATTATTTAGATTGTATGAACTATTTGTGTAGACAAATAAGTGCCTTGTGTACGTATTAAATAATTTAAAAGGGTAGATTTTAATAATGTATGAAATAGATACTAGTAGTTGAAATAACGAGCTAAGGTCCACATCTAATCTATTAATATAATTTATCATCATGCCTCATTTTATTGGCCGGTAGATTAATGACCGGCCAATGTAAATTGAACCACTAAAAGGGCCCTGTTTATTTCCAAATTCTAACCTCAACGTTATTGACATATTATAAAATTTTAATTCTATTTATCATATAATAATTACTTGGTGTAAAAAGTGCACCGTTTAGGCGTTCTTGATATTTAATAATTAACGATCAGTTGCACAAACCTCCATTAATGACGTCTTTAAGCTAATGAATGACCAATTTGTATGGGTAATGTTGCTTTAAACTGTATTAATGGACGTTTGTGCAACTGATAGTAAATGCCTTAACAATGTTTTAATGAAAACATTATAACACGAGTTCTGTTCGAAAATCCGCCAGATTTTGGTTGTGCCGACTATTTTCTAGGGACCTATCGCCATCTCTTAGCGCAGTCTCGTTCTAGTCTTATCGAGCTATTTGGTACTATGACCTCCTTAAAGTAAATTATTTTAATATCGTTCCCATTAGATGTTTTGTAATGATATCACTAAATTTTTCGCTTAATTATTACTTGCTTTTATTGCACTGACGTTAAAATACGTTTGCGAACTGAATTATTCTGAAGAGATTCTATTTAGCATGGAATTGAGTTGACAATTTTGCAAAACCATGCATTCACTCGCAGGGTATTGTTTTGTAAACAATATTATTTTAAGCTTAAAATAATACCAACGTTGTTGAAATATGATGCACTAGTTAGTTTTCATGCAGTGTATAAATCACTTATATCTCACTTGTACAATCGCGCTCGTGTCATATGTGTATGTGCATGCATTTGACGATAAGAAATATGCCGATCGCTCCGTTCTAATTCCAGAGCGATCGAATTATATTATCGGCTGATTAAAATCGCTAGTGCCCTGGGTCTAAGGCATCTGCAACATGTCAATCCGTATGAAAATTGAGATTAATTTAATTAAAACATCAAGAACGCCTTAACTCTTTACTTCAGCAATAGCACATTTAAAGGTATACTAATTAGTTATACATTGTCATATTGTTGTACTGTTGTACTGTAGCGCATATTTGTATGTCTAGTAACATAAGTATTTCTATATTTTCTATTTAAAATATGGCCTAATTAAATTTATTGTTTAGATTATAAAAATAAAAAATATAACAAAAATAGGTCATACGATAGTATACCTACATAACAATGTTATCCTAATGTGCGTTACATACTCTGATTTTTATATTAATTCGTGTTTGATGCACAATATAGTACTATCACGTGACTCACGCTTCGATTCGGATAAGATAAGTTGAAGTTAAACACAGATTATAAAAGCACTAAATAGGTCTATATGAAATGGGCGTGGCACAAGCCCGTTTAATGAATGATCAATAAATAATATGTATCCTTCGTACGCAAATAGCGGATGTTACCTTGGGCAGTGTTTACCTGTAACAGAGTTAAAACTGCCCAAGAGTTGCGTAACAGTTTACGCAGCTCTTGGTGCATTAGATAGAATACCGAGTTCACCGCTAATTAACTTACACACACAACATTTGTTGTTAATAACATTTTGCTTACTTAATACGGTAAAATATCTGTGCACGCATTTTAAAATTGAAACTATCACACGATATTTGAAATTTTAAACAGAGGGTCTGCAGCAGGTATATTGAATGTTCTACACAAATTTCTTCAAAGGCATTTACTATATATCTTTTCTAAATTAATCATAGCACATTGTAATGTATTTAATATTCTACTAATTATCATTATTAATAAATGTTTTAGATTATGAATCGCATTTTTATTATCTGATTTCTTATTTACCGTTATCAAGTTAAAACGGCAAAGCAAAAAGTATATACCAAGACTGACGAATGAATTAATAAATAAAATACCTAATCATTTTAAATATACGATACCACCTAGCTTTCCGGCCGCGGCTTCGCCCGCGTGGTATTCGATTGTTATAGCACTCGTCGTTCCTCGCAATAAAACTATCCTTGTCCTGTTCCAGGGTCCACCCTATCTGTGTACCAAATTTCATTACTTATATCACATAGTTACTTTATATTAGTATGGATTATATTTATATTAGTATGGATTAATTATTTTTCAATCATTTAATACGCAAAAATGCATTTTTTTAAACAAAGTTTAATCGTTTTATGTATCTCTAGAGTAAGAGCACTTAGAAAATTTTTGAAATTAGCTCTAGAACACTTGTGAGACATAGCATGGTGCTCACAGTTGGCTTTGAGACGTTCTTCTCGTCGTATAAATGTCTCCATTAAAATTGACATTAGTTTAAAGCGACATTACCCATAAAATATTGACATTTGTACATCTGATCGTCAGACTCGCGAAACATAGAATGATGCTCACAGTCGAAGACCTCCGACGTTCTCGTCGAGTAAATTATAATCATTAACTTATAATGTTACATAAATCTTTTATAAGTAGTTTGGCTTTCAATTCTATACCCTGTCGTGTTGCCAAGAAAATAGAAATTATTATCGAATATATTCCGCTCCAAATCCGAATAATTCGGCCGAATACGAATGCCGAGTCAAAAACATGCCGAATACCAAACGAAAATCAATTACCTTTCGTCGTCAAAAAGTACTCATCGTCCTGAACAACTTTTCCTAAAGCGTTATATTTGTATATGTTAAGGCTTAGTTGGGCTGCTGGGGTTATAAGTAGCTGTTGTTCCCGATCTTAGATTTTTGTACGTCAATAAAAAAGTTTCACCATATTAAACAACTTTCCCTAAGATCTATTCATATCTCTTATGTTCCAAGTCATATTTTTGGCTTCTTTTACTTGTATTAATACCCCTTTGAGTATTTTTATTAACATTCAATGTACAGACTCAACATCCTCTATAGTTTTTTATATGTATAGATTTTGGACATTAATAGGGCAATATATGTAAAGATTAGATTAATATTAATTAGCATATCGGCTTTATTTTATCAAATTTATAGATCATTATGATAACACCTAAAATAGTCAGGTACGTATTAAGGATACATATATTGTATTATCATCATCTTCCACCTCCTTTCGCGATGGTACTCCGCAGCGGGTTTTTATCAGGTAGGCCAATCAGGCTTTGGCCTTCGGGACCTGTCCTAGTGGTTGGAGAGCCCTGAAGGCCTACTCTGTTTGTACAGGAAGGAAAATTCGACAAATTTCAGATCGTTCTTATAATTTTGTTGATACAATATACGTGAAGATTGTGTTTGCATCAGAGACAGTGACAGGTCCTTCTTCTTATTCATCATAAATGATCGAAAAATATAAAGAGTTATATTAGTGTTTGGAAAATGGACGAAATTTCGTTTTTCGTGAAACAGAGTAGGCCTTCTGATTTGAGGCATAAAGTGAACGTCTTTCTGTGTTCTGTTAAGTGCATTTACCCTGTGTTAACAGAAAAAAGATATAAATGAATTGATTGATACTTCAACTTTTATTAATCAAATATACCTATACGAATGTATCCTATACTATATGAATTTGTTAATTATAATATACCTAATAATAAATTCATAAGAATATTGTTGCAGAAATTGTTATTTCGACCAATCTATAAATTGGTTGAAATAACTTCCATATTTATAAAAAACGGCACGATAACATATAATCTTTTATTATGTTTCAGAATTTTAATCCTATAAATAATAAAAACATAACTACCAAAAATAATTTAATACCTACGTAAATTGAATACGACCACCAATTAGGTATTATAGAGTTAATTGTTAGTATATTGCTATGATAAGTTATTTTTTTGTGATAAGAAAATTTTCATGTAGGGTAATTTATTCGGCATAACGAAAATTTCACGATGGACAGAGCCGTTTTTTTGTGCCTAGCCTTAGCTTTGGGATTAGTGACAGGTCAACAGCATGAAGGTTCCCAACAGACCGAGGGTTTGTATGATCTGAATATCATACATTTCAACGATTTTCATGCACAGTAAGTATTTTTTTACTAATGACGAGAATTTAAGGACTCTGGATAAATTTTATTCGTTTTATTAATTCAGCATCAATGACTAATTTCTTGATTCACTTACATTTTGAATTATTCTATTAATACATTAAAATCAAATGGGAGAAGGTGCCGTAACCCACCACGCAGATCCAATGCAGTTTGATAGTTGGTAATTGCTAATGCACGGAAGAACTCGAAACCATATTGGTCATCCACCACTGTGGGCCTTATGAAGTTCGCAGACCCAACGCGCTAACCACTGCTACATCGAGCTTGTTGATATATCTTAATTGTTTTATACATATGTGAGCTTGATAGCGATTATCGAATGCATAACTTAGGTTATATAAGCTTAGTGACCATTTTATTTTGGCAAGCTCTTCCCTACTTCGGCATGTCCAGCTTAGTTCCGGCTGCATCTGCAATTTTCCTTTTCTAGCATCTCTGGGTCTGGTTTTGAGCGAGGCTATTTTTTTTTTTTTAAATTCCAATTGTATTTAGAATAGAACTTGATGAGTCTTGCTTTAAATCCCCCTTATGAGGGGGGATTGTACCAACTCCCCTTAAAAATGGGAGAGGCGCTGGTGATGAGTGAGGATGAGCGGAGGGGGTGGGAATTCACCCGGGAGCGTCTTGTTGGTCCACTGGCCCCCTCCTAAGGGGTAGAGAGAAGGAAAAGGGGATAGAGGGTGATGAGAAAGTGGGAACAGGGGTCGAAGAATGGTGAAAGAAGAAAGGTGAGGGTGAGGTGAGGATAGAACCCCTGTTCCCAGATAGAAATGGGTGATTGAGATGATTGTTGAAGGTATGAGAAAGCGTGAATGATGATTGGTGATAGATGATACAGAAGTAGGGTGTCCAGAATGATGAGGGCCCCGCCGCCCCGCGGCCGCCTCCACCAATGCTGGTGGCCGCGGCTGCGAGGCGCCGGGGCGATGAGCGAGGCTATTGCAATGACTTCAATGCTTATACATGCACATAATATTACCAAATAAAATTTTGATAAAATCTAATGTTTCTGGCAGATATTTATGTGGGGTAGGCAAATTCATCAAATGCCACAAAGTGCGGTCGTTGCAAATGTTTCTCACTTCTTTGGTTCTTTGACAGTAATAACTGCACACGCTTGTCGGATTTTAAATCTTCCGACATTACCGATTTACAATAAAAGAACACTAATAATCCTTCGTCAATATGTAGTTTTGAGGAGACCAGTCCATTCGGCACAGTATGTGTCCCAGAGGAAGCCGCTTGCATTGGGGGCTATGCAAGGCTATACACAGCCATCCACCAGGTCATGGAATTGGAGCCCGACTCGCTGTTGCTGAACGGTGGCGACACATTTCAAGGCACAATTTGGTACAATTTCCTGAGGTGGAACGTCAGCTATCATTTTATGAACAGGTTGCCGCATACCGCTCATGTTAGTTGACTTCTATTTTTCTTTTGTGCTTAAATGAGTGTAATATGTCTTGCACAATTAATGTATGAAGACGATATAGAAAGTTCATTTTCTACTTTAAATCACGGAATTCGAAACCAGGAACTCAAAGAGGGCGACAGTATTCGCAATTGTTTATTTAATAGTGTATACGAGACATAAATTATTATCTCCGATGTAACCAAAAAATTATTATCTCGAGCTACTCCGTGCTTCGGAAGGCACGTTAAGCCGTTGGTCCCGGCTGCATTTGCAGTCGTCAATACCCTCCAATCCGCATTGGGCCAGCGTGGAGGGTCATGGCCCATCCTCCTTAACCATCCATAAGGAAGGCCTGAGCCCCTGCAGTGGGGACGTAAAAGGGCTAGTGACGAGACATAAAAAATGTATTTATTCAACCTATTACGAATTGTGACACCAAGTTAGCCATTAATCCGAATGCATAAAGTTTGTAATATCCTAAATCACTTTGCGACTATATACTTTTACGATTTTAATCCTTAAAGCATTGTATTTATGTAGAGTTTGAAATTGTTTGAGAAAATTTGACTTGTTTGATATTGTGGTAGCCTGAAATGCAGTCATGTGTACTATGATTTTTTGTTTTTTTTTTCTATGTCTTTCATACAAAATGAACGACTACAGATACATATTATTTCAACAGGTGCTAGGAAACCATGAGTTTGATCATGGCATAGAAGGATTGCTACCTTACCTGGAACGCTTGAATGCACCTATGTTGGGCGCCAACGTTAACACAACTTACGAGCCTCAGCTGGCGCAATACGTTAAAAATCATGTAGTTGTCACGAGACGCGGCCGGAAGATTGGTATCATTGGTGTTTTGCTTAGAACCGTAAGAATAGTTTTTATGCATATGTATATATTAGGTTAAATCTTCAAGTAAAGTTAACTATTTGGTCAATGTTAAGTTTTAGGTACTTATTTAATGGCTTTAACGGAAATAATCTAAGAGCATTCTGTGACGCCTCCCAAGCCTTGAATATATCAGCATCATGAGTTACACCAGCATCAGCAGTAGAGCGACCTTTTTTGAAATATTGTTTAATATGCAGTAATTTATTTAAATTAAAGTAAGGCAACAACTTTTCAAGAATTATTTTTTCAAAGATTTTACTTAACTTCAATAATATTGTTATAGGTCTATAATTACTATGGGCTTCCATATAACCGGATTTAAAAAGAGGAATAACTTTGCTAAGCTACATAAGATTTGTAAAAATTCCTTAAACTATACCACGGTTAAATATATCAACCAAATAAGGGGCTATAACATGAACTATGCTTTTGACAGAGATGTGACTTATCTTAGATACAAGTATTTGAAATACAGATACAAGATACAAAATACGTATTTTCATCTTATATCTAAAATACTTTTTTTAGGAAGTATTTTGTATCTTGTATTTAAATACTTTTGTTTAGTATCTTAGTATCTTTTAAATACTTTTTCTGATAAAATACTTTATAAAAAGATTATTTCTTACATTTTATATATATCACAAAACATTCTTTGCCTAAAACATACATATTTACAAAAAGAAAGTGTTCAATTATCAACACAATGAATATTTAATTAAAAATAACTCGAATCCAAACATTGTTTGGTGTCATTTAAAAAGTAAATACGTAGAACTGAACGTACGGTTATACCGGTGTAATACACCCTCCCTAGTAAAAATTGATAGATGGCGCATAGGGCTTGAAATCGAATAACCAGTTACAAGCAATAAAAAATCTTGATTTATGTAAAAACCCGGTTATGTGCTATAAATAAAACTCAGTATATCAATTAAACTCATTATTAAATTTTATTATTTTTTTGCACATTATACTTTTTCCACTAACAACAGCATTCAAAAAGTTTATTTTGAAAGAAATTTCACTGTGAAATTCGATACATGGCAAATGCTTGAAATTATATCCCATGAGCAAAGCAATATTGATTTTATTGACTCAACAGTTAATCTTTTTCTATCTTTTGACCACTGCATATTCATGAGCGAAAAAAAAATCAATATTCGCATTATGAGGCATAATAAAAAAAATACTGACAAATCTTCAGTAGTTCGGAAACGAGTGCTGTCATTGCATATATTGAAAATAATTACCCACTGCTTTTCAACTAATTCGTCATAAAAATAAATTTGTTAATAGAAAAAATTCTTCAAATAATTTCTTTTACATCGTCAATTAATACTCCTTTATTTTTCAAAAATACAACACAATCTGTGATGTAATCGTATAGTAGATTTTGCTTTAATAAGTAACTATTTAATTCAAGGGATCTTTATTGAGAAACAACAAAAAAATGGGCGGAGTCCTGTCTTAATATTAGGTCTTTACCTATGTAATTGCCGTTCTGCTGTACTAGCCATTTAAAATCAAACTATATTTTTACCCACTCTCTTCATCTCACTAGGAAAAAATGAATTTTCAGTTCTCCGTAATTTTACGTCGTACGTAAAACCAGCTTTTTAAATAAATAATAATTTTATAATTAAATTTAAATAATTATTCTTGTTGTTATATTTCAGCAATTTTTCATTCACAATGCTATATTGAAAAAAAATATTATTAAAAGGAACTAAAAAATTTAAAATAAATATTTGCATTTTTATATGTTACATTGTGATTGACAAACAAATAAAACGGAGGAAAAGAGGGTGAAATTTAGCTTGTAAGATTTGAGTACAAACACAGGTCCAACAAACACAAACCAAATAAAAGCTTACAAAAATTGTTTCTAATGAAAAATGCTTAAAAAATCCACTTTGTCCCTGGAACCATCTGGTCTAAGATTTAGGTTTTTGTGGTCTTTAATAAACAAACTTAAATTCAAATCTTTTTTTAGAAAAGTATTTGTATTTATAAAAAGTATCTATAAGATACCTATTTTGTATCTAGTATTTCAAATACTTTTCTCGAAAGTATTTTGTATCTGGTATCTGAAATACTTAATTTAAAAGTATTTTGTATCTTGTATTCCAGATACTTTGTACAGGGTATTTTGTACATCTCTGGCTTTTGATAATATTAAGAAATAGGCCCCATAAATCGCATGTGTTTTTATTTTCAGACATTTAAAAGTTTTAATAATATCTGAGAAACTAATATATTGAAATTCAAACTGGCTGTCTACCTTAGGCACGTATTTTTCTAAAATAGCCTTTGTGGCATTTGGTGAAGAATTCAAGCCAGATGTTGTTTCAATTGGTAAAATACCTATCGATACCTAAATCGGCCATCAACAATCTCTGAGTGCAGTAGGGATGTCACGTGCGTGTTAATAGATATTCTTTTTATTTTTTTAGTGTCGGAAAAGAATAAGGTGACATAAAATTCTATATACTTGTATGTCGTCTCATCATTGAATTCGCCAAATCGTAATATACCTAGGCTTTTTTTTATTTATTTATTAAACCAACAGCGTTACAAAGGTTTATACATACCTAGATATAATTACACAAGTAAGGCCAATGACAGGTTTCATAATGTATATTATTAAAGTATCCGCCTTTAAACTGTTATAACAATTCACAAATGGTATGCTTGTTATGTGTGTATGTTTTTATGAATATTACCGTTTCTGATCCGACTAATTATTTATTATGCATTAACACGATATGCCTAATAAAAAATCTGCCCGATTAAAGAGTGCAAATAACATTATTTTATTCTATAACATTTTGATTTGCTGCATTACGCCCTCACGATGGCTGCGTTATTGTAATAATTTCAGTTCTCAGCTCCAATCGGTCAAGTCATAATGGAAGATGAGGTGCAGGCCATCAACCGTGAGGCGACGATATTGAACGAGCAAGGTGTCGACATCATCATAGTATTATCACATGTTGGATTTCCAAGCGATCTGTAAGTTCACTTTGTGTCACATAATATTATATTTTCTAATAAGCTTCCGATATAAGATATTATTTATAAATTTCATTGCAAGGGGAAAAAATGAAAGACAATTCAAAAAACGCTGTTATTATCATTACCGATTGATTTAGCAGATTTTGATGTCGGAAGTAGCAATATATCTATATGAATTATACATATTTATATGTTTTATATATTAATAGCTTTTTTGTAATTGAGATTGCATACCTATATTCATTTTTCAATAAATAATTGATATCTATTCTTTCAAAAACGAAAACTCTCCGTCTCTTGATTTAAACCTTGGATAAGATTACATTACATCAATATATGTTATTAACTTAATCGTATTATCCCAGATTGTAAAGGCATATTATAGCACTCACTAATTCAGGCTCTAATTTGATTACTATACTAATTGATCACTAGGTACTTTGATTACACTGAAAAGTTTATCGTGACTAAGGTTATCAATTCTTAATCAATTAGTTCTAATTAATAACTGATATCATTTGTGCTTCTCCATCAGGAATATGGCGGCAGTGATATCTCCTCACGTAGATATAATAGTGGGTGCCCACACTCACACGTTGTTATATACTGGCACGCCCCCTAGTGGTGATACGCCCTTCAGCGAGTATCCCACAGTTGTCAATAGACCTGATGGTCATCGGGTGAGTTTAATACTCTTTTTCTGTGTGTGCCATTCGTTAATGCAGTTTTTGCAATCTTTGCGGGAATTTCAACCTTCAATATAGTCGCCCTAAAGATCGATCGAGTGCTGTTTCCGAGCCGGTTAGTTCAAATACTTAAGCCATGACACCCATTTCCTGCCCTGTCCTTTCTGTTTAAACTGGAACAATCTGTTTTTCATGATTTGACCCAGATATTCGAAACTCTTCACGAGCTCCGTTAGAACCTCGAGCAATTTTCGTTTTGACTAACTTTACACGAAATCTTGAGCTTTGTCTGGCTCACCTAGAGTTCAAATGCATAAAATAAGCGGCCAAATATCACCGTATCAGTCGGAACAATTCCGTACGGGCTATAGGGGCATGGACCCTGCTGACATAGCAAAAATGTTTATAATGATAATCATCATCATCACCAGCCCTTTTACGTCCCCACTGCAGGGACTCAGGCCTTATGGATGGTTAAGCAGGATGGGCCATGACCCTGCACGCTGGTCCAATGCCGATTTAACGACTGCAAATGCAGCTAGGACCAATAGCTTAACGTGCCTTCCGAAGCACGGAGTAGCTCGAGATAATAATTTTTTGGTCACCCATCCCGTGACCGACCCTTGCGAAAGTCGCTTAACGACTACAATTGCGGGCCGCAGCGCTTAGCCACTACGCCACCGAGCTACTGATGATGATAATACCACAATATAACTGATACTGAATACCAAAATCTCATTTATCTCAGAAAACCTCCCTTAAAGGTAGGTAACTGTTATCTGAGATGACACTTAAATTCACGTGACATTTCGAGTCGTGTCTCATTCCAATAAACATACTGTACAACTGGTTGCACTTGCAACAAAGACGTCGACTATTAGTTTATTGAAATGTGACGTCACACGATGATTCGTCATGGCCACCTGCTTTTCGGTTCTTGTAATCACCTTATAAATAGCAAGTTAATTTTTATTTACAATTCATTTTAAAATAAAAATACTACGTACTTTATTGTTATTTCATTTAATTTACCAACATAATTATTTCATGATTTATTATATTATCGTTGTTGCAACAGCCAATTTAATGTTTTCAATGTATACATATGTATATGTTTTAGATTCCAGTGGTGCAGGCCTCGTGTTATACTCGATACTTAGGAAATATCAAACTTTATTTTGATGACGAAGGTGTGCTCCAAGCATGGGACGGACAACCGATCTATTTGGGATCATCGATCGTGCAAGGTAACTATATGAGCATCATATTATTTTTTTATAGTAATGTTAATATAATCTTACTTTACTCTTAAAGTTATCCCACTTAAGTAATTAATAAGTTGCATTCGAAATAGACACAAAATGACAGTGGTATGCTTTTCAAATGCAATAAATTAACAAATTGAAGTTGTTAAATTATTACTACAATATTTAAGGGATTGTTATTATTTTAATTAATATTTTAATAAATAATTTATCTCTTGCTTCTTGTGTTGTCTATACTTTCTATTTTCGTATGACATCACGCGGGTGTTATTTAGACAAGGTGCCAGCTCATTATCAATTTCGGTACTTCTAGATCCTCAGATAGTGATGGAGCTGGAGCCGTGGAAGGCGCAGGTGGACGAGGTGGGGCGCGAGGTGCTCGGCCACAGCCAGGTCACGCTCAACCGCTCGTGGTGCTCCAGCCGCGAGTGTAACATGGGCAGCTGGGCCTGCGACGGATTCCTTAACCATGTATGTCATCAACATACACGTAGGTTTCATTAGTGAAATGTGATAAAGAACTATCACCGCTTTGATAAAGGCACTTTCGGTAGTAAATTGTTAAATTTGATAAAATTAAAATTATTGTTGTTGTAATTTCCATAGGTTAAAGAATTTTTAAAATAGATCCAGTCGTTTCGGAGCCTATTCAAAGCAAATAAACAATGAAACTTTTCTTCTTTACAGAACTTTTTATTTTTTAATATGTGCTTCACTAATTGTGACTTGAAACGCGACGAGCAGTGTAGTGACGTCATGTTGGCAAAAACATTTCTTGTATACGGATACCTATAACAGGCGGACATTTGATGTAGCTTTCGCAATTATTATTACTTTTTTTTAATTATTATATAACACTTTATTCTCATTCCGTTTACAGTTAATGCAGAATGCTACAGCGCCGGCATGGAATAACGCGCATGTTTGTCTGATCAACGCCGGTGGTCTCCGCGTACAAATCAACCCTGGAGGTGATACTTGCTCAATATAATAATAATAATAATTATTTATTTATTTCTTCCACAAAAAAAACACAAAGTTTTTTAATATACGTTCACAGTATTTTTCTATTTTGTATTAACAATTTATTTGTGGGAAACTGCTGCCCAAGCTAAGCATTTGAACTGCCTGTATTTTAGGCCAGCAGGCTCACCACAATATAATTGTGCTTATGACAGCTTAAATTTCAGATCCCATTTTACATTATGCTTTTATTCCCGATAGATATACTTTTGCATAGCCGGTTTCGTATAATAGTAATTTACTAGAATGTTCTGGTTTTGCGTACTGTTACAACTGTGACCAAAACAAAAACCGAGAAGAGCAAGCGAAGCGAGCATGTCGTCGCAGCCAGTCATTATAAAGCTTTCAGATGTTATATTGAAACATAATTGTAATTAGATGAATTAGGATTTAATAAATAAACATAATAACCTTAATGCTAATAAAATAGCATTTTTCATTAAGACTTATTCGGAAGATTATTCGGTATAGCATTGTGTATGCAAAATTTATCAAATATAATAAATAAGCATAAGTTTTTAAATGTAAATATAAAATGGATGATGAAAATTCTTTTTTGTCTGTCCGTCAGGTAGATTTATTGAAGAATATTAAATACGTATATTTTTATTTTTTGCATTATCAATAAATTACGACGATACTTTGAATTAGTCACGCTTATGTACTCATTCCTCAACTTTAATGCCTATTATCCTAGACATTAATTGTTTTAATTGAATCTAAAAAAATACGTACATTTTTATTATCTAACTGACGGACTAAATAGATTTTTTTAATCCAGTTGTCATCCCTATTGTATTAAGGTTAATAATAATAGAATGCAATTGGATAGGGAACCCTAAATATTAATTTTACCGATGTTACTTAAAATAATGTTATAACTTAAAATTATGTCTTTTAAACAAATATATGTTAGATTGTATGAAACGAGTACTAACGCGATAGATATTATCAATCTATCGCGTAAATACCCGTTTGATACAATCTTATATAATGCAACGCGAAAGTTTAAAAGTTTATTTAAATATACTTAGATGTGACGACCCAGTCTTTGTTAATGGCGATGCCGTTCGAGAACTACGTGCAAGTGTACGACTTGAAAGGCGAATACTTGCTTCAAGCGCTCGAGTTTTCTGTGGGCACTAATCAGAATACACCTGGAGTCTTCCAAAGCGGCCGTATGCTTCAGATCGGTGGTAAGAATCTACATCCCTAAACCAACTTTGTCTACTGTTTTGTGGTCCATCCACCTTGATATCGAGCATGATTATGAACTTTCAAGGTTCATGAGAAATAACCTGGTGACAGGTAGACGGCGAAGTCTTAGTAATAGGCTTCCCATTTTAACCTTTGAGTACGCAACCCTAAAAATGTGCCACGTACCTATGATTTTGTAGTTGCCCTCTTACTCTTGTATCTAGAGTCGGGTAGAAATAATAACATGAATATAAGTAATAATAACTTAAGCAAACTTTTTTATAATTAATATTATTTGCTGATGTTATTACTTATACTCGAGTAATTACTTTATCTAGTTGCCTATAGATATGAGTATTAGCAAGGGCGGATTCAGATTTGGCGCCAGGTTTCACGTAGTCGTGGTCAAACCTTAAGAAGTCATAATTTAATAATAATCGATTCAAGTGTGTATTTTATTAATAAATGTAATTATTGTACTTAAAATTCCTACATATATTTAAATAAAAACATAAATTTTACTAGTACATGTACGCTCGAAACGTGTTATCTCCTTCAGTTATATTATTTAATTATTAAAAGGACTTAAATAAAATTTATATTGTGACTAAATTATATAAAAACATTATATTCTTAATTAAAAACCCTTAAAAAAATCTATATGCACAAGTACTCTGAGATGAGATTCGAATCCACAGCTTTTCGCAATCAAGGCGACAGCACTAATCACTCAGATATCTGGGACCTAAAAGGTCGTGGATTGGAGTCCCACCTCGCAAGCGGATTTTAAGCGTTTTTCATTAAAAATATTTATAGCATTGTAAATGAAAAATTATTCAAATATAATCATTAAAAATATTTTTTAACAAATCCAATTAGTAGTCCACGTAGATCCTGGACGCTCTTGAGTGTTGAAATATAAAATAAAATAATGAGTGATATTGTAAGCAAGGCAGAGACGGATCTACCCCAAGGGCTTAACGGTCTTAAAGGGCTTAAGCCCAAGGCCCCCGTGGATACAAAAGCCCCCAACACCCAATAAAAACAATGTACTATTGAAAATAGTTTAAAGTTAGACTTAGTTCAATAATTAATAGGTTCCGAGTAGTATTAGCACAGGGCCCCACAAGTTAAGGTTCCGCCCCTGGTTGCAGGCATGCGCGTGGTGTACAACGCGTCTATGCCGATCGGTTCCCGCGTAGTGTCGGCACTAGTGCGGTGCATAGAGTGCGATGTGCCACGGTACCTGCCGCTCGACACCACCGCCACCTACCGCGTAGTCTCGCAGAACTACATAGGCGACGGCGGCGGCGGATACACGGTATATATCTATAACTAGTGGCAGCCAGCGATTTCGTCAGCGTTTTTCATTATTTCTTCGCTCCTAATAGTTGCAGCGTGATGTTATATAGCCTAAAGCCTTCCTCGATAAATGATCTATTCAACACAAAAATAATTCTTCAATTCGAACCAGTAGTTCCTGAGATTAGCGCGTTCGAACAAACAATCAAACTTTTCAGCTTTATAATATTAGTATAGACTAGATGTCCTGTACGGTTTTGACGTACTACGTCATTTCCTCATAAGGTCATCTCGAAAAAGTTGCTGCAGAAAGTCAATTTCGCATTCTTCGATATTAAGCAATTTCTTTTTCATCAATTTATTAGCCTGGTTAAAGTAAATATTCTCAGAGATAATTCTTTGAAACTGTTAACGCCGAGTTCTAGTTATGATTAGCTGCTAGATTGACGAATTTGTATTTATCCCTATATCGTTGTAAATTAGAAACTTAACGAGTGATTAATTCATTTCATAACCCTAGAGGGTGGCGTTGCTAGACTAAAGGATGTACACACATTAAAGTTAGGTAATAAGAAATCTTCGAATTGTTCTGCTAAATGCTATTTTCATGCGAGCGCGAGAATGGAATTTTCTCGCTTTCTAGCTTTATCTATAACACCTCTTATGATTTTAGATGCTGTCAGAGAACCGTGAGAATCTTAACACTCTGCCGGTGGACTACGTTATTCTGCAGGATTATATGCGCGCGCAACAAACGGTGATGAAGGACATCGACGGAAGAATACAGATAGTTTGGTGAAAGACGAATATTAGATAAACGTGATTAAATTGAAATTTGTACTTTAGTTTTGTTCTTTTTTCTTTTATCAATTAACGTGATAACATAACACAAAATGAAGAATAGGCTTTATTAAAAAGTATGTGAGCAATGCAAGCTGTTAAGTTGCAAGGCGCGTATCTAGTGAGATCATACGAAGAACACAAATGTTTACGGAACTCATAAAGTTTACACACATAAAAAAATGTAAATCAAAACTAAAACATTTCATACTGTTGCACATCTGTTTAATAATCTTTGTCGACCACTCTGTGACAACGTAATCTGTGACATAAATAAATAGAGTCAGATAGTAAACGTACCAATAAGTTAAATATCACCCTATACTTATAAATAAATATCCAAAAATTCGGTAAAATACTATGGTCGAAATTCATAGAATGCTAAAGCCTTCGAGACTTAGCCGGACTGGATCGTGTTTCGAACTATACACCTTTAAGAAACGTCCCGACGGAAACACGAAGAATAAGGTCTGATTGCTCGCTGCAATTTAAAGGTATCACTTATGGGTTTCCTCACAATGAAGGTGATACAGCTGATAGATTTGCAGATGAATGACTCCATGACTCTAATCAGTTTATATGTACTTTAAAGGGATGTGTAATACTATGTAAATAAATGCAACACATTTGTTATTTTCAGTATATATATTTCAGGCGATGAATTACAAATACCAGTCTATTTTATGCCAAGGCGCACATTAACTTTGTATTTTTTTACTGATACATGCGTATATTTTGACTCAATATCTATTAGTTATTACGATATTCAAATATAAAGTATTGCGAGTTACTGTGCCCCCATTTACCAAAAACATATTTACAACTCATCAAAAACTAAGTAAAAGTATTTTAATCATAACATATTTACATAAATACATAATAATTTTATTAATAATAATTCCCACATTCAAATCATAAATTCAACTCTTCGAATTGAAGTAGATATGTAAATTAAAGATAGTTAACAGTTAAACGGATTGTAAATAATTTTATTTTTCCGAATGATAATTTAAAATAGAATTTGTAAATTAACCAGTTGCTTTAGCCCCCCCCCATCAAGCTAATTTATTTTTAGGCGTCAACTATTTCCTTAATATTACAGATTATGAACATCTTTAATTCTGTTACTATTGTATGTTGTTAAATTAACTAGTTTATAGTCTAGACAACTGCGTTTATTTGCTATTACATAACAAGTATACATATAAAAAGAATACATCTTAAAGCAATGTGTTTTTCATTATTTTGTCAGTTTGTAGTAAACAATTTTTAGTCAATTTAACATCCTCTTTCTCTTTTTTAATGTTGTATATATTACTATAAAAAGTCCATATGATAGTAAATATTTTATAAAAATGAGATAATTGTTAGAGCTTTAAACATCAAAGCTAGGAACAACAAATCTAACACACTTTTTTTTTAAATATTCAATTTCCAGTCAGTGATTTCACACCTCTTATGTTTGGAATATAAACTTTTATGTTATGTCTAGCCCCTGATCATTCCCAATTCCACACACTAATAACACGGCGTTATTTTAATTGTCAAATTACATTTTTTTTCTGTACCAGCAAACTCACTTAAAATGGCCAATAAAGCGAAATAAATTATAAAAGTTCACTATTATTTACAAAATTATAAATAAGCGATTGAGGTAAAATGGGTTCTATTAACATTGAGCAAGTTCCATTTTAGGAACGTCTATGATTGGTAGAACACTCTTAAATTCGTTGATGTCCTGTATAAAGTCCGCGTTGTTTTCGGCAGTATCGCCGACGGGCTCGCTCGCGTCTAGATAAGTCAGCTTGTAATGTTTAGTATCTGGGACGGTTGTGTTCTCTTTGTTAACTTTGTGACCCATGATCTGAAATCAATTGATAACTGAATTATTTAGCCTTAAACTTAGATCTCGACTTAAGGAGCAAAGCGCAGTGGTTAACGCGTTCGTCGTCGTCGCGGCGATGTGGAAGTTAAGCAACTTTCGCAAAGGCCGGTCATAGGATGGGTGACCAAAAATATCGAGGTCCGTCATACTTTTTTTTTAATAAAAATATTACGCTATGTATGTACAATGAACATGGTACACGTAATAATAAATATTTTACCTGGACAGAGAGCTTTCTAAACTGCGACCTGTTACCAGACGCGAAGTGGTTGTCCACCCAATTCCTAATATCTTTTAGTGTGATCTTCTCTATTGCTTCGGCCTGAGAAAATCAAATGTATATAAATCAATAGAGCGAGTATAAGTTATTTTGATCAAAAAATAAAGCAAGTTTGTTTTGAGGAAATTTTAATGAAAATAAATGAGACTTGACAAAAGTTACCTCCATAAAAAGCCTCTGGAATTTGTAATCCATTGTGATAATTTCACGCCAGTTTCTTTCGACCTAAAATAGAATAACAATTAATATATAATGGTTGAAAACACGACTGTGTAAGTGAAACACCTTTCGCAAAGGATTTGTTTAATCAACACAATAGTCAAATCGAAAAGGTGATCAAAAAATTACTATCTCACGCCCCTCCATCTTTCAGAAGCACGTAAAACCGTTGACTGCGATTTTATAAACGTAGTTCTTAATAATTTGCTTATTAATCCGCATTGATGACATGGTGGGTTATGCTTCTTTTTACCTATGTTGCTTTTTAATGTGAAACTTCTGTGTCCCAGAAGTGGGAATATTTTAATGTTGATATCAGAGATATTTCTCTTAGAAAGACACTTAAAAAAGATATGCAGATAATGTTAACAAGACGAGGATCAGTGCAAATCTTGTGAAAAAAAAATATATAAATAGAAATATATATCTCACATAACACATGTAGAATGTAGCCTTATTGTAATTAAATAATAACAAAACAACTAAATACAAACTTAGTAAAATGTATAACTCCTGACCAACACGTCGGTTTAATCGCAGTTTGGGTTCGCTACTTTTCACCCCACTAACCTTACGAACACTCTGTCTAGTGCCTGTTGGCCAACTGTAAGAACCATATAGACCAGAGGTTCCCAAACATTTTTTCTCGTAGATTATTTTAAAAAATTTAATGTTTTCGGTGGACCCCATTTTTACCATATTCCCAAAATGTGAAGATCTAACGATGGAAATTGGCGTCGCGGGTGAGGATGACCCCTGGGGGTCCACCTAGACCACTTAGAAATCACTGATATAGACTGTGGTTGTACTGACCTCTTCCTTTAGTTCGTAGTCTGTGGTGTGTTTGAGTTGAACTAGCGATGTCTTGATTGCTTGTAAAGTTCTTTCATTCAGCTTACGCATGTCTCGAGCAAACTTCTTCAGAAATGCCTCCACGCGCCCATCCACGTGCGCCACACTTCAAATATTTCAAATAGTTTAGGTAAATATTTTTAATGATACATACTAATTAATACTTTTTTAGATGCTACAAAGTTTTAATGGCACAATAAACTATTAGGCGGGCGAAGTACATAGAACCTAGATATTCAATAAAAAATATTATAAAACAAAAATTGTTATGACGTTTTTTGTAAAACGTCATAACAAAAATTGAAGTCATATTTATGAAACTGCATCTTCTGATTACGGAGGCCAGGCGAAAAACTATTATTATTGATGTATTAAATTATAAATAGATTTTATTGATGTTGGTTCTTCAAATAGCTTTATTTAGTCTATACTAATATTATAAGAAGGAAAGATTTATTTGTTTTCATCGAATAAGAATCGAATAATTTACTTGGGCGAAATAACGGGACACAACTGCTAGTAATAATATCCTACAAATTATATTATTACTAGCAGTTGTGTCCCGTTATTTCGCCCAAGTAAATTATAGCCTATGTAAACCTTGTATGATGTAGTTACCCGAAGGTGAAAGAATTTTTAAAATCGCTCCAGTAGTTTCGAAACCTATTCAAAGCAAACAAACAAATATTTTCTCTTTATAATATAAGTATAGACTAAAAAAAAAAAGTTTAGAATTTCATATTTCCACACATATCAAACACGATCGATCGATGTGATGCCATTTAATGTTTAAAATTAACTGACGAAGTCCTACAGTTGCATGACTTATTTAAACGACGGCACATCGGGTTACACAAACGGCTGATTATCTCAAATAGATAGTGAATGAAAGTTTTAATTTTACGTTTAATTACGTTTAACTTTGCCTTGAATAAATTTAGCCAAAAATTATCTCATCATATAGAATGTTTACCTGAACTTATCCGCCTGAGTGTTGACAGTTACTGAAAAGCCGAGTACGCCGAAAGTGTACCGCATCATACTGAACACGCTGTACCCCAATTGTTCTTTTGTACGTAACATATCGAACACAGGCTCTTCCATTAACATCTATAAAGAACAAATAACAATCAAAATCATTTACAAATACGAAAACATAAAGAATTAATTCTTATTTAGAAAGAAAAACAATCAAATTATGTCAATTAAGTATAATAGAATGATGATTTTGTCTCCGTCCTTATCTTTCCTATGTAATAATATAGCTCGTTGGCTGGCCACGGCTCTCAATACAGAAGTTACGAACATTTGGTGTACAAACAAGCAATTGTTTGACTCACATAATAAAAGTAGATAATCTTTTTTCATGCCAAAATTTACAATATAAAATAATAATAACAGGCATTTTTTGTCAATACACAACACGACACAGTATCAAACAAACAAGACAATAAGGCGTAATTTTATAAGGCGTAACTCGAAGAACTTCCAGAAAATTGAAACCAAACTCCTGCTTTATAATTCCTTAGTTCGTAGTAATCTCGAGTTTGCGAGCACAGTATGGAGCCCATTCTATAGTATAAGCTCACAAAGATTGGAATCGGTCCAACGCGCATTTACGCGGTATCTCGCTTTTTGCTCTCCCGGTATATCGTATAGATGTCCTTATGAGAGAAGGTTGTCTTTTTTTAATATACAGACATTACGAGAACGTCGGGTAAATCACGACCTAATTTTCCTACATAAAGTTATCAATGGTCAGATTGATTCTGTAGACATTTTAAATCAAATTGGTTTATCGGTTCCTTATAATTACCCCAGACAATCTATCGCAAAAATATTCCACGTACCTTCTTGCAAAACTAACACAGGATCAAATTCTCCAATCTATAGAATATGCAAAAATTATAACCAATTTAGTATGTGCCACGGTGATGTCGATATCTTTGCCGACCCGTTGGTGAAGTTTAGGAGGGAACTGACCAAATGGATGTTGGGATATTGACGTGTGATAGTGTGTTGACATTTGCATTACATTATATAAATATAAATTTAAGCTTGTGGGAGTGGTGGTGATGTTAAAAAGAAGAAAACTCCGTTCGCAGTTTAAAGCCAAATCGGCATATATTAGAAACGTAAGTTCGCGGAATAATACAGAGTAAGAACGAAAGAGATGATCGCACGCAATAAGCTACACGCGTAAAAGTTCCAGCCAACCTGAGCAGGAAAAGCGGATGCAATTACTCTTTATAACTTATTTACGTGTATATATTCAAAACGTCCAATAGTTCCGTCAAACCAAAGTAAGCGGAAGCTATAGTACAATCTAGAATTTCCTACGGTCCTACCTAACCAAGGATACAACATAAAATATGACTTTGATATTTATAAGAAAATATAAACGATCTGATAGCGTGATTCAGAAACGTGCAACGCCATCTAGTGTGTGCGAATCTAACTAATCACATAGTTTATTCATGAGTAGTTGCTACAGGCTCCCCCTCTGGCTCCGATGACGTCCCGGCGAGGTAGGCAGGAACAACTGGTAGAACTATTTTGACTTCGGTGGTCGTCCTCGTGGTCGTCTAGAGCTGTTGTCATCTGTTTGAGGTTGAATTTTCTTTGGGCGGCCTCGTTTTCTAATGGGCAAAGCTGGTTGGGGAGACGACGTGTTATTTGGAGATTCGTAAGGTTTGAGTGCAGATGAGTGATATAAGCCTATTGGTTTATTAGGCTCATTAATTGAGGCTATTTCATAGGAGCTCGGTCCATGAATGCGCAAAATTGTATAGGGACCATCTCGTCGAGGAGCAAACTTAGCGCTGAACCCTTGAGCAGATTTACTTTTAGGATGAGAAGTTACTAAAACATAATCTCCTGGTTTGTATAATGGAGATTCGCGACGGTTTTTGTCTACGTAATCTTTCCTCTTTTCTTCTTTTATTTCTTGTATCTCTTTTGCTCTCTTCATTGTTTCGACTAAAAGTAGCAATTTAGGAGTTATTTCAGGAATAAAATTTTCGTTGTAAATTATATGTTTCAGGTCATGTCTGCAATCATCTGGAGTTCGAAGATCACGTCCAAAAGTTAAGTATGCAGGAGAATATCCTGTTGATGAAGAAACTGCAGTATTCATCGCAAAACGGATGCTTGCTAGCTTTTCTGACCATGTGGTATGGCAATCCCCTACAAATATAGCCAATTGTGTCTTCATATCCTTGTTACGCCGTTCAACAGGGTTCGTTTCTGGATGATAAACGGGGGTAAATCCATGCGTAATATTTAAACAGAATGCTAACTGTTGCATAATGCTGCTCACAAACTGACTTCCATTGTCACTTATGAACCGGCGAGGTGTACCGTAACGTAATATTATCTCATTGAGCAGTATTTTTGCACATTCTTCTGCTGTTGCGTGTTCTAATGCAAACAATTCGATCCACCTTGTAGCTATGTCCTCTACAATAAAAATCCAAGTTTTGTTATCTTGAGACTTGGGTAAAGGGCCAAATAAGTCGAAAGATATGACCTCAAAACGTTGATTCATAGCAGTTGTTTGAAGTAAACCCGCTGGTTTTAAATTACTGGGCTTATAGCGTTGGCATTCTATGCACTTTTTAATATGGTTTTCTACTTGAGTTCTTAAGCCTTTCCAACAATAACGTCTGGAAATGCGTTCAATAGTTTTTTCTACGCCGTAGTGACCAGCTGTCGGGTCGTCATGATATGCGGATATTACATTATTTTGTTCGTGTTGAGGAACTACTAATTGACAATTCTCACTCTCGCTTTCAGGACTGTATCTATATAGGATGCCATTATTCATTAAGTATCCTTTCAAGCTCCAATATTTTGCGTTTTCTTCGTGTTTTCCTTCAAACGCTTGTACTATTTTGTAAATATTCGAATCCTTCATTTGTTCTTCTCGTATTTCTTTGGCACTTCTTTTAGGTATGTCTAGGATAATTGTACATATTCCACAATTATTTTTGTTATCAGGTTCACAACAGGGTCGGGATAGTGCATCAGCGACTACATTCTTTTTACCAGCTATATATTTAATTGTTATGTTATAAGGTTGTAGCTGTAACGCCCATCTTGCCAAACGTCCTGTTGGTGATTTTAATGACATAAGCCATTTAAGAGCCTGATGATCCGTTAAAATGGTAATTGGGGCTCCTTCAATATAGCCTCGAAACTTGTTACATGCCCACACTACTGCCAACGCTTCCCTTTCTGTGGTACAATAATTCTTTTCCGCAGGCGTTAGTAGACGACTCGCGTACTCTACTGGGTGCTCTTGTTCTCCCTCCCCCTGCACTAAAACAGCTCCAATTGCGTAATTGCTGGCATCAGTTTTTAAGGTAAATGGTTTAGTTGCATCGGCTTGCGCTAAGACTGGAGTGGTTGATAAACTATGGCAAAGTCTTTCAAAAGCATTTTGTTGTTCAATACCCCACGTCCAATTCATGTTCTTCTTTGAAAGCCTTGATAGCGGTTCAGAAATCTTTGCAAAACCCGGTATAAATCTTCTGTACCAAGAACACATCTGCAAGAATGACGTTAAATGTTTCAAATTGGTGGGAGTTGGCATTCTTATTATACAACTAATTTTATCTGGGTCTACTTCAAGTCCTTGGGGAGTAATATAATGTCCCAGATATTTTATTTTTGAACAACACCAGTTGCATTTTTCTTTATTAACTGTTAAATTATACTCCTTAAGGCGATCAAAAACATCCTGCAGGTCTTGCAGGTGTCGTTTAAAAGTAGGAGACAGAATTATAAGATCATCTAAATAAGCCAGGAGCTTAATATGACTTAATGAAATCCGAAAACAGTCCATCATTCGTTGAAATGTAGCCGGACCGTTTCGTAAACCAAACGGCATTCTCACAAATTTGTACATACCAACAGGTGATATGAAAGTTGTTTTAATTTGATCCTCTTCTTTTACTTTAATTTGATGGTAGCCTGCACGTAAGTCTATGGTTGTCATATACGGGGTAACTTTGGCGTCATGAAGCAGGTCATCGATACGTGGCATTGGATAAACATCTTGGACTGTTATCTTATTTAATTGACGATAGTCAATGCATAATCGTATTTTGCCATCTTTTTTAGGTACCATAACCACAGGCGCTGACCAAGGTGATGTACAGGGTACAATGATGTTATTTTTAATTAATTTATCTACCTCCATTCTTAAAATCTCAATTTTTGGAGGCGGTAGACGATATGGAGCTACAGATATTGGTGCACTATTTCCAGTATCAATTGAATGTTCTACATTTGAAGCTGGGTTGCAGTTTAATTCAAAAACTATCTTGTTCTTGTCCAGAAGTAGTCTTAATTGATTTGATTCTACATCTGTTGCAGCTATATCAGTGCAGAAATCGGGAAATAAGGATGCCGATGTAGGTGATTGTTCCCCAGGATAATTAATCAAACTTTCCTGTGCATCCTTAAACAAAGCCTCCATTACTGGAGAGTAACCGTCAAATAAAGTATGGCATTTTCTTTTATTTGGAGATGACGTATCTATTGGTATCAACGGCCCGTAGGTGATTTCCTTGTGACAGTGTATATTTGGAATACATGCTTCTTCTGGGAAATTGACGCCCTTTAACTGCATGCATCCAGCTATCTTAGAATTATTGTCAGCATACTCTGTAACACTTGCTATAGGGTAATCAGGTTCGAATGTCTTATTAAAATTGGCGGCTATTGGAGCGAAAGCAGGCGACATTTTTGGCGTGATCCGCGTATCAGGTATAACTTTCTTTTCTTCTACCAATTTATATGTTTTGGATGGATCGTCCATGAAATGACATATCATTTGTGGTAGGTTTAATACCAATAAAGCATCTTCTATGAAACCAACACCTAAAAGAGTTCTATTCTCCCTGGCGTCTGGCAGAACAATAAATGATGTTAAAACTGTCTTTCCATAAATTTTAACCTTAAAATTTAATGCTAGTTGTCTTTTAGATACCCCATCTGCCAACGTGATCGTCATTATTTCCTTTTGGAAAATATAGCCTTTTTGCTCAAGTGCCTTGTAGAGCTTATAAGAAGCTACACTAGTTTTGGCGCACGTGTCTACATAAGCCATCCCTTCGTGGCCGTCTATAGAAACCGGTACTGTAGGGCGCTGACGAATATCCATCGCGGTTTGTATCGCACAGAATTCCAGCTTTTCTGTGGTTTTGTCGGAGAAATTACATTTATGGCAGCGACTACGCACTACTCCAGGTTCACCACAGCCATAACAGGAATATTTAAATGATGTACCTAACTGTGTATTACTAGGTTCTATTTTTTTTGACATGTCTATTGGTGCAGTATTTATTTGCTTAACATGTTGATCATTTTTTAATTTTTTTCTACAAGTCTCGGTGGTATGACCAGGTATACGACAAAAGCTGCATCTTATTTTCTTTTTAGGGAAGTCCTGCTTCACTATAGTCACATTTGCATTACTAGATTCGATGTCCTTGTTTAAATCTTCTGCAGCACGACTTTTATTTATTAGATCATCAAAGGATTTGACGGTAGCTCTCGGTATCTGTTCGCGTATGTTGAGGCTCAATTGACCAAAAATCATGTCTAATTGCTGTTGCTCACTATGTTCTGGTTCTGGTAATTGAGCAAACAACATTCGTTTATGAGCAATGAAGTTCTCCGTTGTTTCTTTCCCTTGTTTTATACCTATTATATCTTGGTATATGATGTATGCTGGCTTTTTGGGAGCAAAAGAATGTCTAAGTCTTTGTTCAAAATCTGACCAGGAAGTCACCTTACCCTTGACACCTTGCCACCATACTGCTGCATCCCCCCTAAGGATCAATGGAAGACTAGCCAAAGCATCCTCATCAGATATCTCCTCCATTGTTTTAAAAATAGATACAGCTGCAAGAAAGGCTTCGACAATTTCATTGCACTTTTGTCCATCATAAAAAGACGTACAGGTAGTGAATGACTTTTTTTTTTACTGATATTAAAGTCTTAAACTGCTCCTCCGTGAAATTCATTTTAACTTCCCTTATCTTAATCTCGTCAGAACTTCGTTTACGTATTGTAGTTTGTCGACCTGAACGAGTGACTACGAACTTCGGTTTCTTGTTTTCTTGCGAGTTATTGTCGTTGGGCGCCAGATTGTGGGAGTGGTGGTGATGTTAAAAAGAAGAAAACTCCGTTCGCAGTTTAAAGCCAAATCGGCATATATTAGAAACGTAAGTTCGCGGAATAATACAGAGTAAGAACGAAAGAGATGATCGCACGCAATAAGCTACACGCGTAAAAGTTCCAGCCAACCTGAGCAGGAAAAGCGGATGCAATTACTCTTTATAACTTATTTACGTGTATATATTCAAAACGTCCAATAGTTCCGTCAAACCAAAGTAAGCGGAAGCTATAGTACAATCTAGAATTTCCTACGGTCCTACCTAACCAAGGATACAACATAAAATATGACTTTGATATTTATAAGAAAATATAAACGATCTGATAGCGTGATTCAGAAACGTGCAACGCCATCTAGTGTGTGCGAATCTAACTAATCACATAGTTTATTCATGAGTAGTTGCTACAAGCTGTTTTGTTTTGATTAAATTATTTGTTTTTTTTTTTAATTTAATTTGACTTGATTAATTGAATTAATTTTGGTTCTATTGATTTAATTTATTACTATTGATTTAGTGTTTAGGATTTGAATGTGCAATAATATAAATAAATGAATGTTGTGTATGTCTGTAATTGTCATATGTATCAGAAATTGTAATTGTTTAAATATTGTATTATAAAGGTTAAATATGTATGATGTTGACGTACCTAATTAAATAATAATAAAAAAAAATATAAAAAAGAGACAACAGTTAAGTACGTATAGAAATTAAGTGTAATGGTCAATCTACCATATATTCCATCTCTTCTATCAAAGCAACTTCCTCTAATATCGGTAATTCAGATTAGAATAGAGACTTTAATAAAATTTGGACATCTCCATATAAAAATGTTTAGAACACCTGAAAGATTGTGCTTTTCACTGAGGTAGTTCATCTCTTAGTAACCTCTGTATTGACATTAAAAGTAAAATTGAAGACATTTGCTGGAATTACAAAAAAAAAAAAATCACTTTAATTTAATGTTAATTTACTACCTTCTGATGTTATTAAATGCAATCTGTCATAACATTCAAATTTTTATCTATCTAATATGATTATTTAAATTTGACATCATATTAGTACCATATTTACATTTAATTATTATTATATAACCCTGTATAATATAATTTAGTTTCTGACATTATTAACATTGACCATAGTTCTTTCATATATCCTTTTTCTTTGATTTTGACCCTGTTCATCTCAGATGGGGTGACGAAAATCAGTGCTTCACCCGCATATCGGTGATTTCAATACACCGAGCCTAGACCCAATCTCTCTATTGCACACAGGTATATGCCTCTATTCCTAGTTAGTTTTTTCTATTAAGTTTTTTTTTATTCTCTGTATAATGTAGTTGTATGTTGGAGTTGTGTGTAGGAATTAATAGCCTTCGCTTTGTTCTATAAAGACTAATTATATGTTCAACCTATGTCCTACAGTCTTTGAAAGTTGTATTTATTATTGTGATAACTGATAATCAGAGGTCGGAATTAGGTAGAGTTATTTATGTACTTGCATCGAAATGTTGATATTAATATGGACCTTCCCGGGATTTCTTTATTTCTTTCTTTCATTTATGTAAGTTTGGCAACGTCGTGCGTGCAGTAGTTTAAATTGTGTAAAAGTAAATAACTTTTTATTTAAAAAGTCACGGGATTTTTTCTGCTCTTTAAAATTAATCTCAGAATTTGAGGCATATCCACTTTATTCTTTCACTGTATGAAATCAGTGTAAGTACATGAATAACTAATTCCGACCACTGCTGATAAAACATATTATTTTGGTAAACATGATGGTAAACATGATTTATGTAAATGTCGTTACTTATGATAAAAAGCTGGTAAGTTTCTTTCGCTTGTTCTTCTTGTCAGCTAAAAGACGTCCTGAACAAGTAGTAGAGGTAAAAAATTTTTTGGACGATTCAAAAATGCTTGTAATAGCCTACTCGAATAAAGATATTTTCATTTAATTTCATTTCGTTGCATTTTGAATAAATTAATTATCTATCTTATCCTTTTTCGCTCCTTTTAATATATTTACCATGAGAACTTCCAAGGTGGCGATATCTTCTGGCGTTGTGGCCTCGCCCTGGTAGTAGTTGGTGACGATGCTGTTAGTGGACTGAGGATTCAGACTCATAACGCGTATCTTGCGCTCACCGAGAGGTAACTGATGCACTTTGAACTGACAAACAAACGCATACAAATTTTAATTAGAAGATAATGTCTCGATGGCAATTTCTTGAACCTTAACGTATGACCAAGTAAGTTCAAATTTAATTTAAATTAAAACTAATAACGAAAATAATATGAAGAGTTATTTATGTAAAGACGCGGATATTAATTACAAAAATTGGATTTAGTCTTATCTCCGCTGTATCTTATAGTAATTTATTGAATCAACGCTGGTTTGAGTTTTAATCATTACATAATATACTCGTATATAAAGTTGCTATCAGCCTCTTTCATCTCCTACTGGCAATTTTATTGTCCCGCTCACGTTTAGAGGCGTAAGTGAGACAACATTAGGTGCTTTATTATATTAATCGCATTGTATGCGGCATTCATGCTATAAGGACAATTCAAATTCTTGAGAAAGGTTAATGACGTCATGTTGAATAAGTATTTACAAAATTTGTGGAATAAGTATCATTAAATGCTTTTTTGTACTTTAGTAGATAATGTTTTATTTCTGAAAACAATTGCGAACATAAAAACATACCTTTGGTATTTCTTCTGGTAATGGTCCTTCGAATTTCAAATTATTTTGAACGTTTTCAGCTATGCGAATAGCTTCATACCATGGAATGTTGCCTTGCATAAGGACCTGAAAAGAATTAATAATTATATACACTATTTATATATAATAATTATCATTTTTATTTATATTATCAACAATTTCACAACGAATCTTAATTGCAACTAAGAAGAAAGTAACTTAATTGCAACAAAAACGAAAAGAATTTGTAAATATATTTAACTTTTTAAACTTATAATCGTTGTTAAGTTACAAATACTTCTGTTCCAGTCATCCCAATAGCATTTTAATTTCGAATGAAATAGACAACAATTATCTACTGCTTATTGGTAAGGCCTTTAATGTCCACTTTATATAAACTAAATATCGGAATTTCCGATTTCCGAAAGAAAGAGAATTATAACTTGCATCGACAGTTAATAGTTATGTAGTACAACTCTCAACCTTACGACGTAAGCCCTAACGTAACACATTAAAGTCTATATTTCAAAAACATTAGTACAAATATTCCATTTACTTTAGCTTACGAATTTAAAAAACATATCAGTACAAAATTTCTTTTTATACTTCGTCCAATAAGAACACTAGCGTCATCTACTATCATTAACAATAAACATATTAATATCTATTTATTCTTATTAATATATTTAATAGCCGTGCAAAACCGTTGTTAAAGGTTAAAGAATCATAGTAAGGCATTAATTTTATAAATCAGTGCAACAAATTCTTCTTCTTCTTCTTGGGCGCTACATTCTTGACAGAGTGGTCGTGGTCGTCAAGTCGACATTAGTGGCCTGCTTCACAATGCGACGCAACTCCTCCCGAATTCTCGCTCTTCTCGTGCTTTCATGCAGAGGTTTGTTTAAAGTTTTCTTTATTTGATCGATCCACCTCATCGGTGATCTGCCACGTGGTCTAGTACCCTCAATCTTTCCTTGGCCCTCTATGGATTTGCCCCCGCGTCGTGTTATGTGGCCAAAGAAAGTGAGAACACGAGCTCGCACTATGCTCGACAATCTTTGTTTGATGCCTAGCTCAAGAAGAATGGATTCATTGGTTCGGAATTCCGTCCATGATATACCGAGCATTCTTCTCCAGCATCACATCTCAAGAGCGTTGATCCGCTTTTTCTCACCTTCCCGGACAGTCCATGTTTCAGCAGCATAGAGGAAAATGGGGAATACGAGAGCCTTGACAAGTCGTGTTTTTGTGGCTTTGGTAATATTTCGATCCCTCCATATTTTCTTCAGCTTGTCCATAGCTGACCTAGAAATTGCCATTCGCCGCTTTATCTCGTCTATGCAGCCGCCATTTTGATATTAGTGCCCCTAAGTATATACAGGAATTTTTTTTCCAGTGCAAAAATTTTTTTTGGTGGTTCAGTATCAGTAATAGAACACTTTTCCATAATTAGTTAAAAAATTTTTTTTTAATATTTTTATCCCTATCGAAACGGTAGAATATGGACACATTTTTTAAAATAAAACTTCAATTAAAACGTCTTCTCTTGCGTATGCCACCGTGCAACCCCGCCGCGCCCGGTAGCCCCCCGCCACAGCCCCCACCGCCCCGCCGGGACCGAGCGACGCGCGCGACAGTGAGACTCATACGCACGCGCCGATGTGACGTGTCCTCGCGTTCCCGCGCACGCGACGCGCCCGCCGTCGTGAGTTTTACGAGATGTACGAGTTTATCTTCTGAGTGGTGAGAACCTACATAAGCGCAATTCGGAGAAAGTATGCGACGAAGAGCATACCTCGTATGCGGGCCTTTGGGATCCGTAACCCCGCGGTCCCTAATGCTTCGAACCATTTTAACAGACGAAGTCCCAGAGTCAGTACCCACGATGCGGCGTATCTCTTTGGTGTGAGCCAGCCTGCGGTATTGAAGCTGCTAAAAACAGCCGGACTCCATCCGTACCACTTTCAGCCGGTTCAGCAGTTCCATGACCTAGACCCAGTACCACGTCGAGCCTTATGTGAGTGGCTTCTACATCACCGCGATGCAAACATCTTGTAGACGGATGAGGCATTGTTCACAAGTGAGGGACTGTTTCTTATGGGAAGAACTCAAACGCCGAGATGTAGAGGAGGCACAAAGTCTAGAAGACTTAACAATAAAAAATAATAACGCTTTCAGTGAAGTGAAAAGTGACACTAGTGTTTTAAACAAATTAAATGACAATTTAATGAAATGTGCACGTTTATGTCTGGACAGACGTGGACTTCATTTTGAACAAATATTAAAATACATGGTAAGTAATTAGTTAGGTATTTGTTTTGATTAAACATTATTGTAAATACGTAGTTGATTCTAATTTTTTTAAATACGCCTTAACGCAGAAGTACCTATGTAACTTCGGCATAACGTTAATATTTTTTTCTAGGTAACGAATTTGTTTCTCTTTTATTTTTTTGCATTTTGATGGCCTTAACCATAAAAGTATGAAGGGAAAATTGGAATTACTCTTAGAAATCACCTCAGATCATGGCATAAAATCTAGTTCGAATCTAACAAAATGAGCGTTCAGTGACCCGTGTAGATAGGTACCTACGAGTACATGCCTACGGCGGCGTCGAGCGAGCGCTCAGCTGACGCACGGCGCGCGGTGTCCATAAATTAAGTTTTAAAATAGCGATAACTTTATTTTTTAGTATTAGAACATATCAAAATAAAAAATACGTGTTTATTTAAATTACTTAAAGTTTATTTTCACAAAATCTTCGCAGTGGTTTTAAATTATTCCTGTATATGACTGAACTACCTCACAATTCGCTATTTGTGTAACCTCTGTCGAAACGTTTGCACGGTCAATAATCATCATTTTAGTCTTACTGCGATTTATTTTGAGACCAAAGTCAAGACTGGCCTGTTCCATTCTGTGCAGAAGTTCTTCCATGTGTTGAGAACTACTTGCGAAAAGCGTGGTATCGTCCGCGTAGCGCAGTTTTGATATTTTTTGTCCTCCAACGGTGACGTCATTCCAACCTTCAAGAGCGATTCTCATTATGAGTTCTGTGTAGGTGTTAAACAGTAATGGGGAGATGATGCATCCTTGTCGGACCCCTGCATTAGGATGGAAGTCATCAGAGAGAACCTCGTCCGTCCCATTTTCGTAAAAGTACCTGAGTCGCACACCAGGTGTTTTGGAGCGCCCATATCCAAAAGTGTACCCCACAGAAATAAATCTAGTTAGAAGGAACATGTTCGTCGATTTATATGGAGACCGAGCGTGCCACATTTTGTGTAGGTATCATGACGTCACGATCTTAATTTAGTGATGGAAGACATAATTTCACTTGCATCGAATACATGTTGTATTTGAAACGGCATACCGATTCTTATCTTATTGGACGGAGACCAACGTGTACAGTCTTTCTATAAAGTCATGAAAAGAATGTTTGAGGAACTAACATTAGACACAAGTATCACAACACTGAATCAAAGTACATCGACTGTCAACAACTTGATTTTTTAGCTCGATTTTCTGCATTTTTGATTTGTTTTGATTAAACTGAAGCTACTTCTTCTAAACTCCGTCGAAAAGTGTTAAAAATGAAGAGAATTAATCAGAGTGAAGCTCAGGATATTATTTATAAAGTTTTTCAGTGATGTTTATTGGAACAAGAAGCTGGACACATTTTATCATATTTGTAGAATGTTAAAGCTCGAACGGCAGTAATCGTGTTACTGATTGAGTTTTGGTTACCAGAAGTTTCAAATTTACTAAATATATGAATTTAAGTCTAAAAGAAGTATTGATTACATTATGCATTTATAAGTTAGATTGAAAATGTTAGAAGGCTATATTGTAGTGCGGCCCGAACTTTCAATACTTTTGGATAATCAAATTTATCATTGATTTTAATCTGAATAAAAAATATACCTTTTAGGAATGTACGATTTTTACCTATGTACGCCAATAAAAAGTTTGTGCTTTATATTACTAAAATTATAGCATTAATTTGATCATTGTGGCGATTCCATTCTTTTTGCCAAATACCTATAGGTATTACATTTTTAAAACTTACTTTCAGGAAAATCAGAGAATATAGTGCTACGTATTGTAGATGAAGGTTATAAAAATGGTGGCATATTTGAAACCCCTGGGAAACATAGATAGTCGTCCTAAGAAATAAATGGTTAACTGCAACATTTGTGCACTTCGACAAAAGATTCAGTTCTTTTACTCTGTGAAAAAAAGAGGTACCTACATGAAGAAAATATCAGTGGATTGCCAAAACCGATCTGGATTTTAATTGTAGCCTAGAAGTTCTGCGTTATATTCTGAAATATATTGGGTTTTCTTACAAGGAGTGTCAAAGTAACAGGCTTTAATCGAACACAAGCACACATTGCAGTAAAACGAGAAAACAACTTGGCAATTATAAAAAAAAAAAGATTTATCAAAAATTACGATTACTATATTGTAATCTTCAATGTAGAATAAACTCATTGTCTACGAATTATACGCCTTTCTTTACCTTTTCTGGGGTAATAAGAGTAAAAAAAAAATCCTACTATCAAAATCATTTGTCTCACTACACAGGGTTGCTACGTGCACGATCGAAGCGCCCTCAATTTTTTTCATGACTTTATAGACAGACTACCATTTTGCTTAAATATTATGTATATGTCACGAACTCACGTATGTAATTGAGTGAATTGATTTTATGCGATAGAATAGAAATCGGCATTTTTCTGTGGGCAAACACTTTGTAGTAGCCGCTACCCCCTCCCGACACGCTACACATTTTTACGTCCTGTGTTGTTATGTTATGTTTCACGGCGGGCTTTTCTGCAACTCGATACTCAGTTCCTATTTTCCAGACACGGGGTTGCTTTAGTCCTGCCACCCCAGCTCCTCCAGGAAGCCCGTAAGATCTCGAACTCTGCCGCATGCTTCCACTAGTATCCTTGGGCTTCATAGATATGTAGTCCTTTTGTCTTAATAGACTCCTGCATTCCAGTATCACATGAGTGCACAAACGCTTATGTGATACTGGAATGGAGACTGAGGAGACAATCTCCTCAGTCTCCATGCACGCCCTGCTCAGAGGACTGTCAGAATAACCCATGTTATATAGGTGTTTGTTAAAGTTTCCATATCCAGTAAGTATACCTACTATTTGCCTTAGAGTCCTGTTACTTCAATCCATTTATTTTTAATATTAGGATCATACGGAAAACTAAAACAAAAATTACAGTATAATTCAATATAAAATTAATTATCCTTTCTTCTGCTTTCAAAAACGATATTTTTTTAATCGGTTAAAAAAATCGCATTGTACAGCACTATTCTCCATTTTTGGCCTCCAACAAATTGACCTTGAATTATACATCGATGGTTTTACAAGCACAGCAAATTTGGACTGTCAAATTAAAGCCGCAATGGAAAGCTATTACTAGACACATGACCGTTTTGATAAAAATAATACGGAGCAACAAAACTAATGATTTTTAATTCAAAATAGATATATCAAGGTAAATAGTTACTTACCGATGGAAGGAAATACCTCGACTATAAGATCCAACCATATTGGTGGTGTTTGAGCAGGTAATTATCGAACAATGCATCATTTTAAATTTCGTCCAACACCGATTGCGATCGAAAGTGGACTGAGCCTCGCGGCGAGCAATGAAGCTGTCTAGACGTCGTTTCGGCACGCGAAGTACGTACACTTTTTCCTTCTAACTAGATATATTTCTGTGGTGTACCCCAAAGCTTCGGCTATTTTACCGAATTAAAAACCTTTGAAAATTTACGAAACAAATGTATGTAAGTCTATTGAATTCTCGGGACTTCTCTACTTGTGCAACAAATACTTCAAGATAAATATTTCGTTCAATAAAAACAAATGTACGAAAAATTAATATATTTTTTATTACATTAAACACAATTATATAAATTATTAATTACAATAAACACAATAATTGGGGGTTATTAAATATAATTTCAAGACTTCCCCGAGTCTAAAATTTTTCAGCAATATCGAATATAGGTAATAAATTGTTATTTACCTGCATATAGATCTTGTCGAGCAGCCGGTTACTGAAGTCCCTGAGCTCAGCGAGTGTCACGTCATGAACTAGTACCGCCTTTTCACGTGGCGATATATACGGGTCTATCAGCAAGTTCATGCGGACGTCCCTGCCGGGTGAAACGCTCACTAATTATTATGTAAGCAACGAGCACAACCAATAATATCCTTAATCACTTAATCACGGTGCCGAAAAAGAGTATTATCTAACTTTAATACTCTTAATAAAAAATGCATTAAAGAAACACTTTGGTCCTGGTACTCTAATATGCACTAAGATGAGTTTGATAGTTACTCATATAGTATATATAGTACTAAATCCTTACTGTTGCCAAAAAGTTACGCTCAGGAGATAAGGTTGATTTATTAACCATATTATCACCCATTTTAATGGGTTAGAGTCAACTTACACCTGCCACGCACACAAAATATAGTTTATACAAAAGTAATGAGCTTTATATAATTTACATTAATATAGTATTGCTAATTCTAAAATCAAATATAATAAAAATTATTGAGTTATGGCATTGCCATCAAGAACTATACAAGAATTGTAAATATGGTGTACACGAAGGCAGTTTGCTGGGACCACCTATTCTTATTGAGCATTAACGACATTTTGTAGGGTAACTTGTAGCGATATAAAAAATGTGTAACTAACGATCACACAATTAACACCAAAATTCTATCTATCTACCACTAGCTCCCTTGCAGTAGACGTCATAATTTAATGAATTGATAAAGGTTAATAAAGGTAAAGATACTTTGACATGCTTAAGTTGAAAATAAATTTGTCTATTTATTTTCAATTCAATTTAAAATAAATTCAATAATTTAAAAAATAATCTTAACATTAATTATCAGTCCCCTTACTCTCGAACGCAATCGCAACCGATCGATATTGCAATTGTGCCGCTCCACACTTTTGTTTGGTTCACTGTTATACTCTGGCGCTAATGTAACCAGTTAAGACTACGAAACAGCACAATTGCAATGTCGATCGGTTGCAATTGCGTTCGAGAGTAAGAGGCCTGGAAGAAAGAAGTACAAATAGAAGTAAATCAGACGAAATTTCGGGCATAACACTAGACCGTGAAATAAATCAGAAAATTCTTGCAAATTATGTTCGTATTCGAATAAATAAGTTCTTGAATGCTTTGAAACAAATTAAAAATGCTTCAAGCGAGTGTAACAGCCATTCTATTTACCGTGCTTGTGTGATGTCGTTATTTGGATAAATACATGATTTATAATTACAAAGTAAAGTTACTTACCAACTTAATGACCATGTTGATAGCAAATGAATAAATGATTAAATGAATGTGAATATCTATACTATTAAGGTCAAAGATAAGATGAATTTACTAAGTACGAAGGTAATATGGAAAAGTGTCTCAACATACACTTTGACATGACAACACACACATGACAACATTACATGATATCTGAGCCGAAAGCATGGACTAGGAAACGACGCACCTCAGGAAAGCATTTTAACTATAAAGCAAACCTAACAAAAAAGACCAGGCTGAATCTTAAAGCCTTGTCTGGTCACCTTAATATGTCGTATTTGGATAAAATGCAGCCAAGACTTGCAAATAATTGAAATCTAAATGGGACATTCACAGTCTAAATCTTGCCAAAACTAATTCCCATATAAGAAATTTTTGAAGCAACTAAGCGGTTTCAAATGTAAATGCCTGATAATAGTGGCAATTGTGACACTCTCTGAATGAAAATATACCTATATTTGATTTTCATACAACACGCTTACCCTTAACTATTAACAGGATCGAATTGTTTGATAGCATCATAACCTTACTTAGTCTAGTTTGTGAAACAAAATTGCTACTAATATAAACATATTAGATATAATTATTATATTTAATCAATTTTGCATTATTGTGAATGTTAAGTTAATGTTAAATGGTAACTTTTATGTAAACTATAAATGCGTAGTATTTTCGTTTTAATATATATTGTAGGTATATTTTATTTTTGCAAAATCAACTTGCAATATATTATCTGTAGGTTACAAATAACGAAAAGTCTGTCATTGTGTGACGCTGCATTTCAATAAATTAATAGCTAACGTCTTTGCTGAGAGTGCAATATGTTTATTGAAATGTGACGTCACGACTCAAAATGTCACGTGACTGTTTCGACTGTTTTAATGAATAAAAATATGATCGTTCTTTATTCAAAAACACGTTTTGTAATGTGAGTAAAATGTGATTTTAAAATAATTTTCCCAAAACGTCCCCATGTTTAAAACATTTAAGACCCATCCTCAAATACAAACAAAACTGCACGCATACATCAGTTGTTTCCACTGCTCTAACGAGTTATAACAATAATAAGTTCCTATTTTTTTCCCCAAGTATTTATACACAAGCTAAACGTAGTTGTGGTAAAGTATTTATGGTCAGTTGCACAAACGTCCATTAAGATTTAATGACGTCTTTATGCTCTAATGAATGTCATATTTGTATGGGTAATGCCGCTTTAAACTAATAAAACATTTAATGGACGTTTGTGCAACTGGCTGTTAGTTACTTGGCTAGTTTCTGCGGTCGTATGAGCACGTTGTGATACGATCGAGTGCGGACGTCTTTCACCGCTTCGAACATTTCCGAGGACAAGTTCCCAGTTGCGCCGCGCATTTCACGCGTTATCAGCTCCACTAGCAACTGTATAACAATAATAATAAATATCACACCCGATCTCTGAATTGAGCGTTTGAAGTTAGGTACATCTCAAAATGCACTTAAACGTCACTTAAAAGGTGTTCGTTTCTGATTTTATTTTTTTTTTATGAAAAGTTGGTAGCAGTTTAATTAAAACTAGACTTTTTGCCTCGTGAAAATGAAAAACTATTTAAGTTATTGCGAACAATCACTTGAGATTTTGTACTTTTCTCAATTAAGAAGCCAAAAAAGTCACGCGCGTCCAGCGTGGATTGGCGCGTTTTAAAGATTGAAGATGCAGCCGGGGCCTGCGGCACAACGTGCCTTCCGAAGCACGGAGGAGCTCTAGATAAAAAAAATTAATCACTCATCCTATGACTGGCCATTGCTTAACAACCGTATCGCAGACCGAGTACGTTAACCACTGCCCCATCGAGATCCTTATTAACCTTAATATAATATAAAACAACCTTTTGGGTATCTGAACTCATATTGCATCGCCGCTATATAAGACTAATGTTGTCGATGGTACTTATAAAAATAGCAGTACTGTATATCGATTTACTTTATAAAGATGGTCTTACAGTACATAATCTACTTGTATTAACATTCAGTCACGTCAAGTTATACAAAGTTATAGATTCCCCCTGCCCCCATTTAATTTTAAACCTTATTGCATAGAGAGTACACTTCAAAAGACTTCGAACATTAAATATATTGTGGTATCCAGATTATTTCTATGCTATATTAGTACATGCGGTGAGACTCACGTGTAAGTTCTGACTGTATCCGCTGACTTTGAGCGTGAACCCCTGGTCGGACATGAACAGTGAGTGGGACAAGTCCGCCATGTTGGCTGGATACACCTCTTCCTGTAAGTAAACATTATAGCTTCAATGAAACTCACTATTATACGGTATTCTACTCGGTTTGAAATAATACTTGCAAATGTTTTGTTTTAAATAAAAAGGCCAAGAAAAAAAAAACGTAAAAAATAAACAAGTTTTCTTGCCTTAAAATGAAATCAAAATCTAAATTTTGTATACCTGCGATAACACGGTCCGTCATGTTCATGACGTTATTGTGATATGTACACGACACAGATTCATAGAGTAGTACATTAAAAGATGTCGATAAAACAAGAACAATGCCATCTCACGATCGATTACGAAATAAAAAGATATAAATAAGGTAAAAAAAAGCGCTATCTAGGAATTTGATTTATGTGCAGATGTCGCGACAGTGACGTCACACAATGTCGGGTCGTGTTTGAAGTCACGTGACACACAAACAAAAAAATCACTTTTAATTTTATGATAATAAAACAAAAGTGACATTTTAAGACTCAAAATCTCATGTTTAATACGATGACGATGACGCGACTTATTTTTCACTACCGAAACTTTTCTATTCATGACATTACTAATGAGGGAATATAAATTTCTTTAGAGTGAGTACTATTTTTGGCTGTATTGCTGTTATGACGTCACATTAATCATTCTTTAGAGACAAAATAATCTTTGAATAATATCTTGTAATTGTTAATATTTGTTATAGCTGTAAATATAATAGCATCTAGTGAATATATCTCTTTGTTATTAATTTAATTTTAAAGATTTCAAACCACAAATAATAAAAATACAAAGATGCACATGAAAACTCACCTTTAAACCTTGCTGCAACACATCTGTCCAGAGATCCATCAGGCAAGCCCTATCAAAATAACATTATTATATATATTCAGTTACATATTTTTTTATGATAAGAGAAGTTATGAATTTAAAATTATGTAGTGTATCTTTTAGTTGAATCAAATGAATTTATCAATAAGAAAATGTATAGTAATTATATATAAAATAATCAATCTGATATTTATTGCCATTTCAGTGTTTTTCATTTTTAATAAAAAAAATAATAATTAAAATACTCACTCTCGTGGTGATTTAATACTGAGCGGCGATATGAAATAGAAATAAAGGAGAGCGGTTGGAAACCGAAATTTGAAGTCTGGTTTATACCATAACTCCATATGTCTGTTCTTGCGCAGAAGATTCGGCTGATCTAACCTAAGGGATGAGACAAAACTTTAGCAAGCACTTGTAAAATCAATCTTCCATATAAACACCTAGAGTAGATTTCGATATCCTCGGCTAAAAGTCACGTTTGGTTTATTTGTTATCATAGCGGCAACAATAATACATCATCTGTATTTCAATATCAACTATCTAGATAGCTCTAGAGTAGGGCAAATATTTTGATAGTCGGGCCACATTGAAGATGAAAATTTGACCTCGGGCCGAACAGGTTTTTTTTTTCTAGTTTAAAGTATAATTTTTGCTAAGGATGTCAATTAATGAATTTTAATACCAACATTTTTTAATCAAAATATTCATTTATCAAGTATATATATCAATTAATAATAAAATGTGCGACTATTATGCATACTGTAATTGTTCAATTATCATAATTATATTTTCGAATAGGAAGCGCTGAAAAGAGCGGTTGTTCGGGAGAAAATTTGGGCTCCACTGGCCCTGATACTGTGTATAAGTATTACTTAATATTTTATCTAAAATATTTTATGTACCATTTATGTTAGAAAAAAACTAATATTTGTGTTTTTAATAATAATATATACAATCCTTCAGGGGCCAGACAAAATTCTACCGCGGGCCGCCATTTGCCACGCCTGCTTTAGAGCTATCGCGGTTAATGATATATAGAGCCTGGTGACAGACATATAGAGCGCAGCCTTGGTAAAAGGGTCCCGTTTTGAACCCTAATAAAAACCAGATACCCTGCGAAATAAAGACGTAGGCAACTCTACAATAGGCGGCTTTTGTTTAATCGCTTGTTTTCTTGCAAGCAATAGCGTTGTTCACTATAACATGACAATTAAAAACGGATTGTACACACGCCTGCATGTCAGGTTACCACAATATGTCAAATTTCTCCATTTGACTTTAATCGTACCCTCAAAATGAAGGTTCATAATCAACTAGAGAAACGTGACAGATTTATAAAACCTGACGTTCCATTGACTGTACATACATACGATCAAAATTGCATAAAACAAGTAAGATATCAGGCTTAATAATAACTAGCTTTCCGTCAGCGGTTTCGCCCGCGTGATACCTAGAGAACTCTTTATTTGGATATCGACAACGATAAACTAAATAGTAAACAATAGTTTCTAAGGCGATGTTTTAATTCCCTATACTACATTCCACTCCCATTTTCATCCTTTTATTTGCCGTTTCTCGGAATAAAATATAGCCCATGTTCACCGCTTACCGTAGGTAAAAGAATTATGAAAATCAGTCCAGTAATTTTGAACCTTATTCGTTGCAAACAAACAAACAATCAAATCTTTCCTCCTTATAAAATTAGTATAGCTATCTATACTAAATATTTTAAAGGGGGAAAATAAATTACTATAACATCAAAACTAGAAAATAATATCAACAATTAATTACATTGTAATGATTACCTGAAATTATTAACTGTCGCGACCAATTCTCCCTCTTTCAACACCTGAGTGTCGGGTTTATTGGCGGCTACCTTCTTGTGTATATCCTTCAAAGAACTAGTGGCGAGATCCACATCCATCTGGTGTGCTACACGTAAATAGGGCTCCGCCGGCGGGATCAACGAGAAGTCAGTGGTTATGTACACGTTCTTATCGGGCAAGTGGTAATTCGAATACGGTTCCACGTTCAACCAACGTTCCATCCAATCCGAAGGTACTTCTGTGGGGGGTAGTAGAACCTCAGTTTATATGAGTAGGTACTGTGCTAGATAAATAAGTATATAACTATTAATTAAACAATCGTTTTAGTTACTTCGACTTCAGGATATAAGGTGTGCAAAAATAACATTATCGTAGTAGGCATGATTATAACAGATTATGGCACAATGACAACGATAAATTGATCTCAAAGCCATAAAATGGCGATGCGTATTGGTTAGCCAGCATTTTACACATTTGATAAAAAAGAAAAGACCAAGACACCATTGAAAAAAAATAATGATAAATCGTAATGATAAAATACATGTATTGAATTAAAAGCAAAATTTATTTTCTTCACTGTTATTACTAAAATAACAGTTAAACCTTGAAATTAATATTTTATCTTATTCATATTTACTACACAACAAGAAAATAGGTTTTACTAATATAACACGTGGTGAATCTTGTTTCAATAGTTCGCGTCGCGTAGATATTGGTAGATCGCACGATGTCGTAATATGTACTTGAATCGGGCTAATTTTCGAAGTACGTCACATGTCGCGTAATAAGAAAGATTCAAGTAATCTGGTAATCTGTACGTCTAACCCCCCACCCCCAGAATATGAAGGAATATTTTCGTCAAGTATTCAAATCTTACGTTGGGTCATCGTGGGAATAGGTCTGACTTGCGCAAAACATTGACGACGCGCAATATATGTTACGTTTTACTGATACGTATAAAAATAGCAATACATATATAATACTTGGTTACTGTTAACATTACATGTGATACGCTGTTGACTGTACATACCTTGCCGTTTATATTCGGTGCCGAACCATTTCTCTTTAGCATCGTACTGTATGGGCGTGGAATGTTTATTGGACAGAATCATTATGTTGACAGAGTCCGCGCGCATACAGTCCAATAGTTCTGTTATACCCTAACACAAAAATAATACCTATTAGAAAACAATTATGGTGTATAGAATATCAAGAATTAGCATCGAAGATAGGGAAATCATTGCGGTTTCATACATTTTGACTATAAAGAGATGGCACGAAGAGAAGTATTCATTTTATTATACTTCAAATTATTTATTTCTATCCCATTCATAAAACAACATTAGTAATGTACCGCACTATTTATGTAATTAATTTTAGAATTCAAAAAGATTTATTTATTACAGTGAGTTAACATTTTATGTACACTTTTAAATACTAAATACATTTTTGTATGTTTCTAATTCGATGAATGTAATTTACTTTCGGCTTTCTTGATATCGACACTGAGTTTGGAACGACGTAACATTAGTGATGTGCAATTTGATCTAACTATAGACTTAATTTATACATCTAAAATTCTACCCAACTCTAATAAGAGAATTATGAATCTCACCTTAGGATCATATTTGTAATATAATCTGTCACCAGTGATGTAATGTTCCGGTGGATAGAAGTGCATGTTCTCAACGAGTGTTTCCACGTAATCAGCGGGCTGCGACTCCTCTTCAAAACGGAAACTAGTATCTTCGATTGCCTGTTAATATTGTACATATTAATATTGTAAGGGATAGTTACTGTCTCTGTGTGTGTCTGTTACGTTTTTACGCCTAATCTACTGAACTAATTTCAATGAAATTTGGTACACAGATATAGAGGACATGAGTAGTTTTATCGCGAAAAAATAGGCTACGAAAAGCGATAATAACCGCATTGCGTGGAGGCCGACGCCGCGGGAGGAGAGCTAGTATACTATATATGGGGAGTTCATTTTAGACAACAGAATTAAAAAGAGTATAATCATTTAGTATGAAAAACCAACTTTAATAAAGAAGATTATTATAGTTCTTAAAAGTTGACTCAAACATTAAGATTTTTTAAGGAATTCTATTCATTACAGGATGGTTGTTTCAAACATTTATCGAAGGGTTTTACCAAAAAAAGAAAATCTTATACAAACCTTTATCTCATTGTATATCCTCTCGGACGGTCCCAATTTCCTCAGCATATTTATATAGGAGAATATAGCTTCCAGAACCTACAAGCATATTTATAGTCATATTATAAATTTTAGAGCAAAATAACTCTTATTCCATGTACATGAAATGTAATTCCCAAAATAATTCTCGTACAGCACCTACTGTCTCATAAATTACTAGGACTAGATATATTTGTTAAGAATAAAATTAAATAATAAACATGTCAATAGATGACTGATGTAAGTTTTTTGGAATCTATTCTAAAGACTACCTCTACGTGAAGATTCCCTCTATATTTTAGATTAAGATTATATTTTTTAAATATACCTCATCAATGTGATCCAATCCGTTCTTGGTGAGTACAACCTGCGTCGAGAAGAGACTATACATTGATGTATAATCTATGCCGCTCTCAGAATTTCCCGTGTAAATACCAAGTGCCCACACCCTATGAAAAAGTTTTGTATTTAAATTAATAAGCTTAGAAAGTTAAAGCTTATTCTCTATACTCGTCAATAATATTATCTGCAGCTTTTTTTATTTTTACTCTTCTAAGTTATATTGATGCTAAGTAAATATAATATTAGTGGGTGATAAAAGTCCTGTAAATTACTAATACGCTGGAACATTGTTTTAATAACACGCGCGTGATGTCATTTGAAAATAGAAAGTATAGATAGCACAAAATGCATGAAATAAATAATTTATTAATTATTGAAATATTTATGGATAAACCCTAAAATTATGTTATTATTCATTTTTAGTTTGATTATTTATTGCATGAATTTTTGGATAATCTCAATTTATATATTAATATTGATGTATATGGAAATTTAAAAAATATAACATTTACTATGCAATAGCGCGATAATAAATGGAAAAAACATTTTTTTTAATAAAGTCTAAAGTAATAATAATGAAATTAGAGATATAAGTATTTTTAGTTAAATTAGATTTACTTATTGTGAAAATCATAGTAGCAGTTAGTTGAGATTACAGTGAACTATACTATAACTCAAAAATAACAATCGAAAACATAACAAAAATTGTGTGTAACTTATTGAGTTGGGTTGATATCACCCAACTCAATAAGTGTACTCGTCTATCAGTATTTTTTTGTTGACGGTACTAATTTTTGAACGCAATTACGTGACCAAAATGGTGGCCATACGCATTAGCAATTTGCGGGGATTATACTTACTTTTTTCTCAGATAGGACAGAAGACTGCCTTTGCCCTCGTGACCAAGTAAGTACGATATGTACTGGTGGGGTTTAGACTGGTACTCCGATATTAAGGAACGCATGCACCACGTCAGGTGCACCTACGATATAAATATTGATACATTAAAGCATATGCAATAGAATAAACAATATAGATATTGCTCACTTAAGCTGCTAGCAAAAGGAAAATTTTGTTTGTTTGCTTTCTTCTGTTCAGCGATCAAAACAAATTTACCCTTCACATGTGAATGATAAGTAAAATAATAATTCTAACGATTCGGTGTGTAATCGAGTGCGGAAGTTCATATGTTTTCATACAAATATCTCTGCAAAAATTCTTCTCGATGTGAGCAATGCCGATCAATGTGCGTTTAATGTGCACCAGTGCACAAATTTTAATATTCTGTTCGGTAGGTACTTGTAAATCTGGCATACTTTTTCTTTCGAAATTAAAAAGTTGTGTAAAGGTAACATTGCTGAATAGGATCTTAAGAATTACTATTGTATTTTCAGTGCAATATGATCTAATATTACACATTATTAAATAAATAATATTAATACCATTACTTTTTAGTCTAATATGGTCTATTAATGATATTAAATCTTAGAAAAAAAAACGGCCAAGAGCGAGTCAGCCGCGCGCACGTAGTGTTCCGTAATGGATACGAACAAAAAAATCACGTTTGTTGTATGGGAGCCCTTTAAATTTGTATTTTATTCTGGTTTTTAGTATCTGTTGTTAAAGTGGCAACAGAAATACATCATCTGTACAAATTTCAACTGTGTAACATTCACGATTCATGAGATACAGCCCAGTGACAGACAGACAGACATTGGGTAAAACCTAATATGTATAATTTGGTGGTAAAAATTATAATCGTTCTACTGACCTCAGTGGTATCGCTGATTGGTTTAACGTAGAATATACTGCGGAACTCTGGCGTGACGGCGTCAGATTTGAACGCGAACTGTGTGAAGTCCTCCGGCGGTAATTTGTTGGTGGGCACGCGACCGAACGTGTTCACCACGTACTGTTCCAACGCGTCCAGATCCATACGAGCCTGAGTACGAATCATTGGCATTAGACGTACCAGCACAAAAGATTAGCAGAAAGTGTAAACTATCGAATTTGAACTCTATTAACAACGACTTAAGACGTAACAGTGCAAAAAATTGTAAGTTTTGTGTAACCTTGACCAATATAATCTTACTCTCAGTAATATTAAGGTTGATTTTAGTATCACGCATATATTGCTGACATGCGAAAGTAGTTAATGGACTTGTTATTGTCATCCTTTTCAACTCTGTTTCATCATCATCAGCTCTTTATTTCGTCCCCACTGCAGGGGCTCAGGCCTTTCTTATGGTTGGTTAAGGAGCATGGGCCATGACCCTCCACGCTGGCCCAATGCGGATTGGGTATTAACGACTACAAATGCAGCCGGGACCACGGAGCACGGAGTAGCTCGAAATAATATTTTTTTGGTCACCCATCCCGGGCCCAACCCTTGCAAAAGTTGCTTAACGACAACGATCGCGTGCCGCGGCGCATATACACTACGCCACCGAGCTACTCCTCTGTTTCAAACAGTATCAACTGGTTGAACAATGTCACAAATGCACAACCACTAGCAATCTTTGAGTATAAGTGAATGAACAAGCTATTTTCTTCTTTTTCGTTGTCGCTCCTTTCATTTCTGTATAAATAATACACTGCAACAATTTGAACACTCACATATCTGTACTTGGCACTTTGGCAGCGATCAGTACGACACTTGCGCAGCATGCGCAGACAGTCCGCGTTACACAAAAACCAGCCTAATACGTTAAGACGTGAAAAACTATTACGAAAAGTAGTCGTCCAGTATCAACGAAGATTAAGATGCCCACAGAAAAAGCAAAAGTCATTCTCTCGAATTGATAATGTGTTCTTCTTTTGATCTGACCTGAACGGCCACTGTCATCCGGTTGGCACTGTAATGACGCCTCCTAAACTCGTGCGCCGCTTTGTACAGCTTCTCGTCGTCATCGATGTCATCACGGAGACTGCGCAAGTTGCCCCACGTGAACGTCCTTGCCGGGTGATCTTGAGGGAAAAGACTCGATAGCAGTTGGTCTTTACGATTAGAGTCTGAGGGGGACGCTATGGCGAACTCTGAAATAGAACATATGATTTCGTGACGAATGATTTTGGAATATTCAATCAATGGACTCATTTGTTGCTTGATTGAATGGTGGATATTATTCTGGGGCTCATTTCCGCTGATGTTAACGTAATTATGGCATATTAAAATTTCAGCCATTTTGTCACAGTTCTTATTATTATATAACAAAATAATCTGTCAACATTGATACTTCAACACGACATTTTGCTAATAATATTTGACGTCAGGTGGATAAAGCACTGGAAAAAGGCTTTTAATTGAAACACCATTGAAGCGCCATTACTTCGTTAACTTTAGCCGAATCTCGCTGCGGTTCACCTCACGCGGACAGGCAGAACCCGGTATCCTGCAAGGAGAGCCCGTAAGAAGTGATACTTTTACCTACTTGAAAAAAAAATGTAAGTATGTTCATTCAATATTTAGTTAGTGTGGTTTATAATACACTTTAATTTATTAAAAAATAATAAATTACTTAACTAATCAAGATACCTAACCTATGAAAGTATGAGTACACAATCTTTAGCAGCTTGACATAGGTTAATATGAAAATAATGAAACAGTTCTCGTTAATATGACAAATTGGCATTTAACATCTAAGTTGGCTAGATCAGGTACACTAATGCCCTTGAGCGACTAACAACTACATTGATTTTTGTCTAGTCATGTAAGTAAAACGCATCAGTGCTTCTCATAATGATACTATAAAATTTAATAACTTCAACGTGATCTCTAGAGTATTTAGGTATTATTCTATATTAGCATATCTATATTAACGTTATAAACTATAGCAAAATAGATGATGACATTGAAAAATTGACATATGAAAATGAAATATTGACAGATCCCGTTGACATTGCAAATGCTTTCAATGACTATTATATAAATTTGACAAATTGCCCTTCCTTAAATTCTATTAAATTTGACTCAAAATTGCCATCGATGGTCAACTCAATTTACTTAGAGCCTATGACGATCGAAGAAGTAAAAAAGGAAATGATGACTCTAAACAATACTAATTCTGAAGGATATGATGGCATATGTACAAAAGTACTAAAGTTATGTACTGACGAGCTAATATATATACTAACTTACTTAGTCAATATGTCATTCTCCTTGGGAAAGTTTCCCAACAAATTAAAAATATCATTGGTTAAACCATTATTTAATAAAGGAGATAAAGAGAATCCAGAACATTATCGCCCTATTACGTTGATACCGATCCTTTCAAAGGTATTTGAAAAGTGTCTGCTAAAAAGATTAACAAGCTTTTGTTGGAAATATAATATAATTACAAACGAGCAGTATGGTTTCCAAAAAGGGAAATCTACAACCCTAGCCATTTTTAACGTATTAGCTACAGTGCTGTCAAAATTAAACAAAAACAACCTAGTTACGGCATTGTTTTTCGACTTGTCAAAGGCGTTTGATTTTGTGGTCCATGAGTTGCTTTTAAAAAAACTTGAAGCAATGGGAATCAGAGGCGCCACATTGTCATGGATTGAGTCTTATCTAAGCGGTAGACAACAAAAAGTAGTTATTCAAAAAATTATCAACACAGAAATGACTTTCATATCATCCGATTTAAGACACAACTCGGTTGGTATCCCCCAAGGCAGTGTGCTCGGTCCTATGCTGTTCCTGCTATATATTAATGACATAACACGTGTAATAAAATATAAATGTACCTTATATGCTGATGACATATCGATAATTGTGACATCAAAAGATGATAAAAACCCTGACTCATTAAAAAATCACTCATCTTACATTAATAATACCATTGACATGATAATAAATTGGCTAAATCAAAATAATTTAAATATTAATCTCAATAAATCATATTACATTCAATTTAATAAATCAAAGCATGAACAATACAATTTCACTCTAGACATAATGAAAATAGGAGAAGTAGACCATTTAAAGTTTCTCGGTATAACTGTAGACGAAAACCTCAATTGGAAAACACACGTTAATGATTTGTGTAATCGAATAAATAGGTTTGTTTATGCCCTCAAACGAGTAAAGAACGTAGCCAGCAAAGACACAGCTATATTAGCATATCGTGCTTATATAGAATCTATTCTTCGATACGGGATTATATTCTGGGGCAATAGTGTTGAAAAAAAAAGGGTTTTTATTGCACAAAAGAAATGCTTCAGGGCTATCTGTGGAATCGCACCTGATCAATCGTGTAGACCATTATTTAAAAGTCATGGATTATTGTCGCTGCCATCTCTCTTTATTTATGAAGTGGCTGTTTTTGTCCATCAAAACAAAGAATTGTTTAAAAAGGTTAACAATGATAGACTCAGGGACCCTCACAGATTGATTTATGATGATATTCCGAGGTCGGATAAGTATAGGAATAGTTGTTTGTGCATGTGTGTGAAAATTTATAACAATATTCCTAGGACTATGAAAATTTGAATATGAATATGTTTAAGAATAAATTATATAAGTGGCTAAGTGACAATACGTTTTATGACATTAATTCTTTTTTAAGTAAATATAAACCTTGACATTACTAGCAATTATGACATCCAATAAAACATTATCATTAAATAAATAATGTACTGTAATCTTGACATTGAATATTTTTTTAAATAAATATATTTGCATGCTGTTATGTAATAGCAAAACACGTGGACATTAATAATTTTGTAACAACTTTATACCGTGCTTTGGGCAAATAAATATTAAACAAATTATCATTTCACAGATAGATGTTATAAATTAAAGCAAAAACATATTTTTATGCATTAATTTGAATTGTCACTTTAAACAATTATGTCAAATTTGAACAAATATGGCCGCCCGCGTTTTTCATTCTTTTAATCCAGAGATTATAAATGGAAAGTTAATTTTGCTAAAATAAAATATACTTACAATTTATTTGGGCCGAGGTTTTCTGTAGTTTATTAAATATTAACCGCTCGACATCAATATTTCTTGAAAAATTTAACAGCTTTTAAAATACGTATTATTTATCACCTTTTTTAATTTGAAGACGTATATAGGTATTTTATATAAATACTTTGTATAGGTATCACTAAAATATTAAATATCTTTAAAATAAATTATATTTACAATGAAAGGCCTGTAATTTTTATTTATTTGCACGAACGTAACCACGAAGAAATCGGTGAACATACCCACTTGCATAATATTTATATACCGATGTGTAAGGCGATTTCATCGATATTCTGCAAATCTATCAATTCCGAAAACAAGAATACAAAGGTGTGACAAAGGAGACAGATACCAAATTCCAAAAATAAAAAGTTCTTTTGCTTAAAGACAATATTACCATATGGCGCCTTGGTTATATAATTCATTCAATAAATTTATTACTAGCAAAAATTTTAATCATCATTTAATAAAAAAACCTATAAGAGATTGACTACAAAAGTATGATTACCGAGATACTGAAAAACTCCAAATGTGTTAACACACACACACTCACACACATTCACAAACGCACGCACGCACGCACGCACACACATACACACACACACACACGCGCGCGCGCACATACTAGCACACACACAATAGTGACACGCTAAATTTATTTGTAAATGTGACTTAATTTTGTATTTTTTTATTTTACTATTGATAAATTGCTAGAGTTCATTGATCAACACAAAAATGCCAACAAAGTTTATAATTTAAGGAAGGAACTGGCTTCTGAGACACAAGTTTCTTAAATTCAGAAGCCAGTGTTTCATTAATATGTTATCTGGAAATGCCGTAATAAAGATTTTCATTTTTTTTCTTTTTCATTGCATAAAAAGAATATAATATACATTATCAATAGTTCAATAGAAATATAGAAACCTAAAGACAAAAAGGACATTATTCTTAATAATCGTTTTGAACATAGAAATCTTTTGAAGTTTCGCTGATATAAACATGACGTCAACTTATTTAGGTGATATGTAAGGAAAGGCATATTTAGTTTTTTTATGAAAAGAAAACTACTAATTCAATTTCGATAAAATTTAAATGGGATCATATCGGCCCATTAAGCTGACGAATAAAAAAGAATTTTGAATATCAATTCATAATTGGCGGAGAAATCGTGTAACAAACACACAAAAAACATATAATCGAATATTTCGCGGGTATGGAAAAAGTTTAAATTTTTATTTAATTTTATAGCAAGAAAAGAAGCAAGAAATAAAAAAAAGCAGTTACAGGTATTATTTCAAACGGAGTAGAATACCTGCCTGTCTCCATTGTATATTCTTAATAGACGGTAAATAATGAATATCAATAATAATTATTACACGTAACCATCAAATAGAATACTATCTACTTGATGTTAATAATATAAAATATCATAGTTTATAAATGAACCGTTATTCTGAAATCTGCATTCGCAATTTTTCTTGTCGAAATGGCCACAGTAATAATTCACTTAACACTTCAACTAGAAACAACAGAAAACTGCATCTTCTAGTGTTTTACGCAATCATGTCAAATCAAATTCTTGTAGGAGAAATCTTAGCTCCCTTCACTACGGCAACACCTTTTAAATAACGTTACAAAAAAATATATGCTTACCAGATTCGATAGCTTCCCTTTCTCTCTGCATAGCTTCTTTTAACATAAGCGGACTGACGAAGAATTGACTGAACATATCCATAGCTTGTGGAAGGTGCTTCTCTTGAATCTCAAAGTAGAAAGTGGTCAACTCGCAGTCCGTCGACGCATTGTCCGATCCGCCTTTTTTCTATAAAATATATCAAAATGTATGTTAGTTATTTTTTAGACAACATCGTCATAAAAATGATTAGGGGCATAAATTGCTAATTTGTTTGTATAAGCAATTACCAAAGTATTTATAGTTGTTACATTTGGTTAGCCTAGACAGAGTAATCGTGAGGAGTTAGTGGGTTGAAAATGTATTCAACCCGAATTGGGTTGGTTTAAATTTGAAAAACAAATTGAAATTTAATTTTAATTTTATATTAACTAATTAAAATTATAAAATTATATTTATATAAAGACCAAAAAAATATTATTTTCAATACGTCATTATTAATATCTATTTATAACGTTGGTAGGCGTCGCAATTTTTAATTTTATTTCACTCTTACGACAATTAATGTATTTTAGGTACGTCACACATAACCTATTGTTTACACCTACAAATAGCATGTTACTTAACTACAATGTCGGTCGGAAAGTACATTTCATAGTAGCGCAAACTGAATAATTCTTCCGACTTTTACTCCAGGAAAATTTATGCAAACCACTTTCTAATATGGTTATAACCATTTCACATTATTAACATACTACTTAAATAGTATAGTCATGTCAACAAACTAAACTCGAGTCAGGTTATATAAGTTGCAAGCGCTTCGCAACGGCTCTGAATGGGTGTAATACAATATGTTATACGTAAACAGTGATTAGCGTGAACGATCTGCATTTACAGAGGTAATTTTCGCAAAGGTCAGTCACCGAATGGGTGACCAACAATTTTGTATGACGAGCGAGCCAAATTAAGTCTTGGCTGTATCTGAATTATTAAAACACTTAATCCGCACTGGACCCGCTTAATAGATAATGGATTGATCTCCTTTTGTCTATCCGTAGGAAAAGGCCGGCGGCCATCATTGCAACATATTAAATGTTATGTTTTTTACAATAAAGCTTCCAGCAATATTATTTACAACCTTTATATTTTTTTAGCCTTAATTAAATATTAAATCTAAAAACTACCTAATCGATTAACATTACCTTGATAAAAGCATCGAACTCATTCTCTTTTGGGTACTTTTCGCTGCCCATAAAGACCATGTGCTCGACGAAATGTGCCAATCCCTGTATATCGGGCGGGTCGCTGTAGCTGCCGACGCCCACGCACAGCGCACACGCGGCCTGCAACAAACATATCGATAATTTCACCACATCTTTGTAATAAATGATTTTAATAAGATGTTTGGCTGTTCTAATGGCTTGAAAGATTAAGAAGTTCGGCAGTTCCTAGTCATCTATTTTACCTTTTATGGTTCCATATCTCAAAATCTCATAGTACAGAACCTATTGAGTTATAAAAACTTATTCTTAATGAAAAATTCTTAAAATAATTCACATCGTCTGGCACTCTGAGATGGGATTCGAACCCACGACCTTTCGGAATCCAGGCGACTGCTCTAACCACTGAGCTACCCAGGACCTAACAGGATTGATGAATTTTTCAAGCACTTGTTACCATTTCGCTACTACAGGGCGTATTTTCATTATTTTTCAGTTAATCCATATAAACATTCTTATCTTTGAAATAATACTTATCTCAAAAGCGACTTATTCAAGAATTTACGATTGAACTCTGGCGAAGATTTTCTGAGATTAATTAAATGATAGGCGCCCGAATTCAATAGAATAAGTCACTTCTGAGATAAGTATTATTTCAAAGATAAGAAGTATGTTTATATGGATTGCCTGGTTTGTTTTTATTTTAGTTTTTATTACATGCTTTTTAGTAATATTGATATTTTTATATATAATAGGCAACACTAAAATTATTAAATATAAATATTAGACGTGAGTGAGTCTCAGAAAAGAATATTTTGTTTATTTGCTCGGCATAATTTATTCCAATCTCTATTCATATTTTAAAGAGGAAAGATTTCATTGCTTGCCTTGTTTGAATTGGATAGGCCCAGAACAACTGGACCGATTTATAAAAGTCTTTCGTCAACAGAAAAGCTACAATTTACGTACGCCAAATCGCGGGGAAACAGCAAATTTATTAGAAACTAGCTTTCGCCAGCGGCTTCGCCCGCGTGGACCCTAGGGAAATGTTTAGTGGGATAAAATGTATCCTATTATCTAATTCAGCTAACACCCTATCTGTATATCAAATTTCATCAAAATCCGTTCAGTAGTTTCGGCGTGATTGACGTACAAACATCCAAACAAAGAAACTTTCACATTTATAATATTAATAGGATTGGTTCACAATTCAAGACTGCTCTAACCAATGAGCTACCCAGGACCGAACAGGACTATCGAAGTTTTCAAGCACTTATTGCTTTTTCGCTACTAAAGAGCGTACATTGATGAAAATACGCTCTATATATAATAAAATAAACTTCAATATCGTTTTAATTTCGCTATTAATCTATACATAAAACAAAGTCGGTTTACACTGACTGCACGTAAGTTGATATCTTTTAAACTACAAAAAAGAGTTTTAATGAGGTTTTCAACAATCTATAGTGATTCAAGAGGAAGGTTTATAAATAAAATAATACAGGCCCACGTTGGCGGAACTAATTTCCGGTATATAATTTTATTTTGGCAATATTGTTATCACTGAGGATAGTAACACTTAAAGCGATCATCCCGGACTAAAGTGTGGTGGAGAAGAGAAAAAGTATTTTTAAATATACAAAACTCAATAACAAGTATTGTGTCTAATCTAGTTTTAGTATGAAGGTCAAAAAATTAATTAAATTATAAAATCGGATAAGGCTGTATAAGGATAATAACAAAATATTAAATTCGTCGTAATAAAAAAAAATCAATAATTTTTACCCGACTACGGCAAAGCGAAAAGGAGGGTTGAGGAATGATTTTAGCCGGTGTGTGTGTAAGTAAAAATTTTCATCAGTTCCCTTAAAACTTTGAAATTACTCATCGTAACAGGACATTAGAAGCATCTTAGTTTTTCGCATGCTATAGGCTATGTGTCGTTACGTTAAATTGGCAATAGCATAAAGACCTCTAGAGAACATAAAGAAAGATACCAATAAATATTATTCAATCATTCCGTGTAGGTTATCAAATGAAAGGGCTTAATCAAATATTTATGTATATCTATAGCTTTTGCCTGCGATTTAACTTAATTACACCCGAAAAGTAATAAAATAAAATAAATTCAAAAACTAAAACCCGACTGCTGCTAAATCACGCTCTAAAAAGTTTGAATGCGTCACAATAGCTTGTTTTGTTATAATCAGTGGCATACGACTACGCAGTCCTTCGGTCATCGCTATTATAATATAGCTATCGCTATTAAATAAATTACTTGTTTCAAACTTTTTAGTTTAGTCGGGTTTTAGTTTTGAACTTTTTTTTTTGTTTAATTTTAGACCGTTAGAAAATACATTCTAGGATATATTCTAAAACGAGATCTAAACTCTAAATTATAGAATTTCTTTTCGAAAAGAAAATTCATGTCGAACTCCTTGAGTTGCACACTCACACGACGTCGCAGCTCTGTTTTTAGGGTTGAGTCTGTCTATCACCAGGCTCTATCTCATGAATCGTGATAGTAAGATAGTTTAAATTTTCAAAGATGATATATGTATTTCTTTTGCCGCTATAACAAGAAATATTAAAAAATATATATATAATAAATATTTAAGAGGCTCCTCCCAACAAACAAGGGAACCCTAAGAGCACAATTGCCGATTCTCGCTTGACCGGTATTTTCGTCCGTTTAACTTTCAGTTAGAATTTTGGTTAGGCTCGAGTTTTGTTGGTAATCAACCATGTACACTAATTTAAACTGAATAACACAATAATACTGTTTCATCGTAAAAATATATCGGTATTTTACATTCTCTATAATATTAGAGGTAAAGTTTCTAACTTTGATTGTTTGCAGGGTAATCTTGGGGTTACGATCATTAAAATTCTACCTTCAAAGTTACATCATACGCTGGTGCTATTACCTACAATTTACGCGGGTGAAGACGCGTGAAAACAGCTAGTATAATATATTTAACTAATCGTTCAATATTTCCAACTGCTAATAAAACCGGTCATACCGTGTCAAGAGAAAGCTCGACTCTTAGCAGCTTGCATCGCTTTCTAGACATTTTTTCGCTTGTGATCTTCATGATCCTAAGTATATTTCGTTTGTAGCGATAAACCTGTAGAAGGTATAAACTGTATTACTTTTAACACCTCCGTTCTAACATAAAATTAAATGTAATTAACCGATTTCTAAAAAAAAGGAGGTTTACTTTCCACTGAATATTTCTATTATAATTTTATCGAGTAGTTTAGTTTTTATGAAAAATAATGTCAGATGTAGATTGTCTTTATTATTTTGACAATAATGTTGTCACTAAAAATATTAAAATATTTTTTTTGCACTAAAGCAGACTTTAAAAATGACGAAAATTAATTCCTAAAAACGTTTAAAAGCATGATCATAAAATAGTGACATGAATTATGTGCATTAGTTTTTATTGTAATGCCGTTTCATTTGTAGGAGAATGTGAAAAATTAAGCTAAATACAAGCACATTCTACTTAAGTATTTATAGCATCCACTAGCTCTAAATTCTCAGCCTAAAAGTGAATCAGAACACGACGATTATTCAATAGACCATTGTCAATTGCAGTATCGCATAACGTAATATAATATCGATCTGTACTAAAAATAACAATACGTAGGTTTTAACCAATTTAAAATTGAGACTTCAGTATACATTCCGTACACTATTATTAATTCAGCACAATTGATACTTTCTGAAAACCTGGCAATGACCTAAAAAAATGATACAAATATTTATAAAGAGTTCTAACCTGATTTCTCTTTTGAAAAACAACTGAACAAAAGGTAGCATAAATAACAGTTAAACCATCAAATGCATACAAAAGGTGGTTGTGTAACCAAATCGATGAAGACTTAGATGAAGGCCAATATCGATATTTATTTCATGGTCAATGTTTTAAGATATACGCACAAACTGCAATCTAAGTCATTCGGTAACGAAATATTTTGAAATTACATAAGTTAATAGAAAGAGACAAGTCGGACTGGCGCACCGAAGGTTACACGCAAATATTCAATTTTGCGAACCATACACATCTAATAGGTTCCCGTAATCTGTGGGTAAAATTATTGTTTGTATATTTATGGCCCGATAATTTCGATAAAATGGGGATGGAATTTTTTTATTTAATCAAATATCCACAAAACTTTTATTATTTATATATATAGGTAGTATAGCATAAAACAAATCGCTTCCCGCTGTCTGAACTTAGATCGTTTAAAACTACACAACGGATTTCAATGCGGTATTTTACTACAGATGGAGTGAATAGACCAACCATCCAGAGGAAGGGAATACAAGACCACGCGGGCGGAGTCGCTGGGGGAAAGCTAGTTAAAATTAAAAGAGGTTTGATCCCCACTACCTAAGTATATACGAATTGTGGGTCAATCCATACTAGTACAGAGTCCAAATGCTCAACCTAAAAATTGTTACAGCAAAATCACTTGTAATATCAGCAAGGTGCGAATGCGCAACGATATTTATGTTTTCAATTTTTATTTAAGATCTTACGGAACATGCTTGATACATCCTAGCGACGTTTATTGATTAGCGTAAGTGAATTCCCTTTAATTATAAAGAAATAAGATGTTTCGGCTCTGCGCTAGCGGGAATTGACTTTCATAACATACCTATTGCGTAAAAAACCTATTACACATACACAGTGTAAATAAATATGTGCGTACTTAGCCACATCATCGCCAAAAATTTAAACGTAAACATGCTGCTTGATCAATACAATATTTTACAATTGTCAGAAAGTCGCTTGTGTACAGTCAAAAGCATGTCAGATTATACAAATCTTTCAAATTTCTGCACTTGATTTAAAACCTTAATACTTTACAAGTAGAGTTTATAACAAAATTGAAAAAGTTTGACATGTTATTATAATCTGCAACTAATGTAATGTGTGTGTGACTGAAATCAATTTAACAACATTCGTTCACATATATGTATTTTTAACTAGTTGTTATATGCGGCTCTGCTCTTTTCAACTATCTTTTCAAAAAATTGTATTATTTTTCTATGAAAGCTCCATTGGATTGTAAAAAGAAAAACCAAGTATACTTTTCTATAAAAAAAAATTGTGTTTGCAAGCATAAATCATCATATTGCCAGTTTATCAGTCTTCAGTAGTCCTGTTGATTGAATTCATACCTAATTTATTTAAAAAAATAAAAACAATATGTGTTTGCAAGTACCTCAGACTGCCTCACTTAAAAGTATATGAATAAAAACTTCCATTTGTTAAACCATAAAACCCACTTTTATAGTCTACATGGTAGTGGAGTGTTGCCTATAATGCAATATTATGAAATTTTTTAATCAACAGTTTTATAGAACATAATCTCCAACATCAGAACATCACCACCACCTTATCCATGTCCATCTGGATAATTAAGTTAATTTGAAAACCACATGGAATTCATAAGTAACAACAATAAACTTATATCTTTAATAAATTTTATGTCTACAATGTTATGTTGACATTTATGAGGGTAATTTGAAAAGTTCTCGGCCTGACTAATAAACATGTTTTGTTTTTCTACATATTCTCCCCTTGTCTCAATACAATGGCACTTGACATATGACTAAATAAAGAATCGAGCTGTGAAAGACAATAAATTAGTTTACACCCTCATTAGTTTTGATTTAGTTCCAAATTAGTTTCTACCCTCAAATCTTGGTCTTTTCAAACCACCTTTCGTACTTTAAAAAAGTACTCTTTTATATAAAACAATAAATTGCTTTTATTTCAATACAATATTGAAAGGAAATGAATAATAAATATGGTTAGGTTTCAGTTATATCAACATTAAAAAGTTTGGTTTTGGATTTATATAATATTATAATTTCATTGAAATTGATGTCTCTAAAAATATCACATATTCATAAAGCCTTTCATTTTCTTTTCCTTTTTCAATTTACAATGGCCATTACCAGCTGAAATATTTTAATATAATCTATACCATCAAATACAATATTAGGTTGAAGTTTCATCTACCAAGTATTAATCAGATAATGGTGCCAATACTGTTGTAAGAATCCCTGAACTAAAAGTGTCATATTTTAATTTAGGTACAGTTTAAGACAAAGAAGATGGTAAAATTTGCGTACCAACAAACAATGGTGCACTGCATGCACACAATTATTCATTTAGTAGTTTGTATTTACAAAAAATCAAAAAAGAATGGCATAAGGATGATACAAAATGTTATGTTCACATAAATTTATATGTAAACTTTGAAATTTTAATTGTAGTCAAATAACTGTTCCCCTCTTTCCAGTGTTTACTAAATTCTGTAATCATATCAAAAATATTTCTAGCTTCTTTGTGATAAATATTATATGTAATATAATAAGATTACTCTTGTTTAAAGAATTGAAAACTTGATAAAATTTATTTGCAGATACCAAAAACAGACACAAGCGATGCCATGTTGCCACCTGGACTGGTGAATATTTTAATATATATTTCTTTAAGATAATATCATCAATTTAGCTCTGTGAATGCACAATTGATCAAATATAATAATTATTATAATTTAGTATGGACCAACAGTATTGCCATCAGTATCATGGAAATTGCTCTATTTATAATGAAAATTATAAAATTATTGTAACCACAACCCCTTATGACTGCAAAGAAATTTGTTATTTAAGTTAATGAAACTGGGAATTAGATTCAACAAAGTCTCAAATCAACTAATACAGGGTTGAATTCAAAATTTATTAATTGCCAGCAAAAATATGTATTACAAACATTATTACTTACCAACTTTTCTTCATCAAATTCTCCTCTTCTCTTAGAGCCATGTTGATCACTTGTAGTTGAATGCGCTGATTTGCCACTATCACTTTCTGGTCCAGAAGATTCATCAGTTCCACTACTATCTTCTTCACTTGAACTACCTTCATCATTATTAGTGGGACGACTAGGGTCGGATATTAGGAGTGCGGTCAATCCATTCTCTAATCTTATAGTCCTGTAATCAATAAATGACTTAAGGTTTCTGAGAAATGAAGTTATTTCTATACAAACTTTCTTACTGCACCGATTAAGGCTATTTTTCATTCAAATGAGATTAAAAATGTGAAACTGACTACTCACTTATATATTTTTTTGTCAGATTCAGATTTTATTGGCTCGGATAAGACAGTAACTTTCTCCTTTCGAGTCGTAAGTGTTACAGACTGTTTGGTACGGCTATTGAGCACTTTCATCTCTGGTCGAAATTTTGGAGACTTATGAAAACCATTTCTTTTAAACATTGCGTTTACTGTGAGGTCCGTCGCCTTCAGATGACCAGATGTTTTTTGAATAAAATTGGACAAGAATTTTGACATTTATTGGAGCATGTTACGAAGTTGCCACAGGATAAATATAATTTCTACTAAGAACCTTCTTGATGGGAGTGAGAAACATATTCCTAGTAAATTAAAAGAAAAACAATAGGGTATTTGACACTATCGAAAATAAGCTGCATTTTGTAGTCATCCTGATAGATAATAATCTAATAAAGCTTATTTCTTAACATCCGCAGAAAAAACATGTTTAGATTTAGTAAAATAACGTAAAGAAAATGCAATATTTTTAGGAATTTATTCAACGACGAAAACGTCCTATAATTAGAGATGGACGCTTTAACGAAAAGCACTTAATTAAGCGTGCTTTTCTAAATAAATGCAAAAGTGATTTTTCACTTAGATGAAAAGTATGCTAATGCTTTTTATACGTCCCGCCAACTATCAAGATATAACTACTAGCTTCAATCAATTTTTCTGTTTCGGCGTTTTTCTATTAGAGGGCAGCACTTTACATAAATGCACTGTATTATACTATTACGCGTGAGATCCAACTAGACTTTTCGTATCAACTTTTTTGGTTGGTTAATCTGAACGCTTTTTTAAACGGAACTTATACTTAAAAAAGCAGTACGCTTTTCGTTGTTGAATTAAGTGCACGTTGTGTTGAATGTTAATTAATTGCGTAAGTTGAATTGTATGCGTAAATAAATTGCTACTTAAGTAATGACTTTTGTTTATTCCTAAATAAACAATGTAAATAAGTTTTGTTAGTAGGTGATGGTGTATATATAAAATATTCTAAATAGTGAAATATTAAAAAAAATATAAAATATTCTAATAGAGTGTAAATAAAATGTCGAGAAACAGTAATAGTATTGTGGTTTTGTATTATACATAAAAACCTTCCTTTTGAATCACCCAATCTATGAAAAAAGCCGCATCAAAATCCGTTGCGTAGTTTTAAAGATTTAAGCATACATAGGGATGTAAGAACAAATAAAGCTACTGTTTTATACTATGTAGTGGTAACACAATGTTGCATGATTATTATAACGATTTCTTAACGTCAGTTGAAAAAAAGCAATAAGCAGTTTTTAAAAACGCTTATTAAAAATCGTACAACGTAACAACACTTAAAAATTTAAAGCAGTTATTTCCACCTCTACCTATAATTGGTCGTCGTCACAACCGATCACGATTCTGTTTACTGGCCTGTGACGTCATCAGCTGTCATGTCAAAGTAGTGATAGAAAGCTACATAAAATATCGATGCCTGTACGTATCGAGTACTTTATAGTAATTTACTGATAACAGAATACTTTGACGCTTCTGCTGATAAGAACTGCCAAAAAGAAATACAGAAAGAAAGAATCATTTACTAAGATTTAAAAAAAAAACAAGAAATAGGGAAAACGCCTTGAAAATAATTCAAAATTACAAAGTGGATGTTGATGATATATACTGTTCTCCAAGTTAAAAACGAATAAAAAATATCTGGGATCTGATGTCTCATTATCAAGTGCCATGCATTTAGTGGGCAGACATACTACATGCATGTATAAAAAATAGTACATCCTTTTTCGTACTAATGTCTCATCCATCTGTAGGTCGACTGGCTGTAAAATGCAAGCCCTGTTAACAAATATAAATGATTCGTAAAATGTTTATGATATAGAAAAAAAAAAACAAAAAGAAAACCTTCAAATGTATCGATATGAAATAAAAAAAATTACAATAGTTTTAGCGAAACCTTACCTAATTTTATCACCCATCTCTACTCTATATAGCTACTAATCTATTGTGATTGTGAATCTATTTTGTTCTAGACTCAAAGTTTGTTTATAAATAACTAATAATAGAAGTATTAGTACATTGTGGCACTACGCACCACTTAAGACAGTTGTGACTTATCGATTTGACATATTTACTGGCCAGTGACGTCACGATCAGCGCCATTACATAGAGCAGCGTTTTTCGCGCGATTTTAGCTATTTAAATTTTAACAATTATTTTCACCAAAAATAGAAAAGATTCCTATGAAATATAATGACAGTGTGCTTATAATGTAGCAAACAACGATTTAAAGTAGTTTTTGAAATTTGAAATGTTCGAATCTTAGATATCAAAACAAATACGAAAAAGTACAAATAGAATATGAGTTGTTTCTTGAGTTTTGAAAATTAATTTACTTTTAAACATGAAAGAAAACCGGAAAGGATGTCATGGCGAAATCAAGAACGCGCCGTGGCGACATCTAGTTTGATCTCAAGAACGAATTTTTATTTTGTAAATAATTCCTCTTTATAATTAGAGATGGACATTTAAACGAAAAGTAATTAATTAGGCCTGCTTTTCTTAATAACGGCAAAAGCGCTTTTTCACTTCGAAGAAAAGTATACTAATGCTTATTGTAAGTCCCGCCATCTATCAAGATATAACTACTAGCTTCAATCAATTTTTCTGTTTCGGCAATTTTCTATTAGAGAGCAGCACTTTACATAAATCTACTGTATTATACTATTACGCGTGATATCCTACTAGACTTTTTGAAACAACTTTTTTGGTTGGTTAATCCAAACGCTTTTTTAAACGGATTTTTACTAAAAAAAAGTAGTACGCTTTTCGTTGTTGAAGTAAGTGCATGTTGTGTTGAATGTTAATTAAATGCGTAAGTAGAATTGTATGCGTAAATAAATTTCTTCTTAAGTAATGACTTTTGTTTATTCCTAAATAAACAATGTAAATAAGTTTTGTTATGAGGTGATGGTGTGTATATAAAAGATTCTAAATATTATTGAACTCTATTAGTTTTAAGATTGTGTAAATAAAATGTCGAGAAACGGTAATAGTATTGTGGTCCTGTATTATACATAAACACCTTCCTTTTGAATCACCCTATCTATGAAAAAAAACCCGCATCAAAATCCGTTGCGTCATTTTAAAGATTTAAGCATACATAGGGATATAGGGATAAAGAAAGCGATTTTGTTTTATACTTTGTAGTGATAACACAATGATGCACGCTTATTAAAACGATTTCTAAACGTCAGTTGAAAAAAAAGCGTTAAAGCCATAAGCAGTTCCGTAAAACGGGGTGAATAGCAATGATTTTCAACTTCGTCCAAAGAATTTGTTGACTGTAACTATTTTTTATTAATCTAAAATTATATTATGTCCGGTACCATAAGGAAAGAATTAAAGCAATTTCTTTTTAACTATAAGCAAAGGTTTTCTAGAATTTTAATAAAATAAGCACTATTTCTATTCACCCAATGATAGGGGTCAATAGAAATGCATAAAGGGGAGAATGGAAAAACTGTTAGGGTTGCCAAAAATGAGTTATCCAATGGTATGCAAAAATGTGAGGTTGTGAGTTTAACGATTGTTTTAGTTTGTAGGTATATAATAAAATGAAATCCAAAATTTGCAATTCTAGCAATTAGTGCATATAACATGAATGTTTATTTATGTTTGCTGTTTAACAGATTTCATTTTTACGAAATGTTATGATCTTTTATCAATAAATTACACAAGATACTTATTTGTACTTTAATTTGAATTAAACACAATAAAAAAAAATTTTTTTTTTTAAATAAACAGCTAGAAATCCTCTGAACAACAATTATCATATCAAAGTTATCACTGGTAATCAACTTCAGCCTACGTTATGTTATGAACTTATGACTTTGAAGAATCACTTAATACTATAGTCTGTCTATTCATCTAAAATTCAATAATTAAAATATCTATAAATTATCAAAATACTTAGAAAAATCAAATTTACCTTAATAATTATAATCAAATTGACATTTAGGTAATTTTCGCCTAGTACAACTAGTACGAACTAGTACACATACTGTATAAAATTAATCATTATTCTTAAACTTAACTCTTAGAAATTACAAAACAATTTTGTGAATTTAACAATTATTATCGAAATCTCAAAGTTATCACAGCTAATCAACTGTAGAATTAGTACTACTATTTCAAAATAGTCAAATGTCGTACAAAAAACAATGGATTCTTAAAATATCTAATCTCTGGACCAAATATAACTATCTTCTAGTTCATATCATCCTTTTCTAAAATTTTTAATATTTCGTTACTATTATTGTAATAATTAATTGGTTGTTTTTTCCTTGGTAATTTAATAAGATCTTTTACGGCTACAGTCTTGTTCCTTTTTACAACAGGTAATCTGTACTTTTTGTTATACTGACCATCATTTACTATTTCATTTGATATTATTTTTATTTTATTCTCCATAATATTATCATCAGTAGTTTTTCCCGTACTGATCGTAACTTCTTCACATAAGCTGTCTAAACAGAATATGGGCAGACTGTTTATATCTGTATCATTAAGTATTTGGCACTGTAATTGTTCTAAGTTATTATCGTAGTTTTCCTTTTCCGTAATACTGTTGTAATTTTTTTGTCCCATATTATTATCATAATTTTCGTAATCCGTGAGGTAATTGTCAGTATCCTGTCTTGTAATTCCTCATTTTTCTTGATCTGCATTGTTCCTAATTTCTTCTTTGCATTCTGTATTGTTTTCATTATTACCCTTGTCTTCTGTTTCTACTCTTTTCAAACTTGAGTTTTTTATTACTTCCTCGATATCTTGTCGTTTAGGCGTTTTGTTGCCAAAATTATCCTTCTCTTGAATTTCTTGTGCTTCTAAATAGCTTGATTTAGTTTTTTTCCCAATTCCTTTACCTTTTACTTTGTGAGGTTCTATTTTATCAGGGCTATTTTCTTTTTCTTTATTTGCTTTTAGTTTCAAGTTTATGATTGTATCTTTTTTAGCTTTGCCTTTAATTTTATTTAAACCCGATGGATCATTATTATCTGTATCGTATTTTATTTTTTTATGATTTTCCATATTGTTATCGACATTGGTTTCTGGATAGTCGTCGATTTCATCTGCAGCAACACTTCTACCTGGGAGGACATTAAGTTTTCGCTTTTTTTTTGGTTCTACTATATTCATGGAGCCATATCTCATTTCTTTGAGAAGTGTCACTACAGAATCTTCAATAGCGCTTTCATTATCTTCATTTAAATTGCCGCCGGGTAGTCTTGCTAATATTTCTTGAGCATTTACTGGGCTTATTCCTGTTTTTTTAAAACCAGCAATAATATTTTTTGCAGCATTTATTTTAAGTTCATCAATAAGTTATTTCAATAATTTGGGAAAACAACCTTTTGGGATGGTAGGTAATAGACGCCCATCTGTTTTCTTCCATTTAAGTATTAATTGTCTCCAGGCACGCTTCATGGGACGAAAAAACGCTACGTCCAAAGGTTGCGTTAGGTGAGTTGAGTTTGCTGGTAAGAAGACAAAATCGATGTCATGCGATTTACATGTTTGGATCAAATCTGCTGATAAATGTGAAGATAAATTGTCTCCAATTAAGCACTTTTTCCCTGGTAAATACTTAAAATAAGGAACCACCATATTTTGCACCCAGTCCTCAAAAGTGGTGCCATCAAACCACCCAGATGTCGATCTGTTATATCGAGTACCGTCTGGTCTATTTTGGACCCAAGAATCATATAAATGGGTTGCTTTATACACCACATATGGTGGTAACATTTTACCATCTGCAGTTCCAGCCATCATAATGGACACGGAGGCCTTGGTATGGTTCAGAACCCTTTCAGGGTACTTGCATCCCCGTTTGATTAGTATTTTCTTCCGCCCAGGGTCGTCGATCAAATTTGTTTCATCGTAGTTGAGGATGTTAGAAGCAGGTACTCCGTTCAAAGACTTCTCAAGTTCAATAAAATATTCTTTAATCGTATCTGGGGATACTTTAGCTCTCACACGTTTGATATTTTCGCAGACTCTTTGAGAGATATCATTTTTATGTCTTAAAAGGAAACTGCACAAAATCCGGTCCTGGAAAATTGTCTTTAAATCTTTTATGGGTTATACCTATCTTATCAAGATACATTTTTACGATGTACCGGAGGTCCATCGTATCTAAGGGATAACCCCATTCAGCGCATTTGTTTATGTTTTCTATTAAAAACATTTCAGTGTCATTGGATAAAGCTCTTTGACCTCCATGTTGCTTCATATCACGGGTACTGTGACGATACAATACCGATTTGTGTATGCCATATTTTTTGCAACTTCTTTTAATTTGACATTTCGAGAAGTTGCATACTCTTCCACAGCTTTTTTTATTATATCAATATTATATTTTTTATATTTTCTTCTCGTATGATCAGGTTTATATACACGCGGCATTTTAATATACCTACGGTGGTATGTACCTGTAAATGAAAACATTGACTATAAAAAGATTATTTATTTATCATACATTAAATCTAGAGCTCTCACCTACTATATAGCATGATTTTACTAGGTTTTACTAGGTTAATACAGAAACTATATTATAAGAATAGATTTTTTTATTATTATTCAAATTTTCATGAAATCAAATTTTTTGTAATGAAAAACAACAACAACACAACTCCTTTTTTGAAGTCGGTTAATAAAAAATACGGTGACTGTATTTTTGTAATTTAACACACACGTAATAAGTTAAATACATTAACAATACAATACACAACGTTTACACACATTAAATCAAAAGTATCGGGAGCTAAACTTTAGGCGTACACAGAAGGTAGACTTTGAAGTACATTTTGAAGGATAAATATTAATTTTGACATTTAAAAATTGTTGCCAACGCAAAGAAAAAATGTTGCAGTGTAATCATTAAAAATTCTACCAAAATTCTTTAACAAAAAATAGTGAAATATGAGCATTGAAAACTTTCCTGATATTATTCGATTCACCCCGCAATTTCTATACACCCCGTTTTACGGTTTTTAAAAACGCTTGTTAAAAATCGTACAACGTAACAACACCTAAAAATTTTAAGCAGTTATTTCCATTTCTAATTATAATGCTACTCTTTGGGGCAAATATATTTAATCTGGCAGTACTCAAACGTCATAATGTCGTTTTCTTCGATATAAATGCCGTTGTATTGGTACACATTTGAAATTTATTGAGGATTAAATGTTTGTTAATTTTTGCTTCGATAAATTTTAATTAGAAATGTGAAAATCAAGTGAAATATTTTTATAATGGATGAATTGCACTCGGACAACGACATTTCACTTTCGCCGACGCAAATATTAGAGCGTTTGCAAATATTACGACAACTACAACTCATGCAACGAGGTAAACTTCAAAAACAACGTTTGGAGTATCAGGAACCTAATTCCTCGAGCATCACAGAGATTATTAGTCATTTCAGCAATAGCACCACATATAATAGTTTCCGCAGTTTGTTAGAAGCAACTGAAGGTTCTTCTAACGATGCGACACCTCGATTAAATGTGAAAAGTGCATCACCAAAGCTTAAAACAAAAGATTTGATAGAAGGTGTATCGATTTTGAATTTGTCTCAAGAATCTGAATTTATCACAAACTCTCCAACATCAGCTCGAAGTACAGTCCTCAGCCGAAATTCACTTAGCAATGATTCCAGCAGTAATACTGGTACTAAAAAACAAATATCTCTTGATGAAATGCCTGTCTTGACACCAAAAAAAGACTTTGAAACATTAATAATAGAGAAACTAAAGGGTGAGGTAAACAAAAAAGTGTTAGAAGATTCAAAAGAAATGCCTGTAGTAAACAATAGAAAGCCCTTTTTGAAAAAAGGTGAAGGTACATCACGTTTTGGTTTGCAAAAAAAGGATTTAGTTATACAAAATACAAAGTCCTTGCCATGGCGGCAAAACTCAAGTAATACTAAAAATAAACAAAGTCAATTAAATACTGACAAACAAAGTAATTATGTGTCCAGGAATGAAAATAATAAAGCAGTTGAAAAGCAAACAAAACTTGCAAAACCTTCACAACTAATAAATACTAAATCCACAGAAACGGAATTGATTGTAGAAGCAAAAGAAAGAGAATGTGAACATGCAATAAAAGAAATACCACAGAATAAACAAGTTGCAAAAGATAAATATCCATTGCCCAGCACTAAAGGTAAAACTTGGGCATCAGTATTAACCAAGGAACAAAATGACTTTTTGCATCAGCTTAAACAGAGTGAATATTATAAAAATTTTACTTCTCCAGCAAAGAGTATAGTTTCAGATATCAGTTGTGATGAGAACCTTATGAGGCTTAAGATGGAGAGAGAAATAGCTGAGCAAAACATGTTTGAACTTATTGAGAACAAAGTCTCTAGTGATAATTTTAACCTGGAGAACTCTTTTTTCCATCGTTTCTTGAGACATAATCAATTTGAATGTTCAGGCGAAAGTACACCACTAGTAATGCAACAATGTCTTGCTAAAAATCCAAACTTAATAACAATATTACCTAGGAACTTAGATAGGAACAGAAATCATGATTCACATACTGATATAGAAACAAATGGTGATTGTTCAGATTGTTGTAGTGAAATAGGCTCATCAGTATCTAGTTGTTCATGTAAAACTGTTGAGGAAACCAATAGTACCTTACAGACTGATATGTTTCCTGATAATGATAGCAATGCACGAATGAAAAGGGAAAGGTATAAAGAGGATAAAGGATTACCTCAAAAGTCAACAACAAGTTCACAAGCAAAAAAAGTTGTAAAGATCATAGAAACAGAAAAAAATAAAATTGACAATGCCAATAGTGACAGTGATATGAAAGCCAACATGGTTGAAATGAATGCAAAATTAATTGCCACAAGTGAACTTCTTAAAGAAAGACTGCGTGAATTAGAAGATGAAATAGAAACATTTAGACAAGAAAACACAAATTTAAAAAAAATGCGTGAGGAAATTGATGCAGAGCGCCACAAATTTTATGAAGAAAAGACATTATTTGAACAAAAATTTAATGAAGAGAAAATATTATCAGAATATTATTTATCTGAAGAAAAAGAAAAGTTAACAAAGCAGAAGCAGTTATACGAAAAGTATGTTAGGGAGATGAGAGGTCGCTTGAACAGAAAAGACAAAGATGAGGTAATTAGCTTAAAAAAAGAAATAAATGATCTCAAAGAGGAAATAAGATTAAAAGACTCTAAATCTACTTCAACAATTGCTCGTCTTAGAAATCAAATAAAAATTTTAGAAAAGGAAAAAAAAGATTTTATGGAAGAAATAGAAAAATTAAAAAAAGAAAATAGACGAATTCAACATTCAAATGATATGACAAGGAGAATGACAAACATTAAATATTTAGAAGAGATAAATAAAAAACTTTCACATATGACTGCAAAAGAAACTCAATCAGAATTAAATTTTGACAGTAATTCAAAATATAAAACCTTTGAAATAGGAAGGCAAAGTAGACCTCGAAAAATTGAGACAGTGAGTAATAAACCAGTAAGAACTAGGGCAAAAAGTGTACCTAATCTTAAAGTTACATCTAGATATGCAAAATATTTTAGCCAAAGAGATGTTGTTAGTGATATGGAAAAAAATAAAGTAATTGATTCTCTAGGACACTTAACCCATTCGTCTGATAATTATCAATCTGAAGATGCGCAATTACATATTGAGGATGAATCTCAACATGTTACAGACTCTGATAATGAAGAAAATAATTTAGAAAAGTTATATATGGAGAGGTTCCAATCATTATCACCCAGGAGTGCCAAATCAAGTTTATCAAATTCAAGTTGCAATATCAATACAAATGTTGTACAAGCAAATAATATTCAACACAAAAATGATAACTTTTTTATTACAAAATCATCTTCAAATAATGATTCCACATTGAGTAAGAGCATTTCACCAGTAAATGTTTCTTTAGAATCAAATTCGCAATTATCAAGAACATTTGCATCAGTAATTAGCCATAAATATAGTGGCCAAAGGTCACCAAGAAATTCCTCTCAAGATTTACACATTAATAAATTCAATACCATAGATCGGATGCCTTCTAATGCCTCAAATAGTTCTAGCAAGTCTCATAATTTGTCAAAGTCTCCAGTTTCTATCCTAACAAACAGATCTTCCAGTAGTCTTAAGCCAACTACAGTTATACAAAAAGATTGTTTTAGAGAGACAATAAGTTTAAGTCCAGAACCCATGATTATACATCAAACTAATGAAGCAATACATCATGATAAGGCATCAAGAACTAATTTAAATCCTACTGAAATAAAAAAACCAGATGGATCTAAGGAACTGAGATTTCCTAATGGGAATACTAAATTTATTTCTTCAGATGGCAATTACAGTAAATTTGTTTATTACAATGGCGATATAAAAGAAAACTTTTACAGTGAGGGTAGAATTAAATATTTCTATGCAGAAACAAAGACCTGTCATACTACACATGCTGATGGATTAGAAGTTCTAGAGTTTCCAGAGTAAGTACTGAGTACTGTTAATAGGGATATTTCCTTACATTCAGGTTTCTGTTATATGATCGGGAAATATGAACCATTTTAACTTATAAATATTTGACTAAATAAAAACATGCTTTGTAAACTTGAAAAAGCTAGAAAAAATATATTTCGGCCGACTAGCAGCAGTTCCACAAACACAGCATGTATCCAAAACTATTCATCGTAGACATGCTGTTACTTCTGCATTATTTTTCAGATATTAATGGACTAATCAATGATGAAAAATAATAAAAAAAACTATATTTACCTTATCTAACAATAATTTGACTGATAAAATAAAAAATAGTAGTAAAATAACCTATTCATAAATCACCATTTCTTTTTAAATTCATATAAACTTGAAGTTTTCTTATTATAGATTCATTAACATAATATATGTTCAATATTAAATACTTATTGTATTACTTTAATTGAATTTCAACAAAGAATTACTTTCCCTTTTTAATTTTCAGTGGGCAAGTAGAAAAACGATACAAGGATGGATCATCTGAGATACGGCTGCCCAATGGTAGCATTCGCTATTTTGATCCCAAAAACGAACATGTACGTGAAGAATGGCGTTTCCCTGATGGTACCGCCATCACTGTCTCCGCAGCTGGCGATCAACGCATCGTGTTCTCTAATGGACAGGTGGAGGTGCATACCACAGATCATAAGGTAAATAGATAAGTCAAAAAGTTTATTTATTTCTCTAAACAGTAAGCCTGGTGCTATTGTGTCCATCAGTGTCGCCATCTTTGATTTTGAAATGAATGCTTGGGTCATCAAGACTAATTTGGGGACATATTGCTAAGGTACGTAGTTTCGGATTAACATCAGTCAAGGAGCACCACATAGTTTCGTAATTATCTCTGAAAATATGTATAAGGGATTGAAAGTATGAAATTGCCATTGTGACTAGTATGAAAACGCGCCATGCGATTTTGGTTTAAACGCTTTCGTGATGTAAATTTCGACTTGAAGAACGAGCCACGAGGAAGGCCGCAAACACAGGTGAATAACGATAAATAAAGAGACATGGTGGAAGCCGATCCTAGTCAAACTATCCAGGAATTAGCGTCATGATTTAGCGTTACCTTACCCACAATATCGACTCGTTTGCGTCAAATCAATAACTTAAAGAAATACGAAAAATGGGTACGTCATGATTTGACTGATTTGCAGAAAGAAACGCGTGTTGAAACTTGTGTTGCCTTGTTGAATCGGTACAGAAATGAAGGAATATTGGATCGAACTGTGACATGTGATGAAAAGTGGATTCTTTATGATAACCGTAATAGAAAAATGCAATAGCTGATCCCAGGTCAAACGCCACAACAGTCCTAAAGCAAAACTTACCAATAAAAATGTAATGGTAACTGTTTGGTGGTCTCAGCATGGTGTTATTCACTATAGTTTTTTCCGATCTGGTCAAGGAATAACGGCAGATATCTATTGTGCCGAACTCCGAACAATGTCGGCAAAACTATCAGTAAACCAGCACCGACTCATGAATCGATCTTCACCATTATTACTCCATGACAATGCGAGACCTCATACAGCATGAGAAACCGTTTTGACCCTTCAGGAACTGCAGTTAGAAACCATTCATCATCCTCCGTATTCGCCAGACCTTACTTCAACGGACTACCGTTTTTTTTCGTGCTTTGGACAATTATCTACCTGACAAGAAGTTTTCTTCCCAGGAGGCAGTACAAAATGCTTTCACACAGCTTGTGCAGTCTAGATCCTCTGAGTTCTATTATAAAGGCATTTATGAGCACCTTCCTATTAGATGGCAGCAATGTATAGATAATAATGGTAACTATTTTGAATAAATATATTTTTATTCAAATAAACATTTTTGATTTTCAGTACAAATCGACAATTTCATACTTTAACCCCTATTACTTCAGTCAGTAATCACCGTTATATACACAGCAGTTCGTAGGGTTACCAAAATATGTCAAATTTTAACCTCTACCCTCAAAGATTATTTGGGTCAACAAACAGTTTCACAATTAATCTTAATAGCTAAGTATATGAGTTACATTTTAAAAATAATTAATTGTGAAACCAACACTGTCAACCACGGGTAGATTTCAAAAGTTGAGAGTTAAACATATGAATAGTATAATAAAAAAATAAAATAAAAAATTATGTACTCATGCTAATTTGTTTCAAAGGCTTAAAATCAAGTGGAGAAATTTGGCAATTTGTATAACCTGATGTGCTGTTGACGGTACGAAACTGATAAATAGAGAATTAGATAATTACCTGGACAGTTTGGAAAAATTACTTAGATAGCCTACCAAGCTGACCTCAAGCGCACAAAGACTTATTTCGAAAAGTAGGTACTTTACTTTGCTACCTATTTGTAGGCGATTCAAGAGTTCATTTTAAATTGCAAGAGGGTCGCCTGACAAACTGACAAACACATCATGCCAGTGTTATTAAAAAAATATTCTATAAAAATGTTAAACGCTAGATGACAAACCTGAGTCTTAAAATTTATAACAAATATCAATCTTACAGCGTCGAGAATTTCCTGATGGCACAGTGAAGCTGGTCTACAATGATGGCACTTCCGAGACGCGATATGCCTCGGGTCGAGTCCGCATAAAAGACAAACATGGAAATCTTATTATGGATTCTGTATCAAGATGACGACAACCCGACACCGCTTATTGAGCGCGTGTGAATTAAACTGTGATATTTGAATTAACAATAACTTAAAAAATATTTTTGATAGAACTTAAAAAATATTTTTGTAAAACTTTTAGGTGAAATTTGTTATATTTTGATTATGAGTCCACACCACGATTTACATCAAAAGCTCTTTTTAATTGAACATGTGTGTTTGGCTGTGGCATCATCTTTGTCATTTTCTATATTTATTGTTATGAATAACTATTTAACGAATTTCTATTGTTGCAAACTTGTCTTTAATGAGTTGAACTAATTTAAGGATTTGTAATTTTTATTCAACTATTTCATAAGCAAAGTTGGGTTATTCCCTGTACTCCGATTGGTGGAGAAGCGGGACTTTTCCCCAATGCTCAAATTGAATGAGTCTTGTTTTTATTTCTTACCTAACCAAAAGTAGTCCAGGCCATTATTTGAAGTTGAGTTTATCGATTTGTACAGTCAACCAACTACACGTCAGAGTATATAAAACTCCAATTTTTCAAATATCATATTTTAAAACGTTAAAAAACTGGGAGTATAGGTGAAAATCCATTGCAGAAATTTGATATATTGTGATAACCTGACGTACAGCGGTGTGCACTAAAATAAATAAATGTAATAATTAAAGTACTTATTTTTTTTTAATAGAACTGACTTCAAACTTTAAAATATGGGAAATTATATTAATTTTGAAAGCGGTTTAATTATTTAAGTGGTTATACAGTAATCTATGCGTTATATATAACAAAATTTCGTTTTGATGAACACATGTTCTAGCTAACATTTCATGATGAATGATTAGTGAGTGACCTTTCACCTCTCTCTTCGCCTTATATAGACTGATTCATCAATAAATTATCTAACCACTAGATTTACTACATTTTAATTGTTCAAATACGAAACCAATCAATCGGAGGTATGGGAAAAAATCCTACCAATCGTAGTACTGATCGGAGGGCTGGAAATAAATAACCCGCAAAGTTTTCATTATTAAAGGATGTTAATTGTAACAAAATTGTTTTATTAACAAAATAACTATATACATTAATTAGTATTCAATAACTATAATTAACTTTTAAAATTTTAGGTCAGTAAGGTGGTATTTGGTGAAAATAGATGCGATGCAAATTCTTGTAAGTTCTTTACTTTGTGTTGCTAAGAGTTCATAGAAGATCGGTATGCGTAAACTCGAACGTAATCGCGATCGAGCGACATTACCGTTTCGTTCTCTTGATTGGGTTCACTAGCGCCAGAGTATGCAGTGTGCCCAATCAAGAGTACGAAATCGATCGCGATTGCGTTCTAGAGTAAGCATGCAGATAAGGATAAATGTACTACTTTGAAGCATCACATGTATTACTCATCACACTGATATAAAACCAGTTTCATCTTTACTTTCAATAATTTTAATTCTAGCTGGCAGATAATTGATAACGGACATTTGTGTTTGGTTTTGGTATGCCTTCTAGTTGGAAGTTAATCGGTTTCATATGATCTTCTGTTCCAAATATTTTCTTGAGAGCCTCTCGAGCTGCCATTTCTTTAGCAATTGCAACTGTCTCTCCATAACCTTAAAGTAAAAAGCCAGTGTTTAAGTATATATTTATGAAATATTGCAATATTTCACAATCTATACTGTATAACAGATACCTGAGGATATCATATTTTTATTAACATAAATGGCAACTCTGTAACAAGCAAGTAGTGTATTCTTGCCTGCCTCGCCAATCAAGCGTGGTTCCAATTCAGCACCATCTTCCTTTAAAATATTAGTCAACATACTGTAAGGATTAGGAATGACCCAATATTCATTTACATCTTTTCCTGTAAGAAAGAGAGAACTAGTATATAATAAGAACTATATAGTGAAGCGCAAAGAGTGCTTGGTCTGCAATAAGAAGTCTAAGCAAAATTTGCAAGATAGCACAATATCTCAAACAACTCTGTGCTTTGGAAAGAGTTATTCATACATATCTGCAGTCATTAACTCCCGCCAATCTGCACTGGGTCTTGCACTATGGCACATTCTTCCCGTTTGATGCTGTCGACAGAGAATTCCTGAGCCTAAGCAGTGGAGACATTTGTTTGGTGATGATATATTGTTTTCAATGCTTAGGAAGGTACCTACAATATCTACATTAAGACAGTCAACAAAAAAAGATCACATGTTTATAAAAAAAATTGCCAGTACCAGGACCTTATGAGACTGGTTTTCAAGATCTGGAAAAATATATGAGGTAAGTAATAAATTTATTAAGAATAAATCTATTATTTTGTACTATTATTTTACCTTGTAACTGAGAAATGACAAAATCTCTCACGAAATGAGCAGTTCTCTCTTCACCTGATGATTGTAGTAAAGTACCAACTATAGCTTTGAATGTATTTGCCAAAATAAAATTGTCTACTGGATACTCCTGAAACACAAAATAAATTTCACATAAAGGAACTATAAGCACTTGGTATTTTAAAACTTTATGATCTACTTAGTTTATATTTCTGTTCTTAATGGAGATTGAGATGTATTCTATTTTAAAGTATTTGACTTACAGCTGCTAATATGATGTCCTTAGTACCTAAGTGTAGCGATATGACAGCCAGAGTTTCTTCACTTAGTAAGTGATTGCTGATACTGGTCACACCTTCTAAAGGGAACTTTGGTAAAACTGTTTCCAAGTACAACTGGACATATTCTTTTATAAACTTCTCACCTAAATAAAAAAATAAATTGTATCAAAATTTTAAATTCAATAACAATAGGAATAATGCCAGCCAGATAATAAAACATTAGATACATTCTTTTGCTTCAATTTAACAAGAAATTTTCTGACAACACAGTGAAGCAGGGGCTCTATTTTTGAATCATTCGTCTCGCGTCGAGCGCTCGTTTTCTTATATCACTCGCATACAACGTTCGCTAAGCGACGAGTGGTTCATACCACTCGTTGCAGTCGAGCGATTTAGAAATGGCGAATTTGTTAAGTCGAACGAAAATCAGTAGAAAACGAGCGCTCGACGCGAGACGAATGATTCAAAAATAGAGCCCCTGGTCTACAATAGAATAGGCATTAAAGTTGAGGAAAGGGTTCACAACTATCTAGAAAATGTACAAAGGTGTGACATCATGCAACATTTCAAGTCAATGTATCACCATAATTTATTTTATTACGGAATAACTTAAAAAGTATGTATTTAATATTCTTCAATGAAATACCCAATAGACAAACAAATAAAAATCTATGATAACTAAATATAATATAAACTTGCTGAAGTACTATTTGTTGCAGATTTTTTGTCTAAACAGAAATATTTATTTTATTTATTTGTTAAAAACTTTATTGCAAGAACAGCAAAAGCCGGACCTAATGCCAAGGGTATTATCTACCAGTCTACCAGATAGGACATAAGAGCAAAAAAATGTACAGTTATTAAAGAATGCAAAAGTTAAAAAAGAAAAACAATAGGATATATTTATGACATTTAAAGATATTAAGACATACTTCACATTCAAATTCTATACAGATATATATAAATACATAAAAAATACAATAATATACATATCTTTGTACACATTTTTGCTGGTGTTGGTATTGGTTAATAGAGACCTAAGCGTGTTGATCACCTTATGACACCTCATTAAGCTGGTCTTCCCAGCTAAGTGTGCAGTCAATAAGCAAACCTAAGTTTTTAAATACTGGCTGAGTTCAGATGTCAAACGACTGATCGTATTAATATCAACCATAGCGAACTGTCAAGAATCTCCAATAATAATAGCTTGACACTTAAATGTATTAATGACATTACCATCACCCCTGAACCACTAAGATTTTAAGGAGGTCTTGAGTTATATTAGCAACTGCGCTGTTCAGGTTGCTTTTGTCAGCTTGAGTATAAAGCTAGAGGTCATCTGCGCAGAGACGGTAAGAAGAATGAAATTGAGTGGTAAGAGAATTAATAAATAAAGAAGACAAGAGGAGAGAGAATACCGTCCTGTGGTACGCCAGCTCGCACTAGTCGGACATAGACTGATTAACTCAAACTGCCTGCTGGCATCCTTGAAGATAAGATAAAAACCATGCAGTAACTACAGAAGAGAGTCCTAATTTTGAGACCATAGCAAGCAGAATGTCATAATTAACCATATTAAATGCATTCAAGAAATCAATCAAGACCATAACATTAAGTTTTGAACTGTCCATCCCTTCACATATATCTTGCAATACATTAAGAGAGGTGGTGGTGGAGACCTGGCTGAAAACCAGACTGAAAAGACTCAAGACATTATTACAGAGAATGAAAGAAAAGAGTTGTTTGTGAACTGCTGCTTCCAGGATTTTTTAAATTGGCCTAAAGTGTTTGAGAGATGAAGGGTTACGGATTTTAGGGAGTGAAATTATTTATGAATGCCTTTTTCCAAGAAGTAAGGAATATACCAGAAAACAGTGAAAAGTTTAAGACAAAAGTGAGGATAGGGACAATATAATCAATATTAAGCCCTAGCAAGTTTATTGGTATATGAAAATTTTAGTCTTATGAATCTGATGAAAATAAAATACATATTGTTTACCAGAAACAACACCACTTTTTTTGTGGTCTGTCTGAATGAGCCATTTATTTTTTTTGTATATTTAATAGTTGTACAAACCTTCTATCGACAATTCTCGGTTATCCTTCATTTTAATATCAATGCCCATTTCTTTTTGTTTGATTTCCTCTTTGATTACGTATGATCTATCAGTGAAAGCCTGCAGTAGAAGATCTGAATCGAAATCTTCGTTCAACCGTTTTCCAAAGGCATACAGTTCAGCTTCTAAATTCCATTCTAAAAATGTATTACGTGGATAGTACTTCTTGCCACCCAATTTATCTTCTCTTCTCTTAAACTCTACTAATGTCGGCGCAACCCAGCGATGAATTTTCCGAGCTAAAATAACCAAGTTCCAATCCAATAAATAGGTTATATTCCTATGCAACATTTAAAAAATAGTGTTATAATTACCATGTACTGTTTGCGGTATACATTTTATAATCGTGTTTCCCAGGGGCACAATAATTCGCTTAATGTACGATATTTTATTCATTATTGTTTTTTCAATTTACCTCGAAGCCAAAATAACAAATAGCATTTTTTTATTTTTAAGCTTGTATTAACTGAACGCAATGGGATCTAATACATACTGTTCTGTCAGGCGTATTTTGTTTGAATGAGGAAGGAACTACGGATCATATTTTATTTAATTGTCTAAATTTATCCATTTTGCTTTAAGATTTGCTTCCATCAAAAGTTCCACGTCCAACAAATATAAAATGTATCTTGAGTATGGAGAAACCCAGCCCATTCAAAATTTTATCTAAATTTCTTGCAGTCAATAATAGTCTTAATTTATAAATATCTTTGTTTTCTATATACATTATATTTGTATTATCTTTAACAATGTAATCAGATAGACGCGCTCAGAGCTTTTTTTAATTTTATTTAAATTCTACATACTTTATTATTGTTTCTTTACGTGTAAATACCACAAACGTGACATTGGCGGAATTGTGTAAATGCAAATAGGCCACGAATTAAAAAAGAAGAAGAAGAATCAAAAGATGATGTGACTCTAGTCATTATGAGATGATTTCGAGGAAAATCTCAAACAAAGTAAAAGAGTAATAAATAAAAGGAGTTTAAATGGAGTATAAGGCCAAAATAAAACGTTTTATTTTACTTTATTTTCATTGCTCGCAACGATTCCGACTCAAGTACATCGTCATCTACGAACTTTTATCGGAAAGGCACATTAGCAATGAACGATGAAAGAACAATGGCCAAAATGGACTACGAAAAAAAAATTCTTGTACCAAGATGGAACTATTACCAAAATGTAGTATAAATTGAATGTAATTATTAAATACCAACAATTTCTTTTTAAAAGCTGGGAAAAGAAAGATATTCCTCTCTAAAATATGTCTTTATTTTTTAGAACGCAGTTTAAATTATGTTGTTTTTGAACGCATCTTAATAATAATGTCCTAGAGAAGTCCCTCTCTTTTCAAAGATCAAGATCGATTTTATTTCTGACTAATCTAATTTGATACAAATCTTATATTATTTACTAACCATATAAATCCATGAAAATTATAATACTTAGATTAGATTACTTATATAATTAGATGTTACCTAGAGGAAAATAATTTATTCATAATGAAATTAAAAACTAATGATTATTCATAAGAATAGATATTACAGTATTCAATCGATTGCGACCTCCCTTTTTTAGACAAGTATGTGTAGACGTGTTTCTACGCAGACCATTTTGTAACTTTGGCGGCGATTTTGTATTATCTTCTGTATTATGGGGAGCATACTTGGTTCTATGGACAGTATAGAATTGAGGTCTGTAGAGAAATACCGGATTCTCTGGATTTATTAGAATTAGACATAAATATAAATAAAGTCTGATAGAAATAACCAATTTATCATTAGAATATTGGCTTTAATCAACATAAAAATATTAGTTACATTAGACATATACTGAATTCATATTGACAAAGTCAAATGAACAATAGACAACATATTAATACTACATTCACCCCTCCCATGTTATTTAGTTTCTAACAAAATCCTTAAGATATTCAGGCATCTTCTTATCTCGTGACGACCGACGCAAAACCTCGGTACCTTCTTCTTGAGTGCCAGATGGAGAGGCAGTAGCGTCAGTCTCTCTAGGAAAACTATCTGATATATCACCTGTAACAACAGGTACATCTGCAGCATCGACTTCCTCATCAGAATCGTAGTCCTCTGTCGGTAGTTGGGCTAATTGTCTATTTGAAACCGTGGTTTCACGTCCATCAGACAAGCGAACATGTGAATAATGAGGATTTCCATGAAGTAATTCTACTTCTTCTACGGCAGGATCAAATTTTGATGTTCTAACGTTCTTTTTCATTAGTACTGGACCGGGAATCAATAACCATGAAGGTATAGTATCCCCTGTCGGTGATCGACGTGTATGGCGAAATAGACGCTCATGTGGTGTTTCATTGGTAGCTGTGCACAGGAGTGATCGTATAGAATGCAAGGCGACGTTTAATACTTGTTCCCAACATGAACTATCTAAACCATTTGACTTAAGACTGAGTTGAATAGTTTTCCAAAGCGTCCCATTCAAGCGTTCCACCTGTCCGTTTCCCTGAGGATTGTATGGAGTAGTACGGCTTGAGGCAACACCATAGGTTGTTAGAAATTGTTTCATTTCATCCGATGCAAAGGCCGTTCCTCTATCTGAATGAATATAAGCGGGTGCTCCAAAAGTAAGGAATAAATCTTTAAGACATTTAATGACAGATTGTGAAGATAAATCAGGACATGGATAGGCAAACGGAAATCTTGAATATTCGTCAATTATCGTGAGTATATATTTGTTACGAGAAATCGTGGGCAAAGGACCCTTAAAATCAATACTGAGACGTTGAAAAGGCTCTGTAGCTTTAATTAAATGACTATGTGCATTATTATATCGCGGCTTAATTTCTGCACATATAGGACATGACGCCGTAATAGATTTTACGTCATTAATCGAGTATGGTAAATTCTTTGTTCTAATCCAATGCCACATTCTTACCACACCTGGATGGCACAATAATTTATGTAAGTCATATAACTTGTTAGTACTAAGGCTAGCGCAAACTCTAGACAATGTATCGGCGGAAACGTTTTCTTTGCCCGGCCGATATACTATATCATACTTAAAGCAAGACAATTCTAGCCGCCATCTTTCAATTTTCTCATTTTTGATCTTGCTGTTATGTCTCTGATTTAACATAAAAGATACTGATCTTTGATCTGTCACTAGTAAAAAATGTCTGCCAACTAGAAAATGACGCCATTTTCGTAAAGACTCAACGATAGCATAGGCTTCTTTTTCAATAGAAGAATGCTTTTTCTCGGCGTCATTTAATGATCGTGAAAAAAATGCCACTGGCCTTTCATTTTGAGACAAGGTTCCAGCAATAGCGTATTCTGATGCATCGGTTTCTATCGTTAAGAGATCAGTTTCGTTTATACTTATCAATGCTGCCTTAGCGATATCTCTTTTAAGTTGTTGAAAACTGTCACTTAGCTCCGTATTGAGTGGTAATTTTGCTCGTACGAGTGGTTGAATTTTAGCTGAAAAGTTAGGCACCCATTTTGAGTAATGAGCAAACATTCCAAGTGCTCTCTTTAAGGAAGCAGTATTATTAGGTAAAGGTAAATCCATTAATGGCTTTAGACGACTTTTGTCTGGTGTAATTATGTTATTACTAATTGTATATCCTAATAGATTAATAGTTTCACTTGCAAAAGTACACTTATCTTTATTAAGAGTTAGATTATATTTAGCAACCGCTTCCATGAATTTTGATAAGTTCTCATCATGATCTTCTTTTGTTTTCCCACAAACTGTAACGTCATCTAAATAAGCATACGTCCCCTTTAGCTTCTCTTTTTGTATGACGTACTCTAAAGTTCGTTGAAAGGCTGCTACTCCATTAGTGACGCCAAACGGAATGCGAGTAAATTGATATAAGTTCCTGCAAGCTTCAAACGCTGTAAATGGTCGTTCTTTCTCTAATATTGGAACTTGGTGGTAAGCAGATTTTAAATCAATTTGACTAAAATAGTTATATCTTGACACTTTAGATATTATTGAATCAATTTTTGGTAAAGGAAAGGCATCTAATTCAGTATAACGATTTATGGTTCGGGAATAATCTACCACCATTCTCCTACGATGTGTAGTTCCACCCGTTACTAGAACTTGAGCTCTCCATGGTGATACGCTTGGTTCAATAACTCCATCTTTCAGCAATTTTTCAATTTCATCTTTAATAAAATTTTGGTCATTTTCAGAAAAAGTTTTCGATTTAATTGCAACAGGAATTAATTCGGACGAAAGGTTAGAGAATATAGTAGCTGGAGGTACTGAAGCCTGCATTACATTGCATATTTGAAGTGGTTCTCTGTCTCCATCAAATTTGAATTCTAAAGATCTGTGATGTTTTAAAATATCATGCCCAATAATAACATCTGCACATAGGTTATTTATTATAAGCAATGGATGGCGCGTGTAACTATGTTCATTCAATTTTATTGTAGCATGACAAAGTCCGTTAACGTATGACATCTGATTCAATGATGCGAATGATACTGCTTGGGTTACTCTTTTCATTTTAATATTCATAGATTTTACAAGCTCTGCGTTGATAAAACTACATGAACTTCCGGTATCAATAAGAGCATCAGCTCGGAGATCATTTATTGTGACTGGAATTGTTGCTTTTATCAGATTACCCGGAAATGCAGCCGAAATACATGCAGTGCCGTCATTTGTTTCTTCTATGTGACTATCCTGGTGTATTATTGCGTTCGAAAAACTTGTATTTTGCTTAGCAGAGCGACAAACATTAGCAAAGTGGCCTTTTCTGGAGCATAATTGACAATTGACATTATAAGCTGGACACTTTACTCGCTGGTGAATACTCTCCGATCCACAGAAAAAACACCGCCTTTTCCGTCGCGTAGCAATGGCTAAATTCTCATTCGACGATGTTGAATAAGGTATTTCACTGACAGCATTGATTTGAGTCTTTAAAACTGAGCTTTCGGTAATTGCATTATTATCTTTCTCAGCGGATTCAAGTGTTACGGCCTGCTTCACAGCATCATCTAATGATAGAGTTTTGTTCTCTAAAAGTCGTTGACGAATCTGTTTTGAACCTATCCCCGATATAAAGGCATCTCGTATATATTCTTGTCTATATTCTTCTGCTGTAACACTTTTGAAGGTACATTCATGAGCTAAATTTTTTAACATTTGTATATATTCAGCTATCGATTCACCTGTCAGTTGTTTTCTTGTGGAAAGTACATGACGAGAGAATATTTCGTTTTTAGGTTTTATATACGCATCATTCAATAATTTTATAGCATCTTCAAACGTAATACAATCTCTTATTATGGAAAATATTGTAGGTGCCAAATGATTAATTAGCAAACGTAATTTCAACTCAGTAGAAATATGAGGACCTTCTTCGTTTAAAAAGTTAGTAAACGTAGCTAACCAATGGTTCCATTTGAGATCGGCCATCACAGAATTCGGTTCAGATTCAAATCTTTCCGGTCGGAGATAGCGAGACATATTTGACATTTGTTTTGATATTTCTTCCGTAGAACTTTCAGGTTTCTCCTTCGACATTTTTATCAGCTTTCTTTATGTTGATTAAATTGATAGAAATAACCAATTTATCATTAGAATATTGGCTTTAATCAACATAAAAATATTAGTTACATTAGACATATACTGAATTCATATTGACAAAGTCAAATGAACAATAGACAACATATTAATACTACAAAGTCCTAATTATAAGGGGTAGAATTAAGTCGAGACATTGGGAGGAAACAATATTATGTGTACATTTTAAAGAATAATGACACATCCGGTTTAGATGGCATAAGAGAACACTGCTGTAATTGTCTTATTGGTCGATCTACACTGGGATGCTTTGCTCATATAATGAATGACCATAGTTTGGTATCTTGGATGGGCCAGACACGAACAGAATGTAGCTGCTCCTGCAGCATTCCGTGATGAGGTATTCATTAGAGTTGTAATAAAAAAAAGAAAAATCAACATGTTGTTTTGCTATATCCTTTTGAAATTAGTATTTTCACTACTACTTTATATAAGTTATAGTGTAAGATAGAAAAGTAGAGTTATTGAGAGCAATCTTACAAATTCTGGTTTTTTTTTTTTGATGTTCATTGGTTCACAAAAAATGATTTTATTTCTTACAGTCAATAAAAATAATTTATCAGATATGGAGCAAGTTTGAAGTATTATGTGAAAGTATGCACTTCTAGGACTAGGATAAGGTTTTATATGACGTGTGCTTTACATATTTCAACTGTAATACCTCTAACTCAACATGCTACAGTTTAAATAATACGACATAACCTCAAAAATATATTACACAATTACTCGATACTCCCAGCTTTTAAAAACATATTTAATGTCATTCTTTGTTCTAGTTGCATAGGCAAACAAAATAACATATGTTTCATCAAGTTACGTTTTATTCGATTTTACTAGTCCAAGCATGTTAGGCAGATGGCCATTGTTCTTTCATATTCGAAGCGTTATTGATGAAACCTCGAAAATGAAACTAAAAGTGAAATATCTAATTACGTCTTTAGACATTTTATCGACAATCGTTTATAATCTATCATGGTAGGCGTTTCATATTTATTTAATCAGAAAGACGCATCAGTGGCGAAAGATGAAACTATTCAAATCATTTAGACATTTGAAAATTTCAAGGCTTCATTCATGAAACAACGAAAATGAATATTATTTATTAATCATTTTTTTAAAGTTAGCGTACTTATAAGAGTCGAATGGAATGTTTTAAATAAAAAGTAAAGTGGAAAGAAATATTTATAAAAAATGTTTAATATAATATTATATTTACAAAACAACATTACAAAAAAAGAAATAAAAACATTATTACAAACATAAAACACTTTGATTCCACCTCATAGTCATACTGTGATTATCGTTTATGGGTTCTTCGTCGATTGACTCTTACGTAAACTGAGGAATTCACGTACAGAGTTAAAAAATCCACGTTTAATTTTGCTATTTATTGGATATACGCTGTGGTCAGTATAAAATGATATTGAAGTATCGTACATAGACGAAGACATCTCCATTCCCTAGAAACAGAAAAACGTATTCTGATATAGTTGTCGCTTATTTATAGAAATCGGATCAGTAGTTTTATTTATATAATAAATAAAATATCAAGTAAACTAAAACGCGTCTTTTGTTTTTTTTACCACTTGTTATTTTAACTTCGATAATGTTTATGCTATCGAAGTTTTTATTCATTGTGTAGTTGTCGCATATACCCATTCCAAATTGTTAATAGCTAATTTCCTTAAATTTTAATTAAGTCACATAAGCTACATTAGCGCCCTACACCCTTCCACGATTTACCTATAGGTATAGGTATTGTGAAAAGTCGTAACTCTATACCCGTATTACCTACGTAGAACTAGATTATATCGCTAATATCGGTTTAATGAATTTGTCATTTTTGATTGAAGTATCATGTGACTGACCGCTTAATCTTAAGTTCTCAAAATGCACGCTCTAAACCGTTCACATATTTTTTTTACCTACTTATATGTATGAAAATCTTAGCTTACGCAGAATGAACTGCTAATATGGTAGGAGTCAAAAGAGCTATCGATGGATGGCTTATTTGAAGGTCGCGTAGCAGCCTTTATTTTAGCGTTCATCTCGGTTAATCTAGCTGATCGCATCACGAGGCAGGACATCAACCTTCTCAGGAACGGTTTCTTTATCTTGGGTTCGTTAATTGGCTGGTGATTTTTAGACTTGAGCTCTCCGGTATCTTCTTCAGAGTTTAAAGAGCACATCGATGTACCTAAATTTGGGGACGTGCATTTTCTCCGACCTGTGAGAAACGAAAATTTTGCTGCCGGTGTATAAAAAATCTACACACAAAGAGAAATATTCAACATGTTCATAAGTAATTAAGATATAATTCATTGTCTCATACCTTTAAAAATTGTATGGAGAGAAAGTGAAGGTCTGTCATCAAATGCAGAACCAGTGGACCCCACTTCCACATTGGTTGATGAGAACGCTACGTACTTTGTATATGACAGGCTAGAGATTCGAAATTCTACTTTTGATGCCACTTGACGAGGAGTTTCCTCATCTTTTTCATTAGTATTTTGTTCTCTTGTTAATAACAAGTACGTGTTTTCTTGTTTGGTATTCTTTACACTACTGTTGTCAGTCTTTGACTCACTGCTACCACCGTAGAGCTGTGTTTCTACTTCTTTGTTATCTAATATGGACTTTTGACGTTTACTTTTCCGTCTTACTTCTCCCAAGGAAAGTAAACTACTTTTACAAATACATTTGTTGCGCTTCGATTTATTTGATAAAGTGTTCTCTATTGTTCTTTTTACTTTATCATATTGTTTCCTGGATAATATTATTGGTTTTTGTTTTGAGAACTGTTCCACTTGTAAGAATACTTGTATGTTTCGATTCAGTATAAGTTGTTGATACCATGATGTATGTTGAACAGGGGTATCTTCATATTGAGTGGCTTTGTTATCATTGTTGTAACCAGATTTTTTTGAAGCTTCTATAACTTTATTACTATGAAAGCTCGACACTGATATATTGCATTCGCACTGTACGTCTTTTTTGTCAGCGCTGGAGATTTGCGTACTCAAGCTACATTCGCATTGCATATTTTTTTGGTTTGATTCAGTTTGTGGTGATGTATCTTGGTTCTGCTGGTAAGTTCTGTTATTTAGATACTTGCAATACTCAAGTCGTTTGCTTACAGATAATTTGCATGCGCATTTCATTTTGGGCAGCCTAGAAAGTGTGGTGTTCCTGGCTTTTATGGAATTGCTCGATTTTATTGTAATGTCGGAGCATGCACATCTTTTTAGTTGGTTGTTAGATATTTTTGTTGAAGTTTTGCTATTGTTATCACTGAAAATATTAATGAAGAAATTATTATTAATATTACACTATCGATAGGTACGGAAATTAATTACTACAAAAATAAATAAAAATAAACCATGTGCTCTTGAAGAAACAACATGCGGGATGTATATTCATAATATTTACAGGGTATACCTAGAAGAAAACAGTCAATAATTTATTTACATGTCTTTATTTTTAATTCGCTATTATTGAGATTTTCAAAATATTTTTTTACCGTATTAGTAGAGTTTTGCCGACATTTATCAATACCTAGTAGTGCTCTAATTTCCTGATCTCTTTCTGTCGGATCGGGAATCGAACAACTGTCTCCTCTGTAATGTTTGGTGGGAGCTGGAGATAAATTAAGGTATTAGACTTAAATAAATATTCACTCAAAAATACTATTATGATCATCAGCCTCCAAGCGCTCCTCATGAAAACAAGCACTTCTTATGGAGTGAAAGGCATTTTATGAACTGCATGTATCAAATGCAAAGCGATAATAGTTAATCAAAGATTTAGAACGCATTGGTAATATTAAGTAGCGTCTGATTGCTGTAAGCGTTAAGTCTTGACTTACAAAACCAGTTATTACTTTGGGACTTATATATAGCGATAACAAAAACTAAGTATTGCGCCCTTATACCCCGCACATATTTTTCAAATGTATGATTTAATTTAGGAACTTTGTCCAATATCCATCCTATTGTCTATGAACAGATGTCCATGTCCATCCTATCATAAAGAACAATATGAGCCTGCTACTGAGTGGGAATAAGATAGGAAGCTGCCAATATTGTAAGCCCGGGCATTATTAAAAAATAGTCCATCCTATCGTCTATGAATTTGCCAGTGCCTCTACTTGCCCCCTAGGTCCGGTCTATAAGAAAACTTTGCTGGAATTTCTCTCAAGCAGTGTCTTTTGTAAAGAAATTTCAGGAGTAATTAATATCTGCTTACATTTTTGTGTGTGGTTATTATTGGTTCTATTGTTCTTCGCATTGACAGGGCGGCTTTCCTCGCGTCTGTAATTTTTAAACTTCTAAAACACTTTTGTTGTACATAAAAGATAAATGATTTGGATAATAAAATAGAAAATGGTTTATATTAAGATGAAATAACTTCTTTGAATACGATATAATAGCCTCATCTATAATTTAAATAGGGGTGTTATTATAAGTCACTGAACATATCACTCCACCCGTATAACAATAGACAGTACTACCCTAAAACAGTACAGGTGTCTATGGGTAGCGATACTTATCGTTTTCTTTTAACGTTCTCATAATACCTTGTGTCATAGGCCGCTTTTACCTGCCCTAGAAAAAGTTTATACATTGTAAAGTAAGACTTCATAATCCTATTAAAGTTTACTTAGTAGAGTAGGTACCTATATCATATACTGGGATAGTAACTTTTTCATCAACATCGACCTGTTATAAGTACATAAGGCATTGGGCATCCCTCCGAATAGAATCGAATTGAATAGGGAGAATGGCCTATGAGCCACTAAGCGGGTCCAGTGCCGATTGGCGGATGTTAACAACTGCATATGCAGCTGGGATCAACGGCTTAACGTGGAAGGACGGAGGACTTTGAGATAATAAATTTTAGGTTACCCATCCCACGACTGACCCTTGCGAAAGTTGCTTAACATTTAAATCGCAGATGGAACTTGCTAACCACAGAACATTTATGTTAAATCATTATCATCATCACCCCAGTTATGTTAACCACAGGCCTTCCCTGTGAATGGAGACGAATATCTTAAACTACCGTGATTAGGAGTGATCCATTAAAAATAACCTTGACAATTACGGTTTCCAATAAGAAGCCATACGGAAGCCCTGGCGACCCTTTATAAAAACACAAAGATAAAAAAACAAATCTACCTGTGTTTTATTTCTAAACTATCTCTGATTCGTATTCTGGGAAACGTATCTTCATTCCGTTGCTGAAAAAAGAAAAACTACATTCAACTACAATGTTTAAAAAGTAATTAAAAAGTTATATGTACAATAACAGCTCACCTGATTTTCAGCGGAAAGAGCCTGTGAAATAGACCGGCCGTTCGATTCGCATTCCGGTATTAATAACAAATTTTTTAATGACGATGTTTCATTTTTTTCACTATCGTTTATTTTATCAGTTCCCTTGGCGTCTGCTGCTCTTTTCTTAGTTTTTCTCACTTTTAAATCGGTAATATGTTTTCCTTGACAAAGCGTAACATCGTAACATTGATCACTGCCGTCAATATTCACTTGAACATTAGAGTCATTGCTTCTTGTACAAGTGCATTCATTTTTAATTTTGTTGTTTTGCATAAAAGCCGTCAGATGTTTCGTATAATTCTCAACCAACAGTTTCTTTGTAACATTATAGTCTGTGTTTGTACTTTTATGTTCGTTGATACGCCACTTTTCATATCTAGTCCAAGTTTTATTGCGATCTTTATTACGTTTTAATTTATCTTGATTGATTTTAACTTGCCGATTGTCCCAATTCGATGTTACAGTCGTTTCTCGCATAGGACTGATTTTTCTATCTATTTTGCTTTTCAATACTCTCTTATCATTGTCATTACTCCTAATTTGATATTCTTTCTGTGGTGATGGTGATCGACTTCTAGATCTGCCTGGGTTCTTATTTGCAAAAAATCTCCTTGGATTTTTATTAGCGGATCTGCTTTCCCTAGTAATCTTATTAATATTATTATTTTGTTGGTCTTCATTGTTATTGTTAATATTTAAAGATCTCTCTGCCCAAAGTGTCTTCTTATCAATGGGAGGTTTTTTCAAAACTTTAACATTTTCACCATTTTGCATTGGATACACAGATATAACAACCATGGGACTTTGACACCTTTTCAAAGATTTATTATCAACTTCGCTATCTGAAGACGACTCTTTACAACAAGTATCATTTGTATTAGCGTCAGTACAGCAACACTGAACACTTTCGTCTTGCATAGAATTGATAGTTTTAGTGTTATCGGAATTTATGAATCCTATTTCAAAATTAACTTGCGTGCCGTGAGATAATTGCCTGGAAAATAGTATAACGGCTGACATTTCATATACTAGTAACTATGATTGATTTTAAACGAAAAAACACTCTTGTTGTAAGATTAAGCATGGCGTCGCGTCATGACCCAATCAAAGGGGGGTAAGCCAAGCAATTAAAAGTGGCCAAATCGGGACAAAGTTTATATAAATTCCCGAAAAAAGTGTTTTAAAAGTTTTCTTAAATGCTGTTATGGAAGCTCATTGACTCATAAACAGTCCAATTACGCTACTCCGGCATTGAATACAATGCCTCAATATAGACAAATTGTGGTATTATCACTATTTACTCTCTATGTATACTGACAATGATTAATTTTTTCACTTACTGCGTTTTTTTTTTTACTTTTATACAATTACTTGCTTCAAAAGTTAATTTATAGACATAATAGTAAAAATTTGACAAAAAAACACAAAAAATACATTTAATATCTGCATTAAGTTACGGATAGCTTGAGATGCTGATCAATCCTTTCTGAGGCATAATAAATGGAGCAAAAAGAATAATCACATATTTTTTAGTCTTTTCCTTTATACTTTGTGAAATAATATTTAAGTTCTAACTTGTTCTAACCTTTTCAGTAACTTTGATGGTACTTCTGACAACATTTTCTGGTCCCAAATCCACCTTTTCTCTTCAGGAAGATCAACTTGAACATCATTATCTCTTTTCTTTGCACATGAACTAAGAAATGACAGTTAAGCAATATAGGCAATTTAATGAGGAAGTATTTCAGGAAAAAAAGAAAGTATTAAAAAACACCTCGCTAGATGGCGACTCTAGCAAAAGTTGATTTTTGAAACGAATGGACCAAAGATAGTCATTTCCGTTCCTTTTAATTAACATACTAAATAACTGAAAATTGCAAAGTTCGAAACTTAGATATGAGTTCTTTATTGAGTTTTGAAAATTAATTTACTTTTATACATGAAAGAGAACCGGGAAGGGTTGTCATGGAGAAATCAAGAAAGTACTGTTGTGACATCTAGTTTCATTACGGGAACGAATGTTTTTTTTGTTAAACAAAAACATCGTAACTATTATATGCATAGATTTAAATAGAAGTTTTCTCACCAAACTGTTGTAGTTTTAAAACAACAATCTGCGCAATTACAACATGAACATTCTTGATACCTGTTTATAAATAAAATAGAGGATCTTATTTAACACATGTCGGCGGCAGCAAAGGCTATCGGAATTGTCGCCAGGGAAGTCGCTATGAGCCAGCAGCTTCATAATATAAAAGAAAGCATGGTAGCCCATATTGTACGGCAGGAATGCGTAAGGTATTTTTCAGCCAAGGCCAATGGCCCATTTTTTGGCGCTAGAGATATTGGTAAATATGGGCGCATCCATGGTGGGGCGAAAATGGCGCCTGCTTGTCTTACTCTTAACTCTGAGTTAAAAATAAATAGAATAATAACGTTAAATATTATTTTATATAATTCAATAACATATCGAAGTTTGTTAGAGTCTTATTATTGAAATAAGTTTGTCATTATTATATAGCTTTTGTAATTATAATATTTAATGAGTTTCTTCACTTTTCCGTCAACGCAAGTAAATATTGCATACGCTCATTTTCATAGACGAAGGGATAAAGAAAAAATAGTTAAATTACGAAAAGTGTCGGTATTGTAATGAGCAGCGGTCGCTCGTCAGATGGTAGTTTAGTAAATAGATTAACAACCGAAAAGTGGATAGAATAGAATGGAATAAACGTAGTTCTACATTTAGGAGAAACCAAGGGGCTTTGAAACAATGATTTCGCGGATTGAAAAACTGTTACCAAGTTGGCTATAGCTGCATATCAATCAACTGCTAACTACCACCCTCGGAACTATATCTGTAGCTAGGAAATTATCAGTTTTATTATACCTTGCATTTGTAGACTTTGTATCAGCAATTCCCGAAGATTCATGTGAGAAATCAGTTTGTATCTTAGTATCCCTTTGAGTTCTATAGGAAAAAATATAATTAATTATTGATAGTGTCAGTTAAAGTTCCCTCCCAATGTCCTATCACGAGAAAAATACGTGATAATCGAACTTCGTGATAATCTAATCGTTTACGATTCCGTAGTGGTATTATGGACTTAGAAATGAGGTTCTAAGTAAAGTAACCCTAACAAGGAGCGCCGTATATATAAAATTGTATAAGGAGGTCGTGGGATATCGTATGTACCCACAAGGTAACTCCTTGCTCATAGGCAACTATAACTGACCAAGTTAACCTTTGTAAAATTGATCATAAACAGTTGTTTCGAAAGTATGTCTCCCAGTAAAAATATATGAACATTCTATCTTTACCTGAAATTTCTTGCAAAACCTTTCATAAAGCAGTTTTCCACAACAGAGTCATTCGGAAATCTATCAACAAATATGATCATTGTTAAGAATCGTGTAATTATTATCAATAAATAACAAAGTAAGAATTTGCTTACTATTTTTCCTTCCGAAACCGTATCAAACTTTAATTCGCTTATTATTAACACACACATGATATGTTGACACTATTCAATTTATTCTATGGTTAAAATCTTACCTTCGTTCATCACGCTTCGTTGAGCAACAAGTCTCGGTCAAATCATTAATAACTGTAAAATACATCTATTATTAATAAAATTACCTACTTTACAACCGCAACATGTTATTATTATCCTTGGTCACTACGATTCTTTCCAATAATAATGATACCTGGCTAAAAAAGAAGGTTGGTGTAGTCCGTCAGTCAGTATTAGAAAATTATAACGTATAGAAAATATAAATAGATACGTATTTCTGTTGCTTCTATTTAACAAGAAATAACTTGGATAATAAGCATGGAAATTGAGGAGTAAAGGTACAAAGGTGTGATGTCATGCCTATCATCTTAATTTATTGATTACGCGAAAATAAAAAATTAAAATCTTCAATAATTTTCCTACAAGACAAAAATGTCATCTCTATTTCTAGGATTCCGTGCACAAAAGGTTAAACGGGAACCCTATCACTAAGACTTCGCTGTCTGTCTGTCTATATGTCACCAGGCTGTATCTCGCGAACTGTGAATGTTACACAGTTGAAATTGTCACAGATGATGTATTTATGTTGCTGCAAACGGTTCAACAACAAATACTAAAAACCAGAATAAAATAAATATTTAAGGCGGCTCCCATCCTCCCATCCTATCCATTTTTTTTTTCTCGGAACACTACGTGCGCGAGTCCAACTCGCACTTAATCGGTTTCTTATTTGCTATTTCATCGTTTCTTAGTAGTAGTTTCAACTATTTGAGCCCAATAGACCAACATAAGACTAGTGTTATAGACTAGAGCTATACGAAATAACATATATTTTTTAAATATTACTTTTAATGAGTAACACATGTTGTAGCTAATCAACACTATTAGCCTATTAATAACCTCAACTCTACATAGGCCTTCTCTATGGATGGTATCAAATAAGACACTTGGACCAAGAGTTGGATTGTTAAGAATAGAAATTGAAGTGGACTGCCGGCACATCGCATATTTTAGTAATTTTGCAGATATTTTTATCGTTTTTATTTAAATAGGATAATAAATATTTGCTTAAAAATTATGATCTCTTTATTCTTTATGAAGTAAAAATTATTCTAGATTTTACTTTGTTCAATAATAATATCGTAGATAGGAGAAATTCACAGTCAACTTACAGTCAAGTTTTTTGGAAAAACCATTCTCTACAATTTTTTGTTAAATTAGAATGTAAAGAACAATTTACGAAAAGCAAGTTAGGAATTATGCCAATAGTTATTTTGCACTATTCATACGTAAAAATTAGTAATATATTTTCGAATCCGAGATCAAGATCGCTAAAGTTGACCAATTTAAGCAAAAATAATAACAGTCAAAATGTAATAAGGCCCTAAACATCTACAAATGTAGCAAGGATGGAACTTCCGAAGCACGGAGGAACTCGAGATAATTAATTTTAGGTCATCCATCCTATGACCGAAATTAACGAAAGCTGTTTGGCTAAACAGCACGTGCTATCTAGATAGCACGCGCAAAACACTAGGTCGTCGAGCTCCTCAGCTTTACATGTTTTATGGTAATTGTTTCGACGTTTTAACCAACCTGGTCTATCATCAAGAGTGGCGGCGTATCTTAAAACATAGCGATCGTTGTCTGCCAGCCCTAGATGACCAGTAATTCTTACACAGCTTTTTTCACCCTTCGCTGTAATCGGGCATGTACACTCCCTAATGGTTTCGTTCCCTTGAAGATGTCGTGACACATTTACCGCTTCAGGAGAACTCCCCCTCGACTTCTTTGGACTTCTTTTTCCACTCTTCTCTTTCTTTTTATTCATGTTTAAAGAATCCAATACTAATTTTAGACTAGATAGCCGATCTAATGGGATTTCTTCATCGTTGTGGTATTTTTGTAAGTCCGTATTGACAAGCTTGACGCTGCCAGTTCTTTTTAATTCGTAAACACAATCCTTTGGCTGACCCCCGACAACTAGGAATAGATTTTTAGCTTGAATGGAGTTCTCGTGGTTCGATACTGTTGCTTGGACCTTTTTTGTTATATGTTTTCGCTTTTTATATAAATGAGAGGTTTGCGTTTGCACTGTTTTTGGTATGACAGTCACTTTTATTACGGGTTTATTTATATCACTGAGAATATGTTTCGTCAACAGTTTTCTCTCGTTTTCTTGATTATCGGATATACTAATGTTTCTTGGACACGCGTGAATTTCTGATATCTGTAATTTAATTTCATGTTTTTGATGATTTGCCTCAGCTGGATGAGACTACTTCAACATTCACAGAAAAATTATCAAATAATTTTCACTACTGTACATACTACTTTTTTTAAAGATTCATGAACTGGGGTGCCTCCGCCTCTTTAGCGTTGATTACCTAGCTATTACACATCTTAGTGATGTTTTGCCAATATATCATTTCTTGATGCTACTTTGGGAGACTACATGCCTTTTGGTGGATTAATTTAAGATAAATTACTGAGTTGGTTACACTATCGAATTCAGAATCATAATTCTTTAGCGTTCGTTCGCCTTTTATAAAGTACACGTCAATGTTGTAAAATAAAATGAAATATCGCCATAAAATCGACAAGATCTCGTATCCTATGGCTAGAATCGGGGCTAGAAAAATAAAGGGTAGAACCTCTGTCGACTAATTTAAAGCTTGTTTGATATTAAATCATATTTATCGATTAGAATCTATATCATATATCTTACCTCTTTGTCAGTATTTCTCTTTAATATCAAAGGAGATGATGTTTCTGTATTTCTTCTCTTTACCTCGGAATATTGAGTTTTCTTAGACAATTTTGCACGAAAATGTCTAAATAGTCGTGCGCCGTCTAAACTAGTGTCTAAATTGCTGACAGAGCCAGTGAGCTCGCCAATTTTTTTTACAGGAGGTCTTAAATAATCCAATGATTCTAAAGACAACAAAATAAACATAAAAACCAAAATAAAATGACACAAAACACATAAGAAATAAAAAACTAATTATAACCAATAAATGTAGTGCTAATAGCTGAGCTACTATATTCAGTATCCATGTCTGTAATTTTGATATAATTTAAAAAAATATTATTACAAATTAGAAAAGTGTAGAAATTATTAAACCACTATGTTGCATCATGATCCATCAAACATGTCCATACAAAGAGTATAAACATTTTTCATATAAAATTTTCTCTATGAATATTTTGTCAAGCTTGTGTTCCTAAAAAAGATAGTAAATCTATGGACAGATATAGTTTATTCATATTTCTAGTTCCAGGGCAAATATATGCCTTCATGGACAAACGAACAAACTACGACTGGGATTGCTGGCTTATTATTTATCATGTGTTACACGTCCAAACGTTAGTGGTGTCGCAAACAAACTAAAACACAATAAGACCGCACTTTGAAGTGAGGAGTTATGTCGTCGACCATTTGAGACTGACCGGGTATCTAGTTGTATTATTGATCGAAGAGTGTTTGATTTTATTTAATTCATATTGTTTAACGAGGTTTGACGTAATATGTTTAAATAGTGTCTATGATCAAAAATAGTCTTTGGCTTTTTTATTTTTAATATTTTGGTGTTGTTTAAATTAAATTTATTGATAAAATGACTTAATTATCTGCTTTAGAAAGTTATTTATAAAAATTAATCGTCTTTATAAACTGAAAAATTTATTGAAATTAAGCTGGAAAATGCTAGCAAACAATGTCATCGAAGATCGTCTTAGAACTCAAATGGTAATTCCAGTTTCCAAGGAGACTTATTTCAACACTAAATGGAAACCGAAAGAAAAGCCGCTGTGTGCATATGATATGCTCTATCATCCACCAGATTATAATCCTAAATCAGCAAGGTCGGACAGACAGGAGATTGATATTATAAGAAAGAATATTTGGACGCAAGTAAAGATATTTAACTATCATATAAGTTATATAAGGATAAGAATAGGTGTCAGCTTCCTGTATCAAGGGCAAATACACAGTTATAGGCATGATGGGCATGCCCACAACCCTCATAGAGTTGTGGCGTTCAATTTTCATGGTCACAACACTACACATTTTTTTGTTGCTTCTCCCATATTTTATATACGCTACCATAGTTGTTACTCCTATAAGTAATTTAAAACCACCGTTTATTTGTTTTCGAATACTAATGTCTATCCAAATGTTGTCAGGAAGAAATTGCTTTAATCTATAAGGCCGCCCTTTCACTGTATAAACAGTTATTCCGACTTCATTTTGTCAACAATGGTGTGTACAATAAAGAATATTTGTATTATACATATTGTAATATCTTGATCACGACGGCATTTATTAAGGATGTGCTGCTGTGTAAGAGCTGCTACGGAAACTGCGATAATACCAGGTATATTTATGTTGTCAAATAACTTTGCCTGCTGAATTTCGTATTGTTATTTACATTGTATAATATTATTTCTATTTTGTTAGAGTGCAATAGACCTCGAGGCGCTCATCGAAGAATAAGAGTGTAACAGATACTCCGCTAATTCCAGGTAGGTAGGTATATTTAAATTGTTAGATAACATTAGAGTTTATTATATTTATAGTTTATTAAAACTAAACAGAGATTATACATTATTACATATAATATTATCTTTTTTGTTTCAGTTTTGTAGTCCGCGAGGCCCTCCGCAGGAATTCGAAGACTTGAGAAAGTGTTTGATTTTAACAATTTTTTATTTTATAAATATAAAATATATTTGCTTATTTTTTATCATTATTTTATTTACTCCGTCTTTAACAAACTATACATTCCAACGTAGAAGATAATAGTTAATTTGCGAAAAATAACCAAAAATGTGTAAAACATAACTTTTAAATTTACTTTTTTATCAAAACTATAAACATTTTGTATAAAAATGTTTAAAAATAACCTTAAAAATAGATTTCTTGTACTCTTCTTAAGCGAAAACGATACCAAACATACCATTGTATTCATAACTGGAGCAGTTAAAAAAAGATAAACAGTAAAATGATTTACATTTTCTAGATTCGCGCGGTATTTTTTTTGGGGTACATACTGTTAGAGAAGTATACGTAATGTATATATTTCTAAAAACTAGATAGTATGAGCTTGATAATACTATTTTTTTTATCACAAAATCGATCTATTTATTAAGGTAAATATATTTAAAAGAAAAAAAAACTAACTTTAAAATTTACTTTTTTTCGAAAATTATTGACTTTTTGTACAAAAGTATCTCTAACTAACCTTAAAAACGGATTCCCCGTACTCTTCTTATGCGAAAACGATACCAAACACGCCACTGTATGCATAACTGGAGCAGTTATAATTTTTTATTCGAAGCGCGGCGGGTGCAAACTTCCCCCCCCCTCCCCCCCTCACCTGCAAGGGAAATCCAGGTGGCTCCACTTCTTAAATCAATCCTTTGGACCTACAGATCAAACCTGCCAAAGGATATCTTTTGTTCACGAAACGCCGTATTTTGCGTTTTTATGTCGTGTAGGATTGCCACTAATATGGGATAAACAGGAAATGCTTCAAGTTGTTTCATAGATGATTAGGTATTTATAATCTCATTTTAGGAACTACACAAGGGTATACCATCTACGACACACTTTCAGTTGGGACGCCCCAAGTGGAAACTCATTGATGTACCGACCAAGCAATTTGTGCGAGTGCAAGGCAAGTATTTACGTATCTATTTGGATTCAGAAAATGCATCTATCAGTAACAAAAAGCTTTATCGCTCTAACATTCTTCTCTGCAATAAACTTGATCCTCTGATACAATATGTTTGCGAATGCAGCGACAATTAACTGGAAAGGGGGCCAATTCTACTAAGAGAAAGAGTAAATTTTGTTTAAATCGGTTTCGATCCGCTTTCGATTCGATTTAAACAAAATTTATTTAGTAGAATTGGCCCCCTGATTGGGGAATAATCGACTGTAATCTAAACTGTATCGATTCTGATGCATATGAATGAAAAATATATTGACTTATGCTGTCCTTAAAAACAGTAGGAATTAAAGAAATTGGGCAGGCTTTTAATAAAACGTATTGAGGTAATAGGTAGGTATTATTAACGCTGAAAAAATCTTCAATTTTCGTCTGCCGAAATCAGCCCCGATTACCTGGAGGTATGAGTAAGTAAATCGAGAGGGTAGAGCGGGCGTAGTATTTCTGATAACGATATGCAGTCGTTGATCGACTTTGCACTGTATTTAATTGCACCATCACATTCTCTATTGCTAAGTGTGTCATACCTTGAGATACCAGGCGATTTCGTCTTATTTCGGCCCTAGTGCTAAATGAACTTTTAAATACGATTTCTATTCTCTGTTTTGCAGTCAAGAATGAAAATCCAAATATGAGAATATATAACGTCCTGGAATGGGCCATACTACTCAATGAAGGGAAACCTCTCTGCGAGATATAAGTACCAGCAACGCAAGAGTTATTTACAGACTTATTTTGATATGAAAATAAACAAGATTTGTTATCTTTTACTATAAAAACGAGCCAAGAGTGAAACAGCAAAGATTGTAAGAAACATTTGTTTTCATCAAATTAAATTGGATTGGAAATTTGAGCCGTTTGCCTTTTACTATAAAAGGTGCTACTATTACGTGCTAAATGTTTTTCGTTGAGGTACCTTTGTTTTTTTAATAAAAACAGTTTCGTGGATGGATAATGCACTCGTGCTACTTACAGTCGTAGTTACTCATACATTAGAAGTGGACATAGTTTAAAGAATGTACGACGTACTATGCTGTAGGTAGTTTTGATGATGGTCGTTCTTATAATACCATTCTTGCTTGGGAATATTTCTATAGGCTATTACTGTCCCTACTGCTGGTATACAGATATTCCTTATGGATGAAATCGAATCGAATAGGGAGAATAGGCCATGGCATAACCCACACAATGGAGATGGGTCACTGTTTTCGAATGCAGGTGCGGTCGGGACCAATGGCTTAATTTGTCTTTTGAAACATGAAGAAGTGCATGATAATAAACTTTTAGTCTCTCAATCTATGACTCAAAATCCTTCGGTTCAAAAAGGGTTGCTGTTCAGAAACACATATTTCTGGAAATATGTGTTCGCTCTACGTTCCAGTCGACGTTTTCCTGCGAACTAGACTGCAAACTAGAGCAAAATTAATGACTATGAAAATTTTATTGTTTTTACCACTGAATATTGTGATAAAATTCTATAATGTAAAAAATATGAGAATGCCAACCGGTCGTGTATACCAACTTTCATCTCCATTAAAATTCGGATGTTTTTTAATTTCATAATAGAGATGAAGGTTGGCATAAACCTCCGGCTTGGGATCCAGTTATTAGTCAAATGAAATCTCACTCCAGATCACACATTGCAAAACCAAAAGATACAGTTAGTGCATCATGTAGGTAAATATTTAATTAAAGGGAGCAATACACTTTTCTGTCGGCGTTTGATTCGTCATTTCTTCTCAAACAAGAGTCCTAAATTTGGAACTGGTGGTAGATTACGGTAACCAGTCGTAAATAAATAAGTCCAATGTATTTTTAAAATAATTTAATTTAATAAATGTAAACGTGCATGTGTCCAATAGTATTGTCTTAATTAAAAAGACAATCAACACCTTAGTCTTATGAGAACACGGAACTTGTAAGGGTCCAAAACGTCAATAAAATACAAACGCGATGAAACCGTTTAAAAGTTCTTTCATTCATGGAAAGTGCGCGAGAAAATATAAGAAATCAATAATACATTTAAATGAAATCTATATATCAAATTAAATTAAATATACATTTAATTACAAATGTATAGTTTTCAGTTTTTCTTTGAACTTGCACTGTACAAGATAGAGATTATTTTATATATACCTACTACTACAAAGAGAAAATATTTGATTGTTTTTTTAATTTTCATCGAAAAAGGTTCGAAGCTATAGGACCGATTCAAAAAAATTACCTTCGTCGAAGCTACATCATACGAGAGTGACAAAGGCGGCTCTCTAGTGATTCCATATTTAGCCTCTTAGATTCCCCGCCATTTATTAATAATGTGAACCACATACGCAGTAATGTATTATTAAACAAAGTAGTCATTATACTATTATCAGTATTGCTAATCAAGCCTTATTTGCCTGCACTGTAGGCGCATATGCATACCTAATGTATGCTGACGACGCAACGGAAGCCAATTATTCAATTAGTATCGGTAAAATATCTGCTTCTGTTTCTACTTCTACACTTTTACTTGCAAATTATTATAAGTAGCCGATTCTAGCTAAAATTATATTGAGTTTTGGAACTTTCCAGAATGTCTTAGTGAATTCCCATCTATGTGATACTTCATATAACCGACTAATAGGTATATAGATAATTTTAAACATTTTTATTTTCAATAACTTATTTCTAATTAACTCTATTAACTTCAAGACTAATGAAGAAAAAAGACGGAAGTACCTATTTAGTCGTCGATAATAGAGTCAGATGTATTGTCAAGTATTATGCTCAAGAAAAAGAAAGTTCGATTATCAAGTTAATTCATGTTATGTTTTTTCTGATTTGTATAATGTATTATGATTTGATTCAACCCGTCGTGCAGCGGGAAGAGTTAGTGTTTATGGTGTTTATATATATTTATAGTGTTAACTGGAATCTACATCACTTAAAAATTTACATATTTTTTAAGTGATGTAGATTCCAGTTACTGTTCTTAATATGAGTACATACATTAATTTTTTTTTTAAATTGTTTGAATGTATCGTCGTTACATTTAGCTACACCTGCATCCTTAATTCGGATCGGTACATATCTATCGAAAGACGCCTGTCGTATTGCGACAATTTAAATATGTACCTAATGTATAAGATATGCATGACATTCGACCTTACACACTCGACGGAAAATCCGACGCGTACTAACGCATACTTACGTGATACGCTTGTAACTAACTATAAAGGTGCTCGCATATCAGACGTACATTACGAATTCAGAATTTACATTACGAAACTAGTATTGTTGCATTGAGTTCACTAGATATTTCACGAAATGTAAACGTGTAGTCTCGCAATGCATGCATTAGTTTGACGACATCAGAGTTGTTTTGTGCGATGCGTATTATCTTAATGAAACTAATTTTATCACGATTTACATAGCGAAAGTAGTGTCGTGAAACCATCTGCACATTACTATGTGCTTTACTAAGCTTCGATGTGGACCAGTTTCTAAGAGATACTGTTAATTGCACGGCATAATGAAACTAGTATCCTTCGAATATTGTTTTGTGATTGTTTCAACATGCATGTCACTAATTTCATAATGTTAATTCGGCATAAATGAATGACAGGGTGATATTAGAATTCTGCTGTACATATGTATGTACTTAATCATGTAGGTAAAGAATCTTAAAATTATTTTCTTTCCCCTCCTTCGGTGCGTTCTATTCTGATTAATGTGCATTTACCTCATTGTCTGAAGGATACCTAAAAGATCCACGTGTAGGTTAACAACCTTTTAATTACTTCAATAAATCAACGAACAGTTTTTGCTATCGTTGTAAGTTTACAAATTAAACGATAGGTAAAAAAGTAATTGTGAAGGTAATTAATTTATGCTGTAAGGCGTTGTCATCATTCTTAAAAAACATATACTTACAGTTAATTAAATTCAGAATAGTTTTACGACTCTTTCATTATTAACAACGTAAGGTAAGAAAATGTCTTAAAATTGCGATTTCAAGTTTCTGTGTTTGAACACCTGGGTGGTGACTTTTTTAAATAAATATCAATATTGCTATTTTTCATTCACATTCCTTTGTGAATGTAACATCGATCAAATACAATAATCACTAGTTATATATCAAAACAAAATAACTGTAATAAATATTCAATTGAATTGAATATAATTATTTCTCTCAACTTTATACTCACGATACAAACGAAATTATAAACACACTAGAACTACAAAAATTTGAAAATATGTCTAGTTGATCTGTTTAAAACAATGATTCCATAACTAATAAGCATATCTTGACTATATCTCATAATATAGACAAGATTTCCTCATCAGGTACTAATGTACTTACTTCTAACCACGATCAGAACGACAATAGAATTTAATCACACTAAGTATTATATCTTATTTCTATTAGTCATAACAGTTATTCATTCTTAAATAAGCAGGACGTATAGATAATGTTATTTATCTGATACACATAAAAGCAAAACGTAGAAATTTAATCAAGGTATTTCTCAAGGCAGTTTACACGGCCCAACTTTTCTTATTTAAATAATGTTCTTTGATGGTTTCCTTAAGATTAAACAATATTTCAAGATAATAATGCTTGTTTGCATTAATTATTGCGATAAAAATGCGGATATACTCTTGAATAATCCGGAAACCACCTATATGTGGTCAAAGTCTGTAAGTAAAATAATTTGATGTTCAACGTTGAATAAAAATGAAGTCTAATTGCTTACTCTTTTCATTTGTAGGTATTGTTAATGATTTTGCTATATTCATCATTTTTTTCAATTCATCATTAATTCCTTTATGTTAAGGAAATAGTAACTAATTAACTATAATTTATAATTGTGAAGTACCATCTAATTATATATTTTGAAAACCACAAGACACTAAAGCGTTGGAGTCAATTTACGCTGAGACTGCCTTATATATTATAAATTCATATTATTGAACAGAGATTTAACAAACGTTAACCTAATACGAAGTTTTACGGGAGTAATGTTTACTCCTACAAGGTAGTAGTAGTAGGTTTGCTTATTCTCGGTATAATATGAATTTGAACTAATACTTCTAACAATAAAATTGCAATTTTAGCGTTAATTTACTCTGACGCTAAAACTTATTTATTAATAACAATGTAAAAAGCAACTAAGAAATGAGTTTATCTACATATAAAAAAAACTGGATTCATGTGGTAAAGTGCGTGGAGCGGGTGTAGCTAGCAGTAAAAAAAATTAACACTAAGCTCCAAAAATTTTCTCAAGCTGGATTCATCTTCCTGAAATTGTATGATTTTTTTTTATTAATGTATTAGTATATGTATTTACTCTTATAAATGTTTTCATTCTTCTTTCTTAACGCACTAGCCCGCCAGTGGCGGATTTAACAGCAGGCTGAGTAGGCTGGAGCTTATTGCAGCAGATTTTAGTTGGCGGCAAATCGGATAAATTTTTTTTGTCTTACAGGATAAAAAAAAAACATTAATATATACACAAAGAAACGAGTGACAAAAATTTTAATAATGCACAGTATACCTACTGGTCATTTACGGGTATATGAAATATTAGGTACTAAACGCTCTGTAAAGTAAAGGCACTTGTAGGATTATGATTTTTTTTTAATATTCCAATAGCGCGTATAGTTTCAATATTACAATT